ATCTATGGGTTGTTACTAGTTATCTATGATTGCTAGGAAACAGAATGCCAGGAGGAGCATGGGGAGGGAAAATGTAGAATTCTGTGGAAATTTTTTTTTTTAATTTCTTTTAGAATTTAATGACTATTTAGGGTTTTTTTCCTCTATGCCAAAACCCTAAAATAAAATTTTGTTGTAAATTTTCCTTAACCAATTCCTAAAAATGTTCTACAAAAAATTCAGAAAAGTAAAATTCTTTCTAAATTCCTGTTTAAATCTCTAGAAAGTTCCAGTTTTCCTGTGGAATTTTCCACATTTAAGCAATGAAAACAAACTCTATAAATCGAGTAGCACTTCCCCTTCAACATTTACAATCTGCAATCTTCATCCAAAAGCTACTGCCTCAAAAGTGAAGAGCAATGGCATCGATCGGATCAGCCATAAAATTGCCACTTGAACAAAGATATATTGGATGTGTAGCATAACTAAGTCGAATCACAACAACACTTGAGGCACCTCCCCCTATAACGAAAATAGAAACATCGAAAAGAAACAGCGAAAGAAAGCTCGATCAGTATACACACGGCGAATGGCCCCTAAAATATGTAGAAAACATGAAAATGAATTGGAAACCAGAGCTACAAGGAGGAGGGAGAGGGAGAGGCGGCATGAACACGGGGGCACACGAACTTATCTAATACTATGGATACCGTTACTCGAGGGGTCACTGGCCCACCAGAGAGCCACAGGCCCATCCACAGCCACATCACTTGTACTCAAACAAGAACAAACACGCACACGCACCAACATGCTTGGATTACTCTTCGCTCTCCCTCTCACCCCCAGCACAGCACAGCCCACAGCCCAGCCGGTTATGTCACGTCCAATTGGGTGAGGGGGGAGGAAATTCACCGTTGGGACATTTCATACGATTTGAGTGCAAGTCATTTGAGAAATTCAGTTTGCTGCATGCGCGGAGGGATATTATTTTATGTGTGCTCTCATTCGGGGATATTTGTGTGAGTTTGAGAGCAGGGCAGGTTTTAATGGCTTTGAGAGTGGAGTTAAGTGATGTTTGAAGTTCGATGAGCGGCATATTTTTGGGTTTGCAGGAAGGGAAATGGTTCGTCACTTATGAGGGAGTTTGAGAGGAATTCTGAGTGGCGTGAAGTGAAGTGGCGGGGAGGGATATTATTGCGGAGATGTTAGATGTTCGTTGAGGCATTGAAAAATGTGGGATTACTGCTGTAATAGAAGTTCTCTGGATCAATAAAAATTGCAAAGAAAATACAAAGAGAGCGACTCTCTCCCAATTTATGGATTAATGTACTGCTCTCTTAGACATTTCATTTACCTTATAACGTATTCGTCTAAGATCTCTCCCGTGCTTATATTTTTGGTAATTGCAAGCCCTACTAATAAGAATTCATATCCATCTGTTATTTAGTTAAGACCCATATCAATCTTCTGTATATGACACGTACCACTCCACTCCACTCCACCCAAACCCACCCACCCTTCCGCCTGCTCAAACTTCAAACTTCTTACGCACAAAAAATTTCCCTTTTGGCAGCCATCAGCTGTTCGTTTGACAACAGGGAAATTTGTTCGGTTTTTCGGGAAATACTTGAGTCGTGACCCATTTTCAGTACAACATTTGATGGAGTTCAAAGACCTCAACGGGCCGGGCCGGTCCGTCGCTCAATGTGTTTGCGCTGCGGTGTGGTGTGGAAGAAGAGCGACGCGACGAGTGACGGGGGTCTCGAGCGGACAGACAGTGGGACGGGACGGGGCGGACGGACGGACTGGCGGCGGACAACCCCAAAAAGCCTAGGGCTTATTTTTCAGCTGTGCTTTCTGTGCCTTTCGCTTTCTGTATCTCATTTAATTCTTATTTTCTATTACGCACACACAAAAATGCAACTGTTTTTCGGTTTTAGGTATCGGTATCGGGTATGGGCTGGGGGTATGGGCTGGGGGGCTGGCTCTGCTCTGTCATGATGTCATTTTAGAAGCTTGTTTTATATTTTTTTTTTTGTTTTTTTGGGGGGCAGCAGGCGGAGGCTAGCGAGGGTGGAAATGCATAATCAGCATTCGGCTTTATTTATGCTTAAATTTTATGCGTGTCCCAAGTTGAGGATTGGTAGGGCTCTGCAATATGTGCCATGTACTCCGTATATTATATGGATGGCATGGTGGTTGCTATAACAGACACCCGCCCCCACATCCATGTGCGTTGGATTGACCCATATATGCAGTCTTTTGGGGCTCTGAACGTACGACCAAATTGAAGTATTATTTTTTGTTATTTGATGGCAGTGTGATGAAATTAGCATGAATTGAATCATATATTTGGATTCGTCGTGCCTGTAGTTAGTCGTTTATGATTAGATATGCATTACTTGACGCACTGCAGATTCGCGTTGCTCTGATTTATGGTAAATTTTTGTATTTCCATATAAAAATCAAAGGGATGATAAGATACGCCTTTGGGATAAACTTGCGTGGAAACAAATCAATGCATTGATTTTATAATTATTTTAAAAGTTTAGGAAAAAAAAAAAATTAATTTATAATTATTTTTAAAAGTTTTAGAATAAAAATAAAAATTAAAAATTGATTTAAATACTCCGTTGATTTATATTCCGAAATACAAAATATTTTTCAAAATATTACTCATTTATTTTTTATATTAAAAAATATAATATATATTTATGATATATTAATTATTGCCTGCCAAATTGGTAGAATCGACCACTGTGCAATGGTGGAAAATATAGAAAAATATATATATAAAAAAAAATATTAAGCCCTAATTAAAGATTTTAGACGTAAGGCAGATCTTTCTTTAAAGAAAATCCTCTCAATTCTTTTTGGCACAAAGTTGTATCAGTGCTTCCCCCCATCTACTTTTCCTCTATAATAAAACCTCTTTAAATCTTTTGAAAAACTCTCTCATCAAACCCTTCTGTAAAAACGGAAGCTACAAATCAATTTGGGGGGAAAAAACCCCCTCCCGCCTGCACACCCCCACAGACAATGGATAATAAAAAAAAAAAAAAAAGCTGTGAAAAGCGGTCAAAAATTAAACGAAATATAATCTTGGCCACAAAAATTCGTTGCTGCTGTCTTCGGGAAAAGGAAAAACAAATCTTTTGGACGCTGGAAAAGTTCAAGAACCCCATGAAACCATCATCACAGCACGGAGACTTGCCATCGACACCGACACGCCATCAGGCGAGCGCTGGTTCACTGGCTATGCTGTTGGATGGACTGTTTCCCGTGCCCCACCACCACCACCACCACCACCAACGCCACTCCCGAGCGACAGGGAAAACTTTGCCCCGCACTACAAACGAAAGTGAGTCTCGCTCTCCCCCAAGCATTTCTCCAACTTCACCCTCTTGCCGGAGCGAGAGGAGAGCGCACTTCTTTTTTGGCGCACAGCAGAAGAAGTTCATTGAACTTGAGGGCAAATCGGAAGCAGTCCAAAAGCTAAACACACACATTCTCCACTCTCCACCACCCAAAAAAACTCCACCCGAGAGCATTCGATTATTTTCTAGCTGTAGCTGGGCACAGAGTGGGGTTTTGGTGGTTGAACGCAACAGAAAAAACCAGAAAGAAACACTGGCAAAACATGCACAGATACGTGTTGGTTGGAGTTAAATTGGTTAATTTACTTATGGGGCCATGTGCCACACCCTTTGCCTCCGCCTCACAACAGGCACTTGCATGGTGGGGGGATGGGGGGAGGCTTTGCTTTTCTTTGAAATGAAAGCGAAAACGGAACTGAATGTGTCGTTAGTTGTTGTCTGTTGTCTTTGAAAGGGAAAATGCTGTTGCATACTTCGGGGCGGGGAGCTCTTTTATAGCTATTTTAAGAGAATTGTGAAAGAAAAAGCTTTCGGTTGGGGTTTCTCTTAACTTGAAAGAGATCTTGTATGGGTTATCTGGAATCTCTTGATTATAATGAATATTGTGTTTATATTATAACAGCATAGAAATCGAAAGGGCGGCATTATGATTGGGAAAACCAAAATAAGAATATTCTTATATTAGGATTGCTTTTCAGCAACCAAAATTCCTTTACTAAAACAGTATGGATAAAGAGAAACTTTAGTTGGGCTTGTTTCGAGACGTTTCTTACTGATTGGGAAATGGTGGCACGTATCAAGTCCTTTTAAAAAAATGATTTTGATTTAAGATAAATTTGTAATAATACTATAGGTTTTACTTTTAGCTATTTAGCTAGATGGGCTTTTCCAACGCGAGCTTTTCCTTTGCAAGTGGGTTAAGTTAAGGTTAAGGAAAAGGAAAACTGGTCCTGGTTAAGTATGGACCAGTTTGGCCATAAGTAAAGCCGGATAAAGAGAAGGTTAGTGCAGAAGCCCTATAAATGCCAAGGGCCTAGCACATACGAGTAGTTGGCATTTACCAGTAGTTGCTGGCTGTTTTGTTTGGTGTCTGGTATTGGTATTTCCATCTCAAATCTATGTATTAAATAGCAACAGATTTCTGTTCTTAGCAAGCACACTTGATTAACTCACAAATAACCGAAAGAAGAAAAAAAAGAACACCAAGCATTTTGAACATTTTTGTTTGTTTCTTTGATTTATTTAAGTTTACTTTACTCTCGTTTTGTTTTGTTCGCTTAATAGTTTTACACATTCATAAAAAATAGATATAAATCCTTTTCATTGTCATCTTCAGTTGTCTCCAGGTTGGTTGTTCAGTTTTTAAATAACGTCTAAATTATAGCGAAAACAAATTAAAACTAATTTGTTTTTTCCTTTTTGAATTTAATGTTAATAATACGCTTTAACATATTGTATGCATGTATGTGGGGATCATCAGTGATTTTAGTCTGAAATTATTATATGCCAAAACGCATCGGATGGAAAAAAGAAAAGACAAAACTGCAAACCGATTTGTGAGGGCCTCTGCGGAAAAATGTTGCAAACAAATAAAACCAAATGTGAACCCTTTGAGCTCCTGTATATCAGAGGAGCCCGTCTGTGTGTGTGTGTGGGCTGGTACAATAGTTTTAAATAAGCTTATTTAGATGTCCTTAGTAGCGTTCTCCTTCCCGTATGCGGTACGTACACCTTACTGCTGTGGTGGCACAGGCGTTGGGTGCGGCGCCAAACGGCTGACAATGCCAATGCCGCCGCGAATGATTTTGGCAACGGCCGGCGGTGAGCGAGCGGCCAGCGCCTCAAAGGTGATGCGCAGCTCGGCAAAGGCGTTGCGGGGATAGGGATTGCGGCGTGAGGTGTAACGCATTACCACATAGTGATAGTAGATAATGGGTGTCATCAGGCCAGCGTGGCTCCTAAATACACCAAGAAATTGATTAATAAACATAAAGAAAGCAAACGAAAATTGAGCGCAACTCACATAAATGTCAGCACAATGGCATAGGGCATAATGAAGATCTCGCAGAATGCTGTGGCCTTCAGTATGTTGGCCGCCTGGAACTCCACAATTGAGATAATGAAACGTGCGCCCCACCACGAGTTCTGGCCAATCAGCTATAAGAAATATTAAGCACACGCATTTTAGTTATATGTTCAATCAAAGACAACGCCTTTTAGCAAACTGCTTACATCCAACAACTTGAGGGAATAGCTGGAGGCGTGCAGCACGGAGTAGAGCAGCACGGGCACCAGCACCAAGAGCGAGGGCCGAATGTTGAAGAAGATCAGGGAGTACACCATGTAGTGACACGAGTCTTCGGCAAACAATTTGCTCAGAAATTCGCGACTGAAGGAGAAGGCGGGCACCCGTTGATGCAGACGCAGGGCCGAGATGGCCGCATTGGCCAGCAGCACCTTGGTGAAGGAGCTCTGTTGTGAGCTGTGTGTGGAAGAGACATGGACATATAGCTGCTGTTTATGTTAGGTTTTAACAATGCGGAGTACTCACGTGAATATGGGCAAAACGTAGCTCAGGGTAAAGAAGATCGACAGCAGACGCAGGGCCCACAGGGCGCAATCAATTCGATTCGTTTGGATATGCTGCAAGAGCTTGCCCGTTGCATTCTGTGGTTGGTTCTGGTTCTGCTCCTGTTGCTGCTGTTGCTGTTGTTGCTGCTGCTGCTGCTGCTGTGATGTGCTCTCAGAGCCATTGGTATTGGCGCTATCGAAGCGCGGCGGCTGTTCGGTGGATGTGCTCATGATGAACTTGTTGTCGGTTGATTGCTGTTCACCTTACTGGATTTCTTGGTCTGCAAGTCCGTTATACAAAAAAGAGAAACGTAATGAGTTTAGTTTTAAGCGTTATCAGCGGGAATTCTATTCTTATCGCGCCCGCTATTGGCCCCCTGATAAGCTAAACCTCCGATACCCATACTCTGCCTGACTAGGCAACTACCGAAACCATATCTAATGTCTGTGTGTGTCTGTGTGTGTGTGTGTGTGTGTTCTTCACCTTCTTTTTGGGTTGTTTCTTTCTTGAGAGATGGATCCACACTCAAATGAACTTACGACTGCGATCTATGACTGCAGATCTAATGCTGCCTAGGGCTGTGGAACGGCACGCGTTTTGGCTTTCAGTTGTAATTTTTTTTTGGCTGCTTAGCTGGCTGGGCTGTTAAACCAGTCAAATGGAAAGTTGCAAACGCAGACACACTTCACTTCAAAAAAACAAAAAGACCACTTAAAAGACACGTAAGAATGGGCGTGCCAAAGAGGCGTTTTAATGGTCACGTTGACTCGCAGATGATGCTGAAACTACTGCAATTACAGACCCTATAACCATAAACACAAACAAGAAAAGAAATCACAAAAAAGGGCTAAAAAAAAAGAGCGAAATTTAAATGCTCTTCAAATGCAGTTTATGGTTTAAAATTCATTCAATTCTTTAACTGCAGGGGAAAGGAGTCTGCCCAGCAATTTATGATGCAAAACTTGTACAATTTTCCACGTAAAGTTTAAGAAACTTGCAATTAAATTACACACACAAGACAAGCCAAGACAAGCCAAGACAGGAGAGCGTGAGATGATACGTCTGACTGACGTTTGGCCACAATGTGCAGTGCATGTTGTTACGAAATACACGTCGAAATATTAACACAGCACGGCACAGCACAGACACACAAATATGGCCAAACAGGTGGCTGCCACACAGAGTTGGAGTGCGAAGGAGAGGCAGACAGACACACAGCAAGAGATACCGCGGAAGCAAGAGTTGGGTAAACATCAGAGAGTGGAGTGCGGCGGCGCAGCGGTCAGTGTGGGGACACCTACGTGTATTATACATACATACATATGTACATATGCACTGGCATGTACCTGGGCCATATGTGTACATACAATGTATGATAGCGGCTGAAGGCGGGTCATTAGTTGTCATTTAATATGCAGGAGCAGGTGGGTGGGGGGCTTAAAATATGTCATCATGATTACTATTGATTTTTAAGGAGAGAGTCCTTCAAAACAAACTGGGTCAAGTACTCAGGGGGAGGGGGCGGCGGGGAGGGGACCTACACTTTGATAATTGCCTTTGACAATAGTTCTCGATTATTCATGCGAAACCAATCGGATGAAATTTGGATGAAATATGTATAAATCAAGTGACGTCACGTGGTCGAAACAGCAAGGAACACGTCAGAGGTACACATAGAACAGAATACACGCACGGCCGCCTCACAAATTGCCTCCGATTGACATGTCTGAACTTTAAATAATAAAACAAGATCAAAATGACAAAGCAGAATAATACACTATCTACAGATATATATTCTTAAAGCCGCGCTCAAAGTGCAGCCCTGCCGCTCCACAGAACTCGGAATTGGTTGCTTCCTAATCCGCGCCCTCGACCCACAGCAACAAGCTAGAGAGATCGGATTAGGGCACACCACACAAGAGACAGACCTGCATACACTTTGATTATAATGCCAGCCAGCCAGCCAGCAGCACTCGACTGTCCAATTGGTTTAATAATGAACAAAGTGGGGAGGGAGTGGTGGGGTTCGCGTACAGTTTTATATGATTTGGGGACGAAACGAAACGTAGTCGCGTGAAGAAAGTTGGCCCTGCCAGGTATCCTCTATGCCTCCACTCCTCCGCGTTGTCTCACACAAAATGTCGCAGAATCCAATAAGTTTTTTTTGATTAAATTTATGTAGGCAAACTTACCATTCACTAAGCAAACAAAAGCGTCGAGTGTATGTCTGTGGCGATATGGTACAAAATTTTAAATTAAATTCACACGTAAATTAATACGTCTCTGTGTCTGCCTCTTCCACTTTGAACTAGTTCTCCGGTTCATTTCAGCTCCAGCTCCAAATAATACCACAGAACTGTTGAACCAGTTCGATAACGGCACTTAGTCTAGTGGCATGCGACCATTTGTGATTCATATCGGAACTAGCACTAAATAATGCCGAAACGCGTAAACGAACGCAACGCACATTTTAGTTGAGTTTATTTTTAAATTAAAATATCAGCATATATAGACGTCATGGATGACGATCTAGCACTGCCCGCCGATACACTAGCCATTCTCAATGAATTCCTGGCAGAGCGTTCGAAGCGCGAAGCCGAAGAGGAGGATAGCATTGCGAACCGGGACGGCAAGGAGGCAACATTCGAAGAGAATTGGGAAAGTTATTCAAGATAACTACGAGTGCAGCGCCTGCTAAACCTATCGCATTTCGATTCTGCAGCAATTGAGCCAATTCTGGTACAGCAAAAAGACCAAACTCGCAGTGCGAGACATTGTGGCAAAGCTACTGAAGGAACAACCAAATAAATCAGAGGAATATAACTACCGCATAGCTTTGCTGTCTTGTCCATCGCTGTACAAGGATATTAAAGATATATATGAGCACGGTAAGGATCTGCCAGCCAAGGCCAATTACCCATCTTGCTGACACTCTCCACCCCTCCCCCCCTTTAGTCAGCATCTTCGAGTACGATGAACGTTTTGCAGCCTATGGCAAGGATTTTGTCCATTACGATATCAATTGCATAGACGGCCAGCCAGAATATCTGTTGGATCAGCACAAAAGCTATGATTTAATCATAGCCGATCCGCCGTTCTTGTCTCAGGAGTGCATTGGCAAAATATCAGAGATTATAGTTAAGCTGCAGCGCAGTTCGAGCGACTCCAAACTGATATTTTGCTCTGGCCAAGTCGTGGAACCCTGGCTGACAGCCTGTTTGCCGGTGCACAAGTGCAATTTTCGACCAGAACACGAACGTAATTTGGGCAACGAATTTGTTAGTTATGCCAACTTCAATTTGGACAATTATATTTAAAGAATGAACCGAAACAAAATGTGTGTGTGTGTGTGTTTCTTGTGTGTGTGAGTGCGCGGATCTATTTCGCGGCGAGATCAGCCTCCTTGCGCTGCTGCACCAGCTCGCGTAGGCCATCCTCCTGGTCCTTCAATGACTTTTGCAGAAATTCCTTCTTCTTTTCGAGCAGTTCAATGGCCTTTTCGCATTTTTCCTGCTTGCCCTTCAGATCCTCGCGCATATTTTGCACGTCGGTGAGCAGAAACATGCGACCCACCGACTGGTATACTCTGTAATGGTGGATTGCCAATTAGGGGCGCATAGAAAGGAAACATCATTAAGGGTCTATGCTTACCTCGTATCATTGTCCAAATTGCTTGTGCCCTTTTCCGTCAACAGATATTTGTGTTTGCCCGTCTTGACCATATCGCATTTCATGTCAATCATATTGATCTTCTTGGTTGTTTCCAATTTGTTGATCTGCATCTCGGTGAAGGCCTGCGGGGGGGGTACAGTAGATGCGAATGAGTAACATTTTCAATGGGGGGGAAAAAGCACGCGCTGCACGCCGGCTGTCGCCTGTGGACCGTTGTCAGTGCCCTTACCTTCTTCAATTCAATGTCCATTTGTGCCATTTTGTTTGATAAATGCTCGCTTAAAGTTTATTTGTGTTAAATTGAATGTTTTCACTATAAATTTGCTTAAAATCTCAACACCTGCGTGCCTAGAAGGTATAATAAATATTTCGATAAATCGATATGCAATATATTGGTTAGCTTACAATAAAATATCGGTGTTTTTGTGCGATAAACGCAAGCTATCGGCGTTTTATTTAAAAAATACTTTTATAGACGCGCTGCCATGAGCACCATTTGACACAGAGATTAACCTATATTTAATGAAGCCAAAGAAATGCCAAGAGAAATTAAATGACGCTGCCTGCTACCAGCTTACATCAGCATTTCATTTAATTTCATTCACTCGACAGCATGCAACGCTGGCAGAACAAACTCGCTGTGGTTACTGGTGCCAGCGGTGGCATTGGGGCTGCCTGTGCTCGTGCCATGATTGCCGCAGGATTGCGTGTGGTTGGTCTGGCACGGCGAGAGGAGAAGCTGCGTGAGCTGAGGGACAGCTTGCCGAAAGATTTGCAGGCCAATTTCATACCCAGGCGGTGTGACGTATCGAAGGAGGATCAGGTCCTCAGCTCATTCGACTGGATAGAAAGGGAGCTGGAGGGAGCCGATGTGCTGCTAAACAATGCGGGCATCACACGCGAAATGGAACTAGTTACGCCGGGTAATACCCAAAAGCTGCGCGAGGTCATTGACACCAACGTCATGGGTGTGCTCTGGTGCACAAGGGAGGCCTTCAACAACATGAAGAAGCGGGACACAGAGGGTCATGTGCTGATCATCAACAGCATTGCGGGACATCAAGTGCTCAACTTTATCGACGTGCTGCCCTCGTTCAACATATATCCGGCCACCAAGTTTGCCATCACAGCCATTACGGAGACCTATCGTCAGGAGTTTCAGTTGCACAAGAGCAAGGTGCGCGTGACTGGCATTTGTCCGGGTGCAGTGAACACAAACATATTCCCCGAGGAGATACACTTCTATGTGAAGGATATGGTGAGGCTGGAGCCGGCAAATATAGCCGATGCGGTGCTATATGCATTGCGCACGCCGCCTCATGTGCAGGTACGCGTAGCGTAATTAAACATACAAAAAGAAATCCTTACCGATCCATCCATCCATTACAGATTCACGAGATTACCATCAAACCCATGGGCGAATTATTTTAAATTTGGTTTATGCCGAATGATAGATAAAATTAGAGTCCCTTAGCCCTTGTGCAGGCCAGCCAGACGTTCATGCAGCGCCTCTTCGTTCAGTTTGTGCATGCATAGAAATTGTCCATTAAAGAACAAGACGGGTATATCATGCCGAAATAGCCGCAAGAAGCGTACATTCTCCTTGCGATCGATGTAAACCTTTTCCAGCCTGAATTTACCAGCATATTTGTGCTCCAATTGAGCCACCAAATCATCGCACAAAGGACACGGCTCTTTGGTGTACAGCGTCAGCAGCGGAAGACCATCCACCTGGGCGATTTTGGGCACGCTAAAAGAGACACTCTCATATTGAATGGGATCATGGCACATGGCAGTGGGAGGACTCACAGTTTTTCGAGAAATATGATCATCAAACGGCCATCCTTTCCATCCATGTAGGCACAGCCAAGCTCGCCAGCGGGCAGGGAGTGCACAAGATGCGTGAGCAGGTGACTGGCGGTTATATGCAGATTGTCGTGGGTGCACAGTTTGTTGCCGTTTGTGTCAAGATTAATGGATGGCTTGCGGGGCTCTCGGCTCGTAACCAGGTCCCAGGTGTTAATTTGATTGGGCAGAAGCGGATGCCCGCCGTGCAAGTGGTACAGTGCATCTTCTCGGTTATTTTTCACAGCAAATTCACGCACCAAAGCCAGCGGCTGCAGCTGAAGGCGTTCTGCAGTTTTGTATGTGGTCCAGGCCAGTGCCGCAGCGCCCAAAGTTGGTGCGGGCTCTGAGGGATCCGCCTTGGCGTTTGGTTTGCCTCTGACCGGAACGGTCATCAGCTCATTGGCCAGAACACCATCATCCGGTTCAAGGTACTGGCAGCGTGTATCGCCCGTAATAATGCACTGCGCCTTTCCCTCCCGCAGACTGTCCAGGGTCATTCGCAGTCCAGTAATTGAGCATATGTCGTCCTGCACGGCATGTGTCTCGCAGCCCTTCAAGCCCAGTTCTTTGGCTACGTTGGTGAGTCGCTCATTGCACTCGGTGGCGGATGCATTCGACGAGGAGCAGACAATTAGCTTTTTGAACTCCTCCCGCGGCACCAAAGTGCGTTTCACCAGCTCATCGATGACAATGCCAGCCAGCTGCTGCTCCTCCGCCTTGAATGGCGTACTCGGGGTACGCACAGCGGCTGCGATTACCACGGCATTGTTATGTGTTCCGTCCAACTGCTTGCTAGAGTGCCGCAAGAACCTCGAAATGCTGGGAAGAACAGAAAACCCATTATCAGTGTCATTATCATGGCTGCATTACGCACTTTTTAGAGTGTTGCATGCGTAACCTGCCCAGAATTATCGTGTGCATGTTCAAACACATGTCTTTTATTCGATTTAACTACTACTATTAATTTAAGATTTTAAAAGCCGAAATTCAGTTTACACATAACATCTGATCCGTTATCGATAACGCTAACGATATCGTCTATCGCGCCAGTTTATGCATGAGCAGTGTGACCATACTAGTGGGACCCAAACAGCTGTGCGGAAAGATAAAAAGAAAAACAACATTAACAATAAGCCCAGAGAGAGAGAAAGTTACTGTTAGTTTTGTTAACCGCTAAAACAAAGGCCAACGCGACGCAACGAGAAACCAGTTATTTATTACTCAATAGCACACAGGCAGTCGAGCCGTAAGCCTCATTGCAGACGCGACCAGCTGTATCGACAGTCGGCCCTAATTCGGAAATCAAATGGAAGTGACCTTCAAAAAGGCCCGATTGGTAAAGCACACAAATGCAACAGCGGCAGCATCAGCAGACGCAGAAGAGTACACACCCAATAATGGGTGGTGGGCCTTGCCAGAGCCCGCCCTTCTAATGATCTTCGAGCGTCTGAATGTGTTCCAGCTGCTGCAGGCGAGCTTGTGTTGCCGGAGATGGCACAGCATTGCCAACGATGATCTGTTGTGGCGTCAAAAGTTCCAGGAAAACTTCCGAGCCTCACCGAGCATACCGCTGAAGCCAGGTGCCGACAGCTGGCGTTCGGAATACCAGCGCCTGTCCACACACATACCCTTTGTTCAGGCGCAGCGTCTGGAGCCGACGGTGGAGAACAATCACGGACATACGCATCAGGTTCTACATGTGAGCTTTGCTCACAACGGTGAGATGTTTGCCACCTGCTCCAAGGATGGCTATGTCATAGTGAGTAGTCCTACCGATATGCGGATATGAGTTGGGGTTTTAATCAGTGCATCCTGCCTCGAAACAGATATGGAACTCGCAGCATCCATGCACGGAGAAGTATGCGCACAATATGAAACAATTCAGCTGGAAGTACTCTCAATATTCGCAGTTCAATCAGAGTGACACACTGCTGCTGGTCTCAGGTGTGCACTTTGGATCGCCGCAGTCCACGTCTGGAGAGATAGCCGTGTTCTTTCTGGGTGCGACCGAGTCCCATTTACGCTGCAGAGTGGTCAATCGGCCGTATGATATATTTGGCACTTGGTTCAGTGATCAGTATTTGATCTCGGGGGACCTGCATTGGCTGGCCCATTTGGTGAGCACATCGGTGCTGTGGCTGAACAAGGCCAATCAGGAGATTGACTCTGAGCACGTGCCGATCATGAGCCAATTGTACAAGTTCTACAACCGCAATGCCAGCTCTGTGCGGGCCATAATGGTGGCCAGATGTCCCTGGTTGGACGAGAGCAACGATCCTTTGGCCAAGGTAGAGGCGGAGACGCGCAGTCCGACCTTTCCGTTTCCATTATCTAATGATGAGGCGCAGGGTTCGCAGGCCAGTGGCAATCCTCTGTCGCATGCCGCCAGCCTTAGGCGCACACGAAGTGCCACGCCGGAGGAGAACTTTTTGCCCGACATAAGCGAGCGTCGGTCCAGAGCACGACCTGGCGATGCGACCATTCATTACCTGGAGGAATACAGAAAGGCTGTGGCGCCCACAAGCGAAGCCAACGAAGAGGAGGACGATGAGGAGTACGACTCCATGGATGTGCATGAGGAGTACGACGAAATGGAGAATAGCATACCCAAGTATCTGATCTTTTCGACGGGCTCCAAGACATTTACACCGCACCAGATCGGCTTCAAGCGCATTAGGAACGTTTACTTTCCCAAAAAACTGGACCCGGGGCCCTCGCTGAAGGAGCGAATAGCAGCCAAGCGGGCCGCAGAGCAACAGCAGCAGCAAGAGCCACGCAATGATCCGGACTGGTGGGACTATGATTCCGTTAAAGATCGCTTCGATCAGGTGGACAAAGTCATCGATCTGCATGGCCACATCATTGGCATGGCGCTGAGTCCCGATCATCGTTATTTATATGTTAATACGCGCCCGTGGCCAAAGAACTATGTGATTACCAATCCGCTGGAGCCGCCGCCAATTGCACAGGAGATCGATATACATGTGATTGATTTGATGACGCTGAAGCGAGTGGGCAATATGCTGCGCGCCCATAAGGCCTACACGCCCAGCACCGAATGCTTCTTCATATTCCTCGATGTCTGTACGGAGTATGTGGCCAGTGGGGCGGAGGACCAGCATGCCTATCTATGGGATCGCTACTATGGCATTAGTTTGGCCAAATTCAAGCACTCGGATGTGGTCAACAGTGTGGCCTTCAATCCAAAAGACTCGGAGATGCTCGTGACCACCAGCGATGACTATACAATTAAGGTGTGTGTGTGCCACACGGTTCTTATTTATTTGAATGCTATTTTGTTAAAACAAATGCTTTATCTCCAACAGGTTTGGCGTTCACGGGCCAAGGCAAAGGCCTATAATATACCCATTAATGTGAGCGAATCTTTCGAGCTCAAGCCGAAGAAATGAAGATCGGCTAGCTATATATGAACAATAACCATGTGCCTGCCCTGCCCTGCCCTACCCTGCCTCAGTATGACAGATGTTCATATACAAAAGTGGTTCGGTTCTTACTGCCGGAAAATAAATTGTTTGTTTATAGCTGTTAATATTTAGTTACAACTTGTTAACGTTTTTAATTATACATAATCGAAAATGGTGTTCGTTCGTCCTACGACTTGCCCGCCTGCTCGAACTGGTCAATGGGTGCGGCTGGATCGGGCTGTGGCTTCACTGGCGTTGCAACAGGCTCAGCGGGTGGGCATGGTCCTGGCTGCGTTGAAGCCTGGGCGGATGTACATGGCTCGTCATCCGGCTGACCAGAACTGTTGTCATTATCATGATTATGATTGTGTTTGGCGTTTCGCTTGCGCTTCTCGGGATGCCCAAAACAGTGCTCACAATCTTCATCGTCCTCCGAGGAGCTCTCACCGAATGCCAGGGGTTTCTTATATATGCAGCAGCCTGCAAAGTTATATATAAATAAATGTTGGCCTATGGTTTGCAATAGTAGAAAGATTACATACATTTGGATTTCTTGCGATTCAAATGCTCATTGTCTATGACACCTTCGTGAAAAATCACCCGGCGTTCGTCTCGTGGCTGTTCCAGGCGCAAGTGCAGTGTTGGTGCAGTTTGTGACTGATTTCCATCTGTTTCTTCAGTTGTCGTGCCATTACTTGACTTATTTTTTGTTCTTTGGGCCATTTTTTTTTAATAAAACAAATAACAGATTATAGTGTGAACGTATTGTGCCGTGTCCGGTTCGATGACAGCTGTTATCGGTGTACCAACGATATGGCAACGCAACAGCTACAAATTATGTATATTTTAATAATATAATTTGAGGTACAACAGCATAATTTAATTCACTTCGATTGAATATTAATAATAGAAATTTGAAGGCCTACTTAATACTAGAATTTCCTATTATATATGCAGGTGTCTACAGACCAGTGCGGTCTTTAGCTTTAAAAAGCCAAGTTTGTTTTTTTTTAGGGAAATGCGGGAAATTAATGAATTAATTATTAATTGTCATCTTTGTGCTTATAAGTATCTGTTGTACACCGATTATGTGGGTACTCTTGAGGCATTATTTGGCCAAAATTAAGTATGTAATATTTAGATATAACAGAATTAGCTATAAAATAACTTAGCTGGCAACACTGCCATAGACAACCGCATTGTTGATCTGGTAACGCCAAACGCGAACGTCACATTTCAGCTGACAGTCGTCGGACCGAAAATGGCTGCAATTGTGCGATTTAATTTGTTAACCAAGCCGCAATTAGGTAAATAAACGCGAAGAATTTGTGCAACAACTATTAAGTGGTGATTTGGCAGTAGCATGGGCTAGCCGCTTGCTTGCGAGACATGTCAAACAAGCCGCTGCAAGCCAGCAAAACAATCATTTGCCCTGCAATCAAATTATGTAATTTTTGCGCAAAGCAAAACAAAATGTAAGGCAAGAGGTTCTGCGCAGTTTATTGATTTGCATCGTGTGCTTATTGCAGTTGCGGCACTTCCGGCCAGCGTGCAGCTGCAGCGGCTCCAGAGCACACAAGCGCCGCCCGCTGGCACACCGCCACCACAGACGAAGACCAAGTTCGGTCCCTTGGCCGACGAGGATCGCATCTTCACAAATCTGTATGGACGCCACGACTGGCGGCTGAGCGGTGCCCTGAAGCGTGGCGACTGGTACAAGACCAAGGAGATTGTTCTGAAGGGTCCCAACTGGATTATCAATGAGATCAAGACATCGGGTCTGCGTGGTCGCGGTGGCGCTGGCTTCCCCAGTGGCATGAAGTGGTCTTTCATGCAAAAGCCTGGCGATGGACGTCCCAAGTACCTGGTGGTGAATGCCGATGAAGGTGAGCATTATGAAATCCATTTCAAATGATCGATTTACATTCATTTTATCTCGTGTTTTATTTTCAGGCGAGCCTGGTACCTGCAAAGATCGTGACATCATGCGCCACGATCCCCACAAGCTGGTGGAGGGCTGCCTGATTGCGGGCGCTGCCATGGGCGCTCAGGCTGCCTACATCTATATTCGTGGCGAGTTCTACAACGAAGCCTCCAACATGCAGCTGGCCATCGCCGAGGCCTACCAGGCTGGCCTCATTGGCAAGAATGCCTGCGGCACCGGCTACGATTTCGATGTCTTCATGCACCGTGGCGCTGGCGCTTACATTTGCGGTGAGGAGACCGCTTTGATTGAGTCGCTCGAGGGCAAGCAGGGCAAGCCGCGCTTGAAGCCGCCATTCCCCGCTGATGTGGGTGTCTTTGGTTGCCCCACAACGGTCACCAATGTGGAGACGGTGGCCGTTGCGCCAGCCATTTGCCGTCGCGGCGGCACTTGGTTTGCCAGCTTTGGACGCACCCGTAACTCGGGCACAAAGTTGTTCAACATCTCGGGACACGTGAACAATCCCTGCACCGTGGAGGAGGAAATGTCCATACCCCTGAAGGAGCTGATTGAGCGTCATTGTGGCGGCGTCACTGGTGGCTGGGACAATCTGTTGGGCGTCATTCCCGGCGGTTCGTCCACACCCATTATTCCCAAAAATGTATGCGATGATGTGATTATGGATTTCGATGGCTTAATTGCGGCTCAAACATCGCTGGGAACGGCGGCCATCATTGTGATGGACAAGTCAACGGATGTGATTAAGGCAATTGCCCGGCTCATCTCGTTCTACAAGCACGAGAGCTGTGGCCAGTGCACACCCTGCCGCGAGGGCATTGGCTGGATGAACAAAATCATGACGCGGTGAGTAGAGACACATTTTTCGTCGATTATTTCAAACCAGAATCAGATTGAGGCAATCCATTTCCTTTCAAATCATTTGATTATGCGCAGCTTTGTCAAGGGCGATGCACAACCCGCTGAGATCGATATGCTTTGGGAGATTTCAAAGCAAATTGAAGGCCACACCATTTGCGCATTGGGTGACGGTGCCGCCTGGCCTGTCCAGGGCCTCATCCGCCACTTCAGACCCGAGATCGAGAAACGTATGCAACAACATGCACAGCAAACGAAGCGTGCCAGCAATTAAATTACTCTGTTATAGCTAAATTTATTTCTTGATTTCTTTAAACCCGCTCGCACTCTTTGAATGCATATAAAGTGTAATATTCTCTAAACCATGTGCCCATTTCGCATTTCTCTGTTCTCTTCAATTGAGGTTTAGGTCTTGTATTTGCTTGATCACAGCCTGGATGTCCTCGGCGTCTGGTGTCTCGTATTTAGGTGGAAAGCTGCACACACTCAGGGGGCCGCCAATCTTCTGCTCCACACCAGGCTCATCCACACAGCGAGCGGGTATAAATTCATATCTATAAGAGGTATTCAATTAGCAGGATATAAGGGAAGTTTGGTCCAACTTACGTCTTGCTATCGCATCCTTGTAGAACCAGTAGAACCAAAACTACAACTATTACGAACAACAACAACAAATTTTTTAACATTTTGAGCTTTCTAAAGATTTGCTTGCGTTGCTTTAAACGGTCAATTAACGACTGTCGGGCTGCTGTAAAATTCCAGGTTAAGAACACTTCTACATATCTCTAGCCGGACATTTGATAACACTAGTCAACACTAGAATTAGGCTGTGAAACAAAATGACTTTTTCTGATAGATTTCGGGGTTTAAATTTTTAACGAATTATGGTTTTTTTTTATGATAAAGTTTTTTTAAAGAATTTTTTAAAATCTGGTATTTTTTAATGTTTTTTTCAGAGGTAGTGCTTCTATTTTTCACATAACTAAGTATCATATATCTGGTTGCATAGAACTTTGCAGTTCTAAAAAACTGGCAAATGCAGCTATAAATCCGACCCAGATTTTTTGTATCTGCAGCTTAACGCCTGAAAGATATTAAGCTTTCAAATTCAAATTTCATCATTTTTTGCGGTATTTTTTTTTCGAAATTTTGACTTTAAAAATTCGGAAAAGTCGAGAGAAAAATAATTCTTGGCGTGCATTTTTAGTTTTAGATAGACGCATTAATTCGGCGTCGTTTGAGGTATTGTTCATTAAAATCTATGGATTAAGCTGCAGATACAAAGGTTCTGGGTCGGATTTATAGCTGCATTTGCCAGAAGCAGAAGTAGAAGCACTACCTCTGAAAAAAACCATGAAAAAAATACCAGATACCATAAAAAAAATATTAAAGTACTACAAAAATTTTTAAATCTCGAAATCTATCAGAAAAAGTCATTTTGTTTCACAGCCTAAATAAAAAGATCAATTTTGTCGAGTAGTGTAATGGAAATATGAATTTTGATGTCCTCATGAATTATTAATGCAACAGAAATTTGTCATGGCGTTCTGGAGATCACCGGAATGCCGGCACTATAAAACAATTATCTCGAAACGAGTATGATCATCGTTACTATAATAATTATTTATACTCTTTCCAAAGGGCATAGGTGCTATAGTTTGAAGTTCGTACTAACTGGAATTATCTTTTATCTTGGATGAAGCTATATTAAATTGCAATTAATTGCAGATAAATCTGCTTGCTTTAGGCATTTGATTTAGTTAATATATGATAGGTAATGATGCTAAAATGGTTCTTAAGGTTGAAAGAATTTCGGTTCTATACGATTTTCTAGATTGATCCTTAATGTGCCTAAGACTTATAGCTCTCGTTTCAGTTTTCCCTTCAGTTAGAATTGTTTTAAATAAATATCCATCCCTTACAGCGTATTCAAAGGCCTTCAAAGTTGAAAAGGAAATAAAACAATTCACATTCTTTTTAGTATGTTTAGCATATTTATAGTTTTTTTAGAGTTTTTTCATTTGTTTCTTTCTTGTTTTGTTTTAATGAAGATTTAGTTAAAGTACAAAATGATATTATTAAAAGTTAGTTTAGGGTTTTTCTAGCCACTAGTTCAAAGGCGATAACAACAGGCTGCTGCTTCAGATGGCTTTAAAGGAAGTTTTTAAGGTTAAAAGAGTTTTACATACAGTTTGGAAATAAAATGATTTGATTGACGACAGCATTGCTTTTGTAAAGTAACGAAATTACATACATAGTATAGTGTATAGTATAGTAGTGTAGTGTAGTTTCCCTCAGTGTAATAGTATAAAAAGTATCTGCATAGAAAATATGTGAAAAAGTTGGCAACGGATAGTGGCAGATTAGTTTTTTTTATTTTTGTGTAGTTTGCAATTTGCAATTGTGTGGAGTGGGCGACGACGGCTAAGGGGAAACACTCCCAAGCTGAGTCATCCTCCATATTGCAAATGAAACCCGAACCTGAGTCAGTTCTGAAACTGCGCGCTCGGAGTTGGATCTCAGTGGACCGCTCTCTCCTTCTCCTTCTCTCTCTTTCTCTCTGTTCAATTGCACTGTACGATATTCAAAAATGTTTAGAAAAAGTGTATAAAGAATTTAAGTCATAGAAATACATATGTATACAATACTCGTTATTTTTTTTTAGTTTTTTAGTTTCTTTTTAAATCTTTTACCACACATTTATAATCTTTTTTTGTTTTTTTTATATTTTCTTTCTTTTATATTTATGTATATATGTATGCTTGTATGTATATATATATATATGTAAGTTGTATGTATGTTTTCGTTAGGTATGTACTCGTATTTGATTTAGATTTTGTTAGGTTTTATTTTAATTGTTTTTGCTTGTTTTTAAAAGTTTTAGATCTCGTTTTTTAGTTTAGTTTGATTTGCTTTCGTTTCGTTTAACTTGGCTTAAAGCGTTCATCTTATTGCTTATCTATGAGAAGGAACATAGTACAATATATTTTTTTGTTTTTGTATTTTGTATTTTTTTTTCTCTCGTTATTTTGTTTGTTTCTTAAAAGACTAAACAACATTTCGAACAAGTCACTAGAAGAGTTTTGTTTTGTTTTTGCTTTTTGCTTGTTTTTTGCTTTTGGGTTTTCGGGTTTTCTCCATTTATTGCATAGCTTTAGGCGCACAACATCTCGTAGTGTAAATAAGCGTCAACTAACACTGCCACCCACATTATATACTATATACTATATATATATATATATGTATGTATGTATGTCCTATGTATTATGTAGTTGTATATATATATATATGTATGTATGTATGTATATATTGTAGTAGGTTTTTAGCCAACTAATTGCGTAGAGCTTTTGAAAAACATCTAGATAGTTCTCTTTGGTTGGGTTCGTGGGTGGGGGGCGGGGTTTGTTTTCTAGACAGGACTCAGGATTGAGGATCAGGTCGTAAGTAAAAAATATATCATATATGTATATATATATATATATATATATATATATATAATGTATATCAAGTTTTTGTTTTAGTTTTAGTTTAGTTTAGTATCACACTAGTAGAGATAATGCGAAGAAGCCTGAGCTCTATACTGTTTCGGTGTCAGCTTGATCAGTTTGGGATTGAATGCGCCCAGCGCCGCCTCATTGGTGGACGATGGCGGCGGTGGCACTGTGTGCGTCCGGAAGCGTGATCTCAGAAAATTTTGCATGGAGCGCAGCCGTATGATGGGCGCACAGGGCGATTGTCGTAGCGAATTGTGGTTGAGCGCCCAATAGATGACCGGACTGATGGCCGAATAGAAATAGCCTGCAGGCGAGAGAGAGCGAGTAGTTATGCACTGGCGCCTCCTGCTCCTTCTCCTGCTTTGTTCTATACTCACCCAACAACAGACTGAAGTAGACGGAGGATTTGCTGCAGTATTGCTTGTAGCCGAAATTCTTATAGAATATGCAAAAGACATGCGGCGCCCAGCAAACGATAAAGATGATGGCGGAGGCGATCAGCATGTTGGCCAAGTGGCGGCGTGACCTCAGCGTCGATGTCTGTGGCAGCGGTATGCCAGGCGTGGCCGGACCCCGACCACGGCCCGCGCGATGTATTCGCTGGCGCTGCGAATGGATGCGTATCTCCCTCATGGCTCTGCGGAGCAACACAACACAACACAACACAAATTAAATTGCGATTCGAACATCAGACAACAAACAACAAACATCCAATTAACGCTAATCACCTGGGCGATATGGGGTTGCTGGACCGAAAGGAGCCCGGCTCAAGGACCGAACCGGATGCCTGCGGCACGCGGGGCTGTAGCGTGTGCATTTGTATGTCGCCCGGACTGACGGCCATTTGTCCGCCGCCACCGCCAGTGCCATTCCCATTCGAGGTATCGTCCACGGTGGTGGGGCCACCGCAGGCCGCCTGCTGTGCGTTGGCACAGCCCGTCACAATCACCATGTGCGTCTGGCGCCGCAGGATGGGCATGGGCAGCGGCAGCTCCCCGTGCGCCGCACGAGCCGTCAGCGACAGAGCGCAGAGCTTGCGCCGCACCCCGTAGTGATTGAGCAGCACCCCCACGCCGGGCAGCACGAACACGGCTATCGTGTGGAAGATGATGAACGACATGAACATGGCATTGGCGCCCAGATCGGAGGTGCAGCTGATGCTAACGGGATTCGGTGTGGTGCTGGTGCTGGCATTCGTGCTGCCGCCCCCTGCTCGCCCCTTGACGATGACCGACTTGGCTATGATCTTGTAGGCGAATAGAAACGGCGTGCTGATGGCGGCCGAGGCCAGCCAGGAGATCAGCGCCAGGGAGACGTGCAGGTAGCGACGCTGTCGCAGCTGGGCCAAGCGAGGATGCTTAACGGTGGCATAGCGATCCAGGGAGAGCATGAAGAAGGAAATGGTGCTGGCCGCCACGGGCATGACCTGTCCAGGGAAACAGAAAGAGAGAGAGAGATTAATTAAGTATATGTAAAAATCAAAGCTGCTAAGAGCTGAACCCACCTGAATGTAGTGTATGACCTTGCACAGCACCAGCGGCAGGGATCTGGTCTTGCGATTCATGGCCAGGTTCAGCAGGGTGACGGGTGCCGATATGCCCGTGACCAGCAGATCGGCAATGCACACGGCCAGCAGCAGGGGATTCCGCAGGCGCACCGACGAGGCCGAGCAAAGGGTGAGCACCAAGGTGGAGTTGCCCACAACGCCGCCAAAGACGACGAGACCATAGCTGACGGCCAGCAGGAGCAGCGTCAGCGAGGATATGGCATTCTCTGAATCGCCGCCGCCGCCGCCAGCAGCAGCGTCAGCAGCATCCAGATCGTACGGATTAATCAGACTAAAGTTGCCGTAATCGAAATCCGTGGCTGAGCCCTCCAGCTCCGTGGTGGGCAGGGTCCAGGTGCCGGTGCCGCTGCCGCCAAGCTGATTATGCTCGAGGAGCGCATAGTGCAGCTCCGTGGTGTCGAGGTCGTTGTTCGTCTCCAGATGATGCCGCCGGTATGTGTGCTCCCACCATTGCTGCAGATTGTTGCTGTTCATGCTGCCCGTAAACGTAAACGTAACCGTAAACGTAACCGTCGCTGTCGCTGTCGCTAGTCGTATGCCAATCCGTGTTCGATCTTCGTTGTCGATGCGTTTGTCTGGCCGCCTCATTTCATACTAAAAGGTGCCTGCCGCTGCCGCACAGGACACCAAATAATAAAAGGAAAAAAGGTAGCAAAATGTAACAAAATGCCATCATCATCATCAGTCTTTTTTGTTCTTGTTGTTGTTGTTGTTGTATACCCCAGCAAGGACACACACTCACACACACACACACATTCAGGAAGCAAGCAGACAGAGAACAGAACAGAACAGACACCGACATGGCATTCAACACAAATTCCACACACACACACACACACACACACACACACAGAGACACAGACGAGTGTTACGACCCTTGGTCCTACACCCCCACCCCCACCCCCACCCCCACTTGCACTTACAGTTACCCAACGCTGACACTGACACTTATGCAATGCAATGAGAGAATGCGAACCAGATAGCCCAAGGTACAGGGTACATATGTATATGGCAGTAGAAGAGTAGAAGATGCGCTGATACCCTTGCCTGTTACCTAGTTACCCAGTTGCTAGATGGATCTGTGGCACATTTGAGCCAGAAATAACCCACCAACCTAACGTGGAAGTCAGCATACCCCCCGCGAGTCGCGGCGAGTAAAGCGCATAACAAGGCAGAGCACACTCAGAGATTAGTGCTGCTCTTCCTTCCGTTTTCCTGCTCGCTGACTGCGGCCAAATGAATGGCAACCTTGCACTTTGCGCCCTCGACAAACAACCGCAAGGTTTGCCGCTGCCGCCTCTCTGTCTCCATAACCGGCTGCTGCTGCTGCTGGTGCTGCTGCCTCAGATACATCCACTGGCAGTGCCACAGCTGCGCCCCAGTTGACGTTTAAGCCGCCCCCCCCCATCAAGGCAATGTGCGGGTGTCGGCCAAAGTTTGCACTTAATTGCGCGTTAAGGCCACCCACAGAGTACCCCCGAATCGGGGATTCGGCTTAAGCTTAAAGCGTGGCTGCAGTTGCAGGTGCCGACCGCACCGCACCGGACATTGTGGCAATAAATGCAAGCCCAGCCCAGCTATTAAAAATCTTAATTGAAATTCTTATCAAAAGCGAGTTAAAAACTCATTAAGCGCCGTGGCAGCAGGCAGGCAGGCAGGCAGGCAACGGAAAGGGTGAAACAAGATTCAATTGGGACATGGACATGCCACAGAGCAGACTCTGTCAGAAACAGAGCAGGAATTATGCCTGAAATTTTAAAACTAAGACAAACTTTCAGTTGAGTTGTAGTTAAATGTGCTGAAAGTTGGGGGCACGAGTGGAGCCCTTGAGTTGTGTATTTAACCCTAGCTTCTGCAACTGCAACTTGTCTGCCTCACAACTAATACAGCAGTTGATGCTTTCAAGTTGGAAATAGTTCTGCGGACTCCTAGAGCTACAGAAGGTGCACTGCAGTCAAGCATTTCTTGCTTAAACTTTTCCAAGTCGAACACAAATAAAATTGAGTGGGCAATGCATTGCCCGATTTAGAGCTACATATTTCAATGCACTTTGATGTTGTTTAAGTTTTGTATTAAAAAACTGATTTAGCAAACAGTTTGTAGAGATTCCAAGAGCCATCCCATGCCACGCCACGCCACGCCGCCCACAGCCATTAATGATTTTGTTCGCTTTAAAGGCTATAAATACGAATCCGGATAAGTATGCTACATAAAAACGTGCAGCCAATATTTTCAATAATCATGAAATTGCATCGTGCGTCACCCTAATAAAAATCCATCCACCACCCCCACAGCCAGTCGCGGGGGTTGGGGGTATTGCTGCCTGCGTCAGTCATTGTGCAGGCAGCCCCATCTCCCCCTGCTCCTGCTTCTGCTCCTGCTCTTGCTCCCCCTACTCCTCCGCTGACTGGTGTGTATCAATTTTGTTGTGTGCGCGCGGGAGAAGTGGAGTGAAGGAAGGGTGGGGGGGCTGCAGCCTCCTCCTGCTGCTCTACCGTCATTGTCCTGCGCACTGTCAATGTGTGCGTGCGGCTGCTCTATCGGTGCTCTTTGTGTCTGTGTCTGTGTCCCTGTGTGTGTGTGATGTCAACGCTTTTGCCTTTTGCTGTGGTTTTTTCCCTGCTCTTTGTTTTGCCGGCGGACGGCGGACGGTTGGGGGATATGTGGGAGAGGTTGGTGGGGTGTTGTAATGTGGGTGGATGATGTGAGTGACGTTTGCTTAATCTGCTTAATTTGCGTTAATTTAATCGTGGCTAACGGTGTGTGGGTGTGCATGGGTGTGTGTGTGTGTGTGTGTGGCAAAGCACATGTTGCTATTGCCACTTCGACGCCTAGACCTTGATTTTTGCAAACCACTGAGAGGAGAGGAGGTGCTACCAAAGCAATACAATTATGTACATTCCCTTTGTAACACACACACGCGGTACGACATTACACGGCATGACAAAAGTGTTAAGAATTTATCTCTGATATATTCAGAGAATAAAAATATTTAGAAACTGTGCCGTTCGACATTATTTACGTCGAATTTATGTGGATTATTTATCCATTAATGCTGTACAAAAATATACACCTAGCCCTCGCTTAGCACGAACTCGGTCTTACTAGGTAATAAATTGGCTCCCCTTTAAACAAGCTGAAAACCTCGTTCATACACTATTTCAAAACCTTATAAGTCACTAAAAAATCAATAATAACAGATATCAAAGACTATACAAAATATTGTATTGTATTGTATAGTATAGTCTTTGCTGATATGGATGTCAAACTTAATACGCAATCGATAACTCACTTAACACAAGATTTTTGAGGAACGTAATCCACGTCTTAAGCTAGGTGTATTCATAATAATAATAAACATAAATAAAAGCTTTAAACGAGAAGGAACGTGCGAGTCGCTTCTGGAGACGCGACTCTACTTATACCCGTACTCAGTCAGTATATACATTTTTGATTATGATTTGATTTTTTAGAATTTTAAAATTTAAAAAAACATTTTAAAATTTTTCTCGTATCTTTAAAATTGTGCCTGTAGCAGCTTCCATTACTGCTAAATATCTCTGCGCGTTATTTTAAATGTATCCATGGGCAGTACGCATGTGTGTGTGCGTGTTCTTTTAGCACCTATTGTCTAAATGCCAATAACCTGTTGAGTGGTTCTTATTTGTGTATTTATTTGTGTGAACTCTTTTGCAGGAAAAGCAAATAAAATCTACAGCAAAGCCCCTACGAGACCCATTTGAGAGTCCAAAAGTGTAGCTTCAGTTTCTTCTTTTGCTGCTCCTCTCAACTCCTAACTCTCGTTCATTACCAGTTTCCTTTCATCCAGCCACTCCGCCTGCCCACTGTGGGTGCTGACAACTCTCGCCCGGCGGGGGCTGCTGTGCTGTGCTGTGCTGTGCCGTACCTCGCTCGATTCGCTTATTGAAAATAAAATATGTATGTATGTATTAATTTACGTCACTCAAACGTCAGCAACAAGCACAAAAGGTGACAAAAGCTAAGCTGAAGAGAACAAAAAAAAGGAAAGAGAGGATGTAGAGAAGGCGATGGCGGGCGATGGCAAGCCATCTCCAAAAGAATGGCCATAAGAAAAGCCAATGGAGATAAAAAAGGAAACGGAACGAGCGTCCAACGAGTGGAGATGGAGGTGGAGCGAGAGAGAGAGCGGATTGGAGTGGAGCAGAGCAGAGCGTCAGGCGATGAACGCCGAACGCGATGATGATGAGATTTGTTGTTGCTGCTAATATGAAAAGTGTCCGCCACAGGTGAGTTAATATAACAGACACACGCACAGGACAGGGCCACAGATACACTCCCCCAGTGCACAGATACACTCAACAAAGAGACCAGACCCAGGGAACCGGCTCGGCCCGGCCCGGCCCAGGACCCCAAACATAGGGATACACATAGGGGGGCGGCGGAGCGGGAGCGTCTGTAGCGCCTGACGTTGTGTCGGCTTCTGGCTGGGGCTCTGCTCTGCTCGCTGCTCGCTGCTTGCCCGCTGCTTTTTGTCTGTCTTTATTGATTTCGGCAGCTTTTATATTATAATGGCTAGGGGTGGGGTGGTTGGCATGGCATGGCATGGCATGGGAGTGGAGTGGAAGTACGAGTAGGAGTGGGAGTGGGAGTGTCTCCGTACTGTCCAAGCGTACTTTTGGCTTCTTCGTGACTGCCACAATGGCAAACAAACAAAAGTCTTTTGGTATCTTTTTAGGAGCTAGGGTAGGGCCGGCCCGCGGCATTATTCGATGAAAAACAATTATTATATTATTTTCCACCTATTATCATATAATTTCTGTAGTGCTTTATTATATGAATATTCATAAAGGAGCGCCGCACCTCCTCCATTACAGCAACCAGCCCTTATTTCGCTTACAACTATTATAATACAATTTGGCAGAGTTTTATATTCATTCGGAGCACGCAATCATCCTTAATGTATGGGGCTGGATATATTTGAATAATATTTAGTATAATTTTGAATGATTTTATCTATCAAACGCGCGCCACAAGTTATTTTAGTTTTTGTTTTTTGGCGGCGCCTGAAATGATGGGAAAATTCATTGAAAAACAATTTGAATAATATTTTGCACTCATTATCATATGGTTTCGAAGAGAGGTGAATAATATGAATATTCATTATGAATACTGCTTCGCACACATCCCCAACTATACATACATATATGTATGTATGTGTATGTGTGCGTGTTCTCTCTCTCTCTGTCTGTCTGTCTTTCTGTCAGCTTTAAGACCCTATGCAAACCTTTTTCGACGAACAATAAAGAAATGCGTGGGCCAGGGGCTTTGGGGGTGGCTATGAATGGATGGATGGATGGAGCAGACACTCACACACTGGCACGTTAACAATCCCTATCCTTATCACACACTTACACACCGACGACACAGTGGCTCCTCCGCACCACAGTGGGCTTCATCCGTATAAAAAACCGACACCATAATTACTAACCATCAAAATGCGCGTGATGGAGTGCCATGACAAAAGGCACACAAGAAATAATGTTGCATACCAATTAGTGGAGGCATCAAAAGGAGGCGGCACAACACTCCCACATACAAATACAATATATATACACATGTATATCCTAGCTGCTGCCCCCCCACACTCTTTATACGTAATATCCCTACCGTGTTTTGCTTAACGAAATTTTTGGGTTGATGCTGCTCCTTCGCTTCTGCTGCTCCTGCTGCTGCTGCTGCTTCTGTTTTTGTTGCCGTTGAGGGATATTCTTGGTGGTGATAGCGACGTTGTTTATTTTATAGAAGGCACTGTAATTTACAGTTAGAACTATTTTGCATATTTCTTTTTTTTTTTTTTTTGCTGTTATTGCAGTTTCCACACGCCGTCGATTCTTTTACTTTTTTTCTTCCTTTTATATTTTATTTATTTTGTTGTTGTTTTTTTTTTTTGTTAATTTATCAAATAACACTTTTAGCAAATATTTGTTTTATTTCGCAAGATTTGTATTTTATTTATTTTGTTGTAAAATTTATTTAAAAATGTTGCCCGCGTTTTGTGCTCTTTTTTCCTTCTTTTCTTATATTTTTGAAATTATATTTGTTGATATTTTTGTGACTGTGTGTGTGCATGTGTGTGAGTGTGGTATGTGTGTGCGTGTCTGTGTGTGTGTGTTTGTGTCGGGGGGGACAAACAAAAAAGAGTCCAAAAAAATAAAACTTAAATTTTGGCGTGCAAAAACTGTTCCTCAGCGGCGCACATTACTCGACAGGACTACGGAAGACTGTGGCTGTGGCTGGCGTTGAAAAAGTTTCCATGGCATCCAACCCGGAGAGAGTCCCGTCCACAGCAGAGTTCGTTGGAGTCAAAAGTCGTTGTCGTCGTCCTCGTCGTCGTGCAGGATACGATGCCAGGAGAGAGAGAGAGAGCTTTTCGAGTGGCGCTCAAGCAAGCTTTTCCTCCCCACATTGACTTTCGCTTTCATTCAACATTTGCAGCGCCCGCACCGCCCCTTTCCACTGGCAGGACTGGGCCAACAGATAAGTGACGGGCTACAGATTGATGTGGGGGGGTGGGGCTCGGTGAGTGTGTACTTTAAAACTATTAAGGGAATTTCCAGCTTAGTCTTCGGGGGCATAGAGTGAGCCAGAGAAGCATTTATGAAGTCAAGTCCCATTAGAGAGAAAAGTCTATCCTTCCTTTCACAAATAATACAAAACAACACTCTGACAATGAGCGCGAAATGAAAGGGGATTGGATTAGTTTTTGTTTTTCCCCTCCCATGGCTGGAATTATTAAATCAAAAAACAACAACAAACATTGTTGGAAAATTGTTGAATCGAAACTCATCTGTTAAATACTAACATTCTCTTTATTTAAATATTCATTTTGTATATGATTAAAATGCATGATGTACTTGTGTAATAGTTGCAATCTGTACTGGATTTGCTCCATGGTATACTTTATAAATGTAATATATGTAACCTACGCGCTTAAATTGTTAATTAATATGTTTTTTGTAGTTTTTGTTTGTTTTGTTTTGTTTTGCTTTTGCCATTCGTTTCGTTCACTCTGTTCAAAATGCAGAATACTGTTCTGTTGTATGATTGTTACATCGAAATTAAGTTACAATGGGGGTGTGGGAGGATAGGATGGATGTACTATCCATTTTTAGTGGTTTCATTTTGTAAGCCTAAAGGTGGGCGGCAATAAATTAAAGGGAGGCAGGGATAGGGTAGAGTTTTTGTTTGTTTATCAAATACGAGAATAAATTATGTTTTAAAACTTGTAAGTTGTGTGGAAAAGGAAATATAAATACATTCCGAGATTATTAATTAAAATGTACGTAGCGAGTGCAGCGTTATTTACGACCTTTACGACTTATAGCATACAATTGATGGTTGATGGTTTGTTTTGTTTTGTTGTTTGTTTTGTTTTGTTGTTTGTTTGTTTTTCAGTAAGTAGCAGCAGTGTTTCGATGATCAGTTCTCAGGGTTTCTCGTAGTATTTCGTGGTAACCTATGTGGAGCAGTATTTGTTGTTGGCAGCGGTATACTTATCGGTAGCAGTGTATTGCTTTTAGGGTATTGCTGCCCTCCCCCTTTCCCGCCTGGCAGGCAGTACAGACAGCTGACAGCTTCTAATCGTCGATGGTGTACTCGGGCAGCTTCTCGTACTTTTGCTTGGTGGCCTCGTGTGTGGTATCCACCAGCAGGGCGGTGTGCGAGTAACCCATTGTCACCTGAGGTATTTTAATGCCATCCATTTTGGGCACCTCCTTGGGCACCGTCGACGACTTCTGGAACTCACCAATGCCCAGCTCGCCAAATGTGGGCGATGCACCCCAGGCAATCAGTGTGTCGTCGGCCGAAATCACAATCGACGTATTGGCACAGCCCACATCGGTGACGTTCCAGCCGGACAAGTCCTGCACGGGCTTCGGGTACATATTGGCCTCGCCCGTCTTCTTGTTCTGGCCAAACAGATAGAGCAGACCCAGCTCGTTGACAATCAAGCTGAATGTGGAGCCACAAAAGACGCTGCGCCCACCACGACCTTGGGTATCGTAGAACTTCATCAAGCGCGGCACCATCTCATCCTTGGGCTCGGCATGGCCCAGACGACCGAAGCCGCCAAAGCCCCAGCTATAGACACGCTTCTTTGAGTCGATGGCCACCTGTTAATGGGTGTATTAGTTTTTGTTTAAATAACATCGTAGATAGATAATATGTAGAGGGATCTTTCATACCGTGTGATTGTTGCCGCAGGCAAAGTCAACGATCTGCACACCATCCACGGGCGTCACATGGCCCTCCTTGCTCTTCTCAATGTACAAGACGACCTTCTTGGGCGACGTCTCAAAGTGGAATGACAGCTTGTTGGCATTTACAAAGTACTTGGCATCCGTATTGTGGCCCAACTGGCCGTACTCCGGCAGACCGAAGGTATGCAAATTTCCCTTGATATCCAAAACGACCGAAAACTCGGCGCCACAACCTATGCGAATGATGGGCGGACCCCGATAGTTGATCGGAGTGGGCGAATATATATTGGCATGGGCATTGCCCACACCGCACTGTCCCGACTTGTTCTCGCCAAGGGCGTAAACGGTTCCCGTGTCGGTCAGGAAGAGTGTATGATGGCGGCCGACAGAAGCCTGGACAATGTTCAATTGCTCCAAGGCCGGAATGATTGTGGGCTTCTCCACCAGCTTTACATCCGGACTAAAGCCCAATTGTCCGCTGGGATTTCGGCCAAAGCCGAGAGCCTTGCGATCCATATTGATGAGTATGGTGTGGGCAGCACTCGGACCACTGGCCACATACCGATACTGCGGAGACACAATCGAAAGATTAGCTTCTCATATCTAGTGATAGTCCCCGAATAAAGCGACTTACCTTCTCCTCTGTAAACCGATGAAAGCTGTACAAGTTTGGGCGCACTTTTGTGACATTTTTGCGATCACGTTTGCCGGTCAGATCCCAGGTAACCATGCCGGCCAGCAGCAACTGTCCTGGCGTCTTCTCCAGCGTGGCCAGCAAGTCTTCGGGCAGCTTGCTGGGCGGATCAAGATCATCGTTCGGTATGAGCACCTCCATATGGGTGGCGGCCGCCTGCCGATGTGCGGCATCGTCATCAGAGTCATCGCTGAACTCATCCTCGTAGTCCGACTCCTTCTTCTTGGGACGTCTCTTGTTGGGACCAGCTCCATTGCCACCTGCCTTGCGCTTAGCGGACATATTCTCAAGTGAAGTTTTGTGAAGTGGAGGGTTTTTCGGCTCTGGCTGCACAATAGCTGTAACGAAAGAAGAGGCAGGCCAGGCGTTGAGAACCAGATATTTTGTACGCAGCAAAGCAGCAGAGCGTGACCCGGCTTTGCTCTCACACGCTCAGCTCTATACGTATGTGTGCCTGTGTGTGTGTGTGTGTGTGTGTGTGTGTGTGTGTGCGTTCGAGTTTGTGTGGTGGTTTTTTTTTTTGCAAGAAAAACAAAATGAAAGCCGCTACTGTCTCTGTCAACGACGCCGACAGCAGGAAAAAAACCTTTTCTTCTATTAAATGAATCGTTTTACATGAATAAAACAAAGCATTTCATTCTGTTGGCCAATCGAACGCCTTATTTGGCAGCTGCTGAAAGAATTAGCAATGAAAGGCGGCTAAAAACATGTTTGAAAATGTTAGCGTCACTTCACAAAAACACACACAAAGGCATTGCATAGAATTCACAGCATTCAGCATTACTTTGTCTATATTTAAGCGTTTCTCACAACTATTTCTTTGGGCGGGCAGTTTATTGATATAAGCTATTTATCTACTACAAACTTACAGTTCAAATCGCGGATTTATTGCAATAATTTTCTGAATTCGCGAGGGAATGGGCAAACAAACAGTGTGTTATCGATAAATGGTCTGACGCTCAAAAATATACCCAAATATACCACTAAAATATACCGAGGAAAATCATTTTGCTCAATTTCAACGTTCGATTAAATATTACTAACTAACTAGGACAGGACCCTAACTAGGACATATAACATATAATTTTATCAGATTGAGAAATCAATTCGGTTCCAGGGCTCAGTCGCTTTTCCGACTCATATTTGCGTTTAAGTAACAGTTCGTTTTCCAAACAAATCAAGGTCGAGGTTTTTCTTGCTATGTCTGAGTCCCAATAAAAGTGGAAATGAACAAGTCTTCAAAAAATATGAGCGTCGAAGGCGACGACGGATGGCAGTGGAATGCAAGCAACACAAAACTGCTTGTGGATCTGTACGAGGAACGGTATCTGCGTTTCCAGGATCCAAGAGTTCGCAAGCGGGCTCTTTGGCTGGAGATAGTCGAGGACATGGAGCAGGCTGGCTATAGGGGCATCTCGGCAGACATCTGCGATCGCAAATGGCGCAATATGCGAAAAACCTACCGCACATCCAAAGACGCAATGCTCAAGAGTGGGCGGAAAGGTGTGGCCTGGCCATATTATGACGTCTTTGACAAAATGCATCAAACTGAGGGACGCCCACAGTCGTCGTCAGAGAAAAACTCTGATTCCGATGACACAACATTCAACATTGCAGTGGCGGACATTCTGGCCGCAACCTCAGAGGGCGTACCATCCACCACAACTGGCGATGATCTCACAGTGACGCAGGAACAACAACGCCAGCTGCTGATCCTGGAGCGTAGCCGCATTGCAGCCGTGAAGGAGCTGAGCAAGCGCATCGACGAGTCGAATGCCATACAACGCGAGAGGAACGATCTTCTCAGAGAGTATCTGACCAACAATTAGTCTATATAAACTGTATACTAAATTCCAAGTGTATTTAAATGTTATTGATAAAACTGGCTATTAGGCGGTCGCGTTTCTCTTCCACCGCAATCATATTGTCCGTGTCCACAAGCCCATGCTGCTCAAAGTGGATTTTCTTGTGGTTTTCCGGGCAGCATATCAAAGGCCAGAATGTCATCTTCGATATCCTCACCACAAGAGTCCAGTATAAAGTTGTGCAGCATGCAAGCGGCGGAGACAACTGTGGTGCCCAATTCCAGCGATGACACGTCCAGCGATTCCAGGCGTTTGAAGCGTGATATGAGCGTCGCCAGAGCTCTCTCCGCCGGAGCATTCCACTGGCGTATGGCCAGATTGTATCGGGCATGGCAAGGGGTTAGTTCTCCCACATAGGGTGTCATCAGATTCAGCAGTAGCGGGTACGTTTTGTCCCCCACTATGTGTGTGTGTTCTGCCATCAACGGCGTCTCCATGTCCATGAGATCCTCGAAGAGGGGACTGGCAAGCAGAATGCATTGCTCATTATTGGCCACATCGATGTAGACATTGAGAAATCGACTTTGCGCATCGCAGACAGCTTGCAGGGCCAACGACTGGTACTGCCTCGGACTGTCGTCGTCAATGCGTATGGGCAGCTTCAGAGGTATGCGACACTCGTCGATGGCGCCCAGGACGCCGGTAAGTTTGCTTATGGAAGAGCTACCGACTCCTGCTGCGCTATATTTCGGCCATTTAACGTAGCACGGCAATAGGGCGGCAAAGGCAGAAGTGACCCATTTGAAAATCTCATGTCCCGAGCTCTTGGATATGGAGTATATCTCGCCAGCGTCCCGAAACGAGATGCCGCCACCGAGTAGCATCAATGTGTAGAGCAACTTTTCCGGCAGGGAAACGCTACCAATGGGCTGATACTGTTCCGCTCCCGCAATAGCTCGACCCAACACCCGCAGCAGTGTCTGCGCGAAAAGAATTCGTTAGTATATACTTCATATACTTTGAACCACTGCCAGACCTCTAAGGTCGAGCGCTGCATGCGAAATCGCTCCTTAAATTGATCGTCCATTTTCCGCACTGTATCATCATTTTCCTGCTCGTCTTCTTCGGCCTCCTCCTGTACTGTTTCCTTCACGGCTATGTGCTGTGTCAGGCTGCCCTCGAGGGACGCCAATTGGGCTGCCTGATGCAGCAGATTCGCATCCAATCCATCGTCCAAAAAGAAACTTAACAAAAAGGTTTTCCGTGCGTTCATTCTTGAACTGTTTGCTAGCAAACAAATGTCAATTCTTCTAGCGGCCAGTGGTGTGACCAGGTGTGCAATGCATTGCATACGGTTACACTGCTCAAACAGCTGTTATCTACAACGGTGTTCGCTGCACAATTCATTTTATTTTTCTGGCTGAAAAATAGTTCTTTAGCTGTATTCAACTAAAGCAATACGTAAGGAAAAACGATATCCAAAATGCCCAGCATTAAACTGAAGTCCTCGGACGAGGAAATATTCGATATTGACATCCAGATCGCAAAGTGCTCAGGACTTATCAAGAGAATGCTTGAGGATTGCCGAATGGAGGATGACGAGAATGGCATTCCTCTTCCTCTGCCAAATGTGAATTCCACCATTTTGCGTAAGGTATTGACCTGGGCCCACTACCATAAGGACCATCCTCAGCCCACTGAAGATGACGAGAGCAAGGAGAAGCGCACCGACGACATCATCTCGTGGGACGCCGATTTCCTTAAAGTAGACCAGGGCACACTCTTCGAGCTAATACTGGCCGCCAATTATCTGGATATCAAGGGTTTGCTCGAACTGACTTGCAAAACCGTGGCAAACATGATTAAGGGGAAGACCCCAGAGGAGATACGTAGAACTTTCAACATCAAGAAGAACATCACTCCCGACGAGCAGGAGCAGGTGCGCAAGGAGAACGAGTGGTGCGAGGAGAAGTGAGATGAGCTAAAAAGTAAGCGGTGGCCGATTCGATGTATAAAACTGTTCATTGGTTACTTTGTCATTATTCACTCAATAAAAATATATGCGTCATTTGTGTAGCATATGCCCCACACACACACATCAAGCAGGGAAACAATTCCCAGTGGACCAAAACTTCGTAAACGATATCGCAAACGTGAGTTACGCGAAACTCAAGCGGGTAAAACTATCGAATTTAGACCCAAAAACGATAATTTGCGTTTGCGGACCTTTTATAATATCTTTTGCGAGCCTTTTATGCTATCTTTTACGATACGTTTTTAATATCATTATCGAGCCGAAAGTAATATTAAAAGTAGCCCACTAGTAATATTAAAAGTAAATTAAAAATAACATTTTTTGTCTCGTATTTTGTTCGCATATTTATTATTTAAGTAGGGACGGCGCAAACGCTATTTCCGGCTATCAAAATTTACACAGACGAGTTATTCACATTAGGAATAATCGCAAAAGTCAACTCAGCCGACGTGCAATGACCAAGTCTCACTCCGGAGGAACACGCTCGTGATCACGATTAACCTCTACGCCTCTGATCGGCATCGGGGTTTCCATGTTCTCACAGCCAGAAGCAGTTGGGAATTATAAACCTATCCTACTGCCAACCAAGAACACTGAATAGTTTTCAAACTTATCCAGTTTTCACTCATTTTTAATTCCGTTTGCGATAATTTTGCGCGACTTTAGTCGACGCTTGGTTTAGTACAATAAATGCTCTTTTCTAAGTCCGTCTGCGAACATTTGGCGATACTTTACCGGTAGCTAGCTATTTTCTCCGTTATGTTTTACTTTCTTGTCAATTTTTCACTCATTTTTAAGGCCGTTTGCAATAGTTTTGCGATACTTAAACGTCTTAGGGTTTTTGTCCGCTAAATGCTCTTTCTTGAGTCCACTTGCGGACATTGAGCGAGGCTTCAGTAACAGCTCACGGATTTTTATCATTTCTAAGTCCGTTTACGAACATTTTGCGATAGTTCCTCTTTACTATCGTCTTGTGGTCCACTGGGAAGTGCAAGCCAGCTACAAAAGTGCAATACTGAAGACAAATTCAATTTAATTAAGGCAGTCGAATGAATACAGACTGTCAGGTTGTGCCACAGAAATCTCTAGAGATTTTGACTGGAGAGATTTGTCAAATCAACCAAAAATTCCGTAGGTGCCACAAGAATAGCCTAAAACAGCGATAGAAAATACTATAAATTTTCAAATTTTATTTATTTTAGGAATTATGAAACATTTGTTGTTGATGTGATCAATTTTTTCATTTAGCACAAAACGGATAATGTAATTTATGCAATTGGCATTCTGGGAATATTCGGAACATCAGAATTGTATGAGGGGCTGCTTTTGGGTGGCCCGATACGCCACAATGCTGGGCATCAATTCACTGCGAAAATGTTCATGGTTTCTGTTGAAGTCCTCCTTGGCCTTGTCCTGTCGCCTCTTTTGCTCTGCGCTGTCGATGTGAATATTGTTGTTGTTGTTGTTGTTGACGTTGCGCGGTAATACTGTAGGTCTGCCAGCCGTTTCCGAGCTCAGATGATCGATGTAGAAGGCACTGGTCGCCGGTTGTGGTGCCGGACGTCGGTGCGCCTTGGGCGTACCATGTGGACTTCCATTTCCATTGCCATCTGCAAGTTGTATATGTTTATAGCCTTGCTTTGAAAATATGCAGCAAATTTTCGAAATTATTTCGGTCAGAGGCATGTTTTGTTTTGTTTGGTTTTGTTTCGATTGAGTTCACACAGATAGAACTGGACCGATTCGGACTGAACTCTACTTGATAAGGTGCGAGTGGGCAGTGACGAAGAATCTTGGGTGTTTTCTTCTTCTGTAATTGCTCTTGCTCTCTTACTCTTATCTCTATACAATCTAACGGTAAGGAGGAAAACAGCTGGCGCTGACGTCACCAGTTCAGGGCGTGCGTACCTTGCTTAATCATGAGCTGCTCCTGCTGCAGTCGCGCATTGCTGGAGCCAAAGTAGCCATTGACAAACGGCATGGGCGACATGACCACTCCGCTCCGCAGTGCACTTTCGGACGGCGGCGGCGGCGGCGCTGGACGATTGAATGGATTTGTGCGCCTGGGCGGAGGTCTTGGCTTGGATCCTGTTATGGCATTCTGCGAGCTCTCACCCCCGTTCCCGAGCATCTCTGCAAAGATTGTACATAAAAGATTATCGTTAACGCCTGTGGCTTGCTTGGCTTACTGTTCTTGGAGTCCTCGATCTCCTGCAGCTGCCTCTGCAGCTCGGCAACAATTATCCGTTTGTACTCGTAGCCGGCACAGGTCAGTGCCTTCATCCATGTCTCCATTCGCTCCTGATCTTCGGCTGCGAGAATGTAGGTGCGATTGCCGTTGAAGGCTATCTCAAAGCAGTAGTTGTCCACCTCATTCGACAGCTCTATGGTGCATCCCTCCACGATAATCAGGCCTAGGGGCTCTTTATCCGTCCGAGCCTCGAAATAAAACAGCAAATTGCCCTTCAGCACAAAGTACCGCCGTTGAAATGCTTTGTTGACCTCGCCCCGCTTGTTCAAGAAGCCTACGAAACAGATTTCTGGTGATTAATAAAAGAACAAACAAAAAAGTCAGAACTACCTTACCTTCGATATCGTACGGTGGCGTTCTCGCAAACACAGATAAATTCTTTTCGTTTATCTTCATGCTGATGAATGGATGGCCTGGAAGCTACATTCGAATTATAAATAAAGTTCACCCAGATAATTTATGTCGGTTCTTTTTTCGTTTTCTTTATTATTGTGATGTGCAGGTAAAAAAAATAAAGTGCCAGAATTGACGCTATCGCAGAACAGCTGTTAGGGCATCCGACTATCGGTGTGGCTGCGTAAACTATCGGCATGGCTCTAGGCGGCGTCATATCGGCAAAGAAAACCAACTCGAAACGCAATTAAATAGAAGAAAACCCAAGGATGTCGTACCTTCTCACCGAAATAGCCCTCGAAATGCTGGGCTATAAGTTCTACGACACCAATGGAACGTTTCATCTGACCAATTTCCAAACGAATACGGCCTTGGCAGAGACCAATCCCAATGAGCCTTCACTGGAGGAGTTAATCTATTCGGATGAGCCCCACCGGGTCAATGGAAGCTCTGCTGCTGGCAAAAATAAGGAGCCAGTCGCGTCTACAAGCAAGGGTCTCTCCACTGAGAGTGCTTCCCTGCCGCTCAATACGCGCCGCACGCCGGCCCGCGCCCTGGCCAAGATCATGGACTACGAAAGCGACAAAATATGCAACCAAATCCGTTCGCGACTGGCCAGGTCGATAATCAAGGGAAATGCTTCAAACAGCGAGACGCTGCTGGAAGAGTGCTTCAAGGCGGAGACGAAACTGATACAGGAGGACTCGATTGAAATGCAAAATTTCCGCGCCTTTTTGGAGGATCGTCTTCAACGCGTCGACAAGCGTCCGTACGAGAAATACACCAAGACGTTTGGTGCAGAGTAAATCGCATTTCGTGCAAACACGAAAGGAGTAGTATAAGCTTGTTCTGTTCTAAGAATATTCCTAAAAAGTGCATTAAAATGTCATAAAAATAGCTATGCTATGTAAAATTAAGGATATGACGCCTTTAATTTGTTAAAGAGTGTGACCATCGCTAAAGCTCTCTTGTCTCATCGATAGCGTCTCGATAACTTTCAGCCATCGGCCAGTTCCCATCACTTCTCAGCGCACAACACAAGAGTAAAGGTTAGAGTCCCCCCTCCTCTCCGTCTGAACTCGTCTGAAATATTCGATAATTACAGCATTTTGTGTCAAAATTTCATTTGTGGAACATACCTAACACTGTCTGTTTATACTTTGATTTACCCCACTGCCCCTGCAGGCTGCAAGCAAGCCTAGTGCTCGGTTGCGAATAAACAAAAGAGAGTCAAACCCTCCCGACAACGAAACAGTGACGACAACGAGACTTGCATAATGAAAATCTGGACGTCGGAGCACATATTCAACCACCCGTGGGAGACGGTTACACAGGCGGCATGGCGCAAATATCCGAATCCCATGACGCCCTCAATCATTGGCACTGACGTAGTCGAGCGCCAAGTCATTGACGGCGTGCTGCACACACATCGCCTCGTTCAATCGAAATGGTATTTCCCCAAGTGGACGCACGCGCTGATAGGCACCGCCAAGTCGTGCTTTGCCAGCGAACGCTCAACGGTGGACCCGAAAACCAAGCAGATGGTGTTGAAGACAAACAATCTCACATTCTGCCGGAACATTAGCGTCGACGAGGTGCTCTACTACGAACCACATCCCGCAGATGCCAGCAAAACGTTGCTGAAACAGGAGGCCACAGTAACTGTCCATGGTGTGCCGCTGTCGCACTACATGGAAGACTTGCTCACATCCACGATTAGCTCAAACGCTGGCAAGGGACGCCAGGGACTGGAATGGGTGATCGGACTGATCAATACGGAGGTCAAGGGGATTGCTGAATCGGCCGCACGGGGCACAGACGAGCTGATATACACAACGCGGCGTTCCATTGATGAGGTCACAGAAAGTGCCAGGAAAGGCATGGATGAGATCAGTGTACAGGCATCCAAGGCGGCAAAAGCGATGCACATAACATAGAGTTTAGAGATGCAGGGGCTGGCGAGTAGAGAAATATTATTATCCAAAGCGCAAGATACGCTGTTTTTTTAGTACAACATTTAGTGCAACATCAACTACAGACATACAATACGAGCAGCCGCAAACTCGATTGTTTCTTCAAATTCCCTGCTGATACATATATTTTATACAACACACAATGGTTATCAGTCGTGGAACTGAAATTGATAAGATTGGCGGGCATACCATAGTGTTAGGTCACCTTATCCGTGCGAATAGAATGGCAACTGCAATGAGAACCACTAATCAACCACACAGTCAAACTATTTATTCAAATCAATTTAAGTTTAACGTTTATAAGATGCCACAGCAGACATGGAACGAAAAGAGCAACAAACATTAAAAGCGACAATTTGCATACAAATGCGTTTCAAGTTCAAATGGGTTTTAATTATTTCATTTATTCATGTATTGCGTATTGTCACTGAAGTGACCGCTAAATGTAGCCAGTGCCACGATTTTGAATGGCATATAAATAAAATTCGAGACAGCGGAATGCAATGCACTTCCCCCACACGTTTTGGGCTCGTTTCGTAATTGTTTCGAGTTTTTTATAGCATCGCATCTGCTTTAAAGATATGCACAGGTCGAAATCCAACCACAACCTGTGACGTCGCCAGCCTTATAGGCGCGCCGAATTCATTGATTTGTTGCTGTTGCCATACGGGGCGCCCCCACGTGCTGATAACCCTCTGTCCCGCGGACGATGCAGGTTTTATTTAAACAAGTGCTTTCCGTCTGGCTTTTGCAGTGCTGCGCAGTTGGCTATTTTGTATAATTGGTTGATAGCGCTTTTAAAGCTGGCTGCTATGAAACTATCATGGCTGGCCCTTATTAAACTATCAAGGCAATTAATGTGTGACGTCACGGTGTTTTTCTGTGTACATAGAACAAACTACAAGAAAACAATGTCAGCTATTTTAATTCCTTGTTGCCTGCTTTCATTTGAATTGATAAATTAAAATTAAGCCGGTCAACTTTTGGCGGAACCATCGATAGTATCGACTGTGACAGTAGGGATACGGTACTCTGCGCTTTAAAGCCATTATGGAAACGCTAAATATATTTCCACGATGCAGCAGTATTGTAAGTTTATTACCGTACTACACTCAAGAAACAGTTTTAAGTTGACTCCAAACTTAGTGCGCATTTGAGCAGCGAAAAGCTCTTCCAAGCACAACTTAATTAAATCATAATCGCTATCGGGAATACCCCGAATGTGAGCTTAGATTCTCTCTCTCACACACGTGCGCGCGACGCTTATTTTATTGTTATTGTGCTTTAATTTTGGTTGGCTAGCTAGTTAATTGTTGCTGGTATGTATATTAAGTACGATTACGGTTTGCTTTATTGAAAATTGCCTGTTTGCGATGGAAAATATGTTGACGCTGGCTTATCAGCGAGCCCCCAAGCGGTAGATGCACAAACAAGTTGTGACGGCGGTGCATCGAATCGGCTCGGGGGCTGTAACCTGATCTGGCTGGGCTGCGGTGGAGTTGGAGGTGTCGGCTATTGATAACCAACCTAACCCCCCAGCGTAGGCACTGGCCTGGTTGTCAACGGCTTCGGGCCCAAGATCAGTCGCGCTTCGCAAAGCAAAGCGCACGCACGCATCAAACAAAAGTAAACCAATTCAGACTGTAGTCTAATATCTGCCAGGATCTCTTCCAGCACTGCAACATGGTCATTCTACGCTACTACGATGTGGAGGCCTACGACGAAGCCGAGCAGCAGAGTGTTCTGCGCCGTTTGCAGAAGGAGGACCCCAGTGTGGTTTCCGTGCAAATGGAACGCTGCTATCACCTGGAGTACACCACTGAGTTGAACCACGCCATGCCGCTGGATGAGCTGCTCATCTGGCTGGTCAAGCAGCCCATGGACAGCGGCAAGAGTCTGACTAAGCAGCCCGTATTAAAGTTGGATAAAAAGGAGCGGGAACTGCTCTTGGAGATTGGTCCCCGCTTCAACTTCTCCACGCCATATTCGACAAACTGTGTGAACATCTTCCACAATCTCGGCTACACCGAGGTGCAGCGCATGGAGTCCTCGACCCGTTATCTGCTGACCTTTGGCTACGATGGGCCAAGGGAGCTGTCCAAGTACGCGCTGATGCTGGGAGATCGCATGACACACTGTCTGTACACAGCGGAGAATATTCCGAAAGTGAGCTTCGTTGAGCAGCTACCGAGGGGGCAGGCCGACTGGCACTTTGTTCCCGTTTTGGAGCAGGGTCGAGCCGCTCTGCAGAAAATTAACCAAGAGCTGGGCCTGGCCTTTAACGATTACGACCTGGACTACTACCAAGATCTGTTCGGCACGACCCTGAAGCGCAATCCGACCACTGTGGAGCTGTTCGACTGTGCGCAGAGCAACAGCGAGCACTCCAGGCATTGGTTCTTTCGCGGTCGCATGGTGATTGACGGCGTGGAGCAGCCAAAGTCCCTCATACGCATGATAATGGACACCCAGGAGCACACGAATCCCAACAACACAATCAAATTCAGCGACAACAGCAGCGCCATGCAGGGCTTCAAGCACGACACCCTGCAGCCATCCACAGTGTCATCGCCCGGACCGGTTCGCCTGGCGACTGTCCAATCGGATCTGATCTTCACAGCCGAGACCCACAATATGCCCACGGCTGTGGCGCCATTCAGTGGTGCCACCACCGGCACTGGCGGTCGACTGCGCGACGTTCAAGGCGTGGGCAGAGGAGGTATACCCATTGCAGGAACTGCCGGCTATTGCGTGGGTGCTCTTCACATTCCAGGTGAGTCCGCCATGCACTAGGATTTATACACCTGGGTGGTTTTGGGTAAAAATTCAACAGATTTATTCGTCATTATCCGATTCCCCATCGTTGTTATTCGACTCCTTGTTGTTGAACAACTGGAAGAGGCCAAACACGCCCAAAATGCCCACACCAATGACCCCCAGCACTGGCAATATATCCGGTGCTGTGCTCTGCTGGCTAGTGCTCGGGCGACTTGGCCCAGGAGTTGCCGTTCCTCTACCGTTTCGATCGTAGTTCGCTCGAGCGACCTTGTTTGAGAGCACCTTGAAGGCAGCTCCTATTTTCTTGAAGTGCTCCACAGACTCGGGGTGATTGTTCTTGTCCGGATGATATATCAGAGCCATGCGCTTGTAGGCCTTAACGATCTCATCTTCTGTGGCTTTGGGGCCTACTCCCAATAGCAGATAATAGTCCTGGTCCATTTTGAACTTTTTAACACGGATCTTCCAACTGAAAATAAGACACATGCACATACACACACACACACATATTTACGATTTGTTGATTTTAATCTCTCGCTTAGCTATTTTTGGAGTAGAATCTTGATCAAAATTGTTTTTATGTTTTTAATAATTTTTTTTTTAATCGAATAATGAAGATCTTACCGTGCATATAACTTATCTTTCAATCTAAATCTTGCAAATGTTTTGGAATTCCCAATTCACTTCCGTCATCTGCACTGTACGCTATCGATAGGCAATTTGAAGCGATCGATATGTGCATATTAAATTAATTGGAAGCCAGGCTCAATATTTACCATCACTAATTAAGCGTTAAATGTTTATTACAAAATTTTAAACAAATTTTCAAAAATTAACCCAAAATTTTTTTTTTTTTGCAGGCTATAAGCAGCCCTACGAAACTGCGGCTTTCAAATATCCCTCCACGTTTGCATCACCGCTGCAGATCCTCATTGAGGCCAGCAATGGCGCCTCCGACTATGGCAACAAGTTCGGAGAGCCTGTGATTTCTGGCTTTGCGCTGTCCTATGGCCTCAAGAACGCTGCAGATGCCAGCCAGCGGGATGAGTATGTGAAGCCGATCATGTTCAGCGGCGGACTGGGCACCATGCCCGCCGCCATGCGTGAGAAGCTGCCGCCAGCTCGCGGTCAACTGCTGGCCAAGATCGGCGGACCGGTCTATAGGATTGGTGTGGGCGGCGGTGCGGCCAGCTCGGTGGAGGTACAGGGCTCCGGTGACGCCGAATTGGATTTCAATGCCGTGCAGCGGGGCGATGCCGAAATGGAGAATAAGCTGAATCGCGTCGTGCGTGCCTGTCTGGAGATGGGCGAACGTAATCCCATTCTGGCCATACACGATCAGGGAGCCGGCGGCAATGGCAATGTGCTGAAGGAGCTGGTGGAGCCGGGCTTCGCTGGTGCCATAATATTCTCGAAGGAATTCCAGCTGGGTGATCCCACCATTACGGCGCTGGAGCTTTGGGGCGCCGAGTACCAGGAGAACAATGCCATACTCTGCAAAGCCGAGCACCGTGGGATCTTGGAAAGGATTTGCAAGCGTGAACGCTGCCCCATTAGCTTTGTGGGCGTGGTCACAGGCGATGGACGCGTCACATTGCTGGAAGCGGCCGCTCCAAAGGATCTCGAGGAGGCGCTCACAGCCGTAAGTGGAGTACCGGCTCCATTTGACTTGGAACTGAAGCATGTCCTGGGTGACATGCCCAAGAGGACATACGATTTGACGCGGGAGGTGACACAACTGCAGGATCTGGTGCTACCCACGGATATACGCTTGGACGAAGCCCTGGAGAGGGTGCTCAGCTTGGTGGCGGTGGGCAGCAAACGCTTCCTCACGAACAAAGTGGATCGCTGTGTCGGCGGACTGATTGCCCAGCAGCAGTGTGTGGGTCCCCTGCAGGCCCCACTGGCCGACTACGGCCTGACCACAGTGTCCCACTTCAGCACCTCGGGCATCGCCACCTCCATAGGCACACAGCCGCTCAAGGGACTGCTCGATCCCGCTGCCATGGCCAGAATGAGTGTGGCCGAGGCTCTGAGTAATCTCGTATTTGTGAAGATCAGCGAACTGGCGGACGTCAAGTGCTCTGGCAACTGGATGTGGGCTGCAAAGCTGCCCGGCGAGGGAGCCAAAATGTACGACGCGTGCCAGGAACTCTGCCAGATTCTCGAGGAGCTGCACATTGCCATCGATGGCGGCAAGGACTCCTTGTCCATGGCCGCCAAAGTGGGCGGAGAGACAATTAAATCTCCGGGCACTCTGGTCATATCCACATACGCTCCGTGTCCCGATGTCAAGCTAAAAGCCACACCCGACCTCAAGGGTCCCGCCGCGGGCAAGAGCACAGTCCTGCTGTGGATCAACATCGAGGGATGCCTCCGACTGGGTGGCTCTGCACTGGCACAGGCCTACGCCCAGCAGGGCAGCGAGTCACCGAATCTGGTGCGGAGCGATGTGCTGGCCCAGGCCTTTGCTGTCACTCAATCATTGCTGGGCCAAGGTCGCATCCTGGCTGGTCATGATATCAGCGATGGAGGTCTGCTCGTATGCCTCATAGAGATGGCCATTGGCGGTCTGAGCGGTCTGGAAGTGGACATAGCCGAACCGATGGCGAAGATTGAGAAATATGATGAGGCTGCCAATCGGATCGAACGCCCTGAGCTGGCGCTGTTCTTTGCCGAGGAATGTGGCTGGGTTGTGGAGCTCCTCGAGTCGGACTTGAAGAGCGTTCGTTCCATCTACAGCGACGCTGGCGTGCCCAACTATTATCTGGGTGCAACCAAAGGATTTGGACTCGACTCCAGAGTGGTCATCAGAGAGGGAGCCACCTCCGATCAGCTGCTGCTGGCTCAGCCCCTGCGGCAGCTCTACAGACAGTGGGAATGCACCAGCTACGAGTTGGAGAAGCTTCAGGCCAACTCCATTTGTGCCCAGGCGGAATACGACAGTCTGGACTATCGTCAGGCGCCCAAGTACAAGGGACCCGTGAATCTCAGCTCCGAGCTGGCCCTGGCACGCTCTTCCCAGAAGATTCGCGTGGCTGTCATACGGGAGGAGGGCGTCAACAGTGAACGTGAGATGATGGCCTGCCTGCTGAAGGCAAACTTCGAGGTACACGATGTCACCATGTCAGATCTTATAGGAGGTGAGCAAACACATAGCCGAAACGACGCAGTCCTCATAATCATATTTAATTATTTCGTGCAGGTTCCGCCACCTTGTCTCAGTATCGAGGTGTCATTTTCCCGGGAGGCTTCAGCTATGCTGATACTCTGGGCTCGGCCAAGGGCTGGGCTGCCAACATTCTGCACAGTCGCCTGCTGCAGCCGCAGTTTGAGGCCTTCAAGCAGCGCCAGGACGTCTTCTCGTTGGGCATTTGCAATGGCTGCCAATTGATGACTCTAATTGGCTTTGTGGGCCGTCCAGCAGGCAGCTCGGCTGGCGTAGATCCCGATGTGGCCTTGCTGCACAATCGCTCGCAGCGTTTTGAGTGCCGCTGGTCCACCGTCAAGATACCAGCCAATCGCTCAATTATGATGTCCAATATGCAGGATCTGGTGCTGGGCTGTTGGGTGGCCCATGGCGAGGGACGCTTTGCCTTCCGCTCGGAGAAGCTGATAGACCAGCTGCAGGCCGAGCAGCTGGTGACACTGCAGTATGTGGACGACGTTGGTACACCCACAGAACTGTATCCGATGAATCCCAATGGCAGTCCCCAGGGCATTGCGGGTCTCTGCTCGCCGGATGGTCGCCATCTGGCACTAATGCCACATCCAGAGCGCTGCAGCACCATGTACCAGTGGCCGTACGTGCCGCCCAACTTCGAGGTGGCTGCCACACAGGACGAGAGTCCATGGCAGCTGATGTTCAACAATGCCTACAACTGGTGTGTGCAGTCCAGCGAGCATTAAACATGCAGAAACGCATACGAAAAACACATTCAAAATACATTAAATGTATTTCTAATCCAGCTTACGAGCACACTATATACAGAGTATATCAACCTACACATAACTTATCACGAAATATGAAATATGAACAATTATATAGAGAGGAGAAATAAGCCCAATGAATAATCCGAAGCCTAATGCGAAATTTGTAGCAAGCATTTAAGATAGTTCGCCTTGGCACCCGGTGCCATCAAGTACTTGGAGTTCCAGTCGTGCTCGTTTATGTGCAGCACCTTGTAGCCCATCATCTCCAGATGCTTCATCTTCAGCGATTCGGGACCCCGCAGCGCAGTCAGATCGTTCTCGCAGAAGGAGTCCAATCTCAGCAGCAATATTGCTACCCTGCAAACAAAACAAAAAGAGAAATCGGTATGTAGAGAGTTTTGGCTAAATTTTAAATATTTAAATGCTATGCGCACTTGGTTATGCGATCCAACATGGTGGCCTCGACTGGTGGTGCTGGCATGGGTTTCTTGTCCCGATCGAAATGTATCACAAAATCAATCTGATAGCCATAGGGCGTGGTGTGATTGCAGCGGAAATACTTATCCTCCTTGAGTAAACCCTTCAGCAATTGTTTGACATCTCTGCCAAAGGCACTGGGCTGAGGGGACTCTGCAAATTAAATTATGCCAATGCCAATTAATCAACGTGCAACTTTAGGGCTATCTGTGTGTATATTTACTCTTGCTGATCTGTGCCTCGATGTAGTTCTGTTGAAACCAGGGCACATTCGCCTCTGGCAGGTCCAAGCAGACGGTGCGATTCAGCTGCATGACCAGATTGAGTACCCTTTCCGGATAGGTGGCCTTGGAATAGCAGACCTGTATCTCATCCTCGATGCGTTGAATGAATCTCACGCAGAATACTTGATTAATCAGCTCGTCGGGTATGATCTTGTAGAAGCACAACGCCAGACAGGCCTGCACCAGCGACAGGCCACTCATCTGATCAAAGTCCCTAAACAGAATGTGTTTGATATTAACTAATTTACTTGACTGGAAGTGGATGGATGCCTCACCTTAGCAAAACACTCGCCGCCCGTTCCAGTGTCAGTGGTGAGGCGGGCGTGTAGCCCAGATTATAGGAACAAGTCAGCACCTTCTCCACAGTATCGCCAGTGATGTGCTCGTGCTGTTCCGCAATGTAGCCAAACATTGACTCCAGCAGCTCGGGCACAAAGAAATGCGAGGCATTGAAATTGTACGCCATATCACGAACCACGCGCGAGCTGAGATCCTTGCAATGCAGAGTCTTGTAGAGCGACAGGGCCTGCATATAGACCACTGTGTTTTTAAGCGCTATGGAATGAAGGGAATGACAATTTATTGTATTGTTGTGTTGTGTTGTGCTGTGTATTTTTGCACTCACTTTTCCTATGGCTGAGGGTGCGTATAATGACGCTGAGCTCACTAGCCGTTAGTGGCTCTTGCTCCGCGTTGGCCAAATGGCGCTCCGAACAGCCAATGAGTATGCTATCCATGGTAGATAGCTGCATGCCCGCCAGTGGCGGTGTATCCTGACGAAATCTCAGCTCGCAGGCTATTTGCATGCCGCGACTGAGCACAAAACAATCCTGAATGTCGAACTGTGGAGCCATTGTCAGTATTTTGCTCATTAGTATGTTGGGAAACTTCTTCCAGGACATTTGGGTGTGCCCATAGGCTATCACAAAGGCGGCCAAGCGGGACACCTTGTTCGGCAGCCTGCCAGCTATATCCTCCTCAATGGCACTCATGCACATTCTACTCAATTTCCGCTCCACATTGAGGTGGCGATACGTACCGCCCAGGTTATTATTGAAGTTCATGTAACGCTGACAGTGGCCCAAAAACCTCAGGTGCGTCTGCTCCTCTGGGCTGGAGTCCAGTTCCCGGATGACACCCGACCAGTATGTGTTGCAGTAGCGTATATCGGATATTTTCAGTGTTCGCAGTACGCTGAAGAAGTGGCTACTGGCATTGGGCAGTAGCCAAGCGGCGTCAGAGTAGAGCAATTTGTGAAATATTTTCAAGTACTTTTCCCTTTGCAGGGGCTCCGCAAAGGGAACGGCACAGGCGAGGGCATCGGGAGTGGCTTCATGCGCCAGTAATTTCTCTGTAGCCTCTTTGAGTGGCTGCATCAGTTCAGCGGGCTCCTGGTGATGAAGAAACGCACGACAGATGCTCTTCTTATCTCCCGATTCCAATTGGTGCAGGCATGGCCGCAGTGTCAGCATAATTTCCCTTATTAGCTGCGTATGACGCTGTGACCACACTCGAATGTTGAGCATGTGGAGCAGCTTCAGCAGGGCTTTGGGCGTATCACAGCTCAGGATGCCGCATTGCAGCATTTCGCTTACTCTCTGTTTGTAGTCGTTGAGCAGCTCCTCGTCGATGAGCTGGTGCAGCTGAAACAGGCAAGTGGAGAGCAAGCGAACGTGTTCCTCGCTCTCGCACTGGGCTATGTGCCGCTCCAAATGCGGCATAAAGTTGCGGCACACGAGCGGCGTAAAGAAGTCGCGTTCCAAATTGATTCCCACAGAGAGTCGCGATAGCGCAGTCAGGGGGACAAGCTCACCCTGCTCCTTCGCATCAATAGCTCTCAATGCACGTCCTAGTATAGACTCCACGGTGGATTCACCATTGGGTATGTGCATCTTGCGTAGATATAGGTAGCTGCAGCTCAACTCATGGATGTCCATGTGGGTTACATGGGGATCTATGCGCTGCAGCACCTCTTTGTGCACACGATCTGTGAGAGCCTCTCTTTCGGGCGTACCCAGGTTCAGGTAGTGCAGCCACAGCAGGGAAAGGCTTTCCACTAAATGGTGCCGCTCCAAGCTGTCCCCTGCGATCATCTCCAGGAGCTCGTCGCTTGTCTTTGTCTCCCTAAGCCGCATCATGAGAGCATCCTCCTCACTTACTGCCGCTCCACATCTGTCCGCTAGACTTTCCATGCGCTGGGAGTAATATTGAAGGTGTATCCGATTTGCCGGCAGTGCCACCACTGTTTGTATAGGCGGCTTTGCCCCAATATTGACATGTCGTCGTAGCAGCTGCAGTTGACGCATTTGCAAAACGTATTGCAAGTATTTCCATTGCGCTCGCGGTGCGCAATTCAAGTACATGTCTAATATCACTTGCTTTATTCAGAAAAAATTCGTTAAATAATAACGAAATTGCGACGTATAAACATGTGAGGCAAAGCAATCAGCTGTTCGCAGCATTCAGAACTCGGACCACCCTCTCTAGGTCACACGCCCTGCAAGCAACTGGACAAATGACGGCACCAGCGAAAAATCAGGTAATTGTGCTCCAACCTGGTTACTCCCATGAAGATGAACATGACGCGACTGCCATGAGGGCGAATTGCACTTGCACGCTGGTACGCTGCAGAGACGGCCTAAACATCATCGTCGACACTATGACAGCTTGGGATGGCGATCTGTTGCGATCTCTACTGCGGCACCAGGGTCTGGAAGTCTCGGACATACATGTTGTCGTCTGTACACATGGACACTCGGATCACATTGGCTGCAATTACTTGTTTACAACGGCGCGCATTCATATGGTAGGAGCTTGTGCCTCCAATCGGGATCTATACTTGGACCATTTCTCCAGCGGCGACGAGAACGAGCAACTGGCATTGGATACAAATGGCGAGGTTGTGGTCAAGCGGACGCCCGGGCACACGCTTAGCTGTGTTTCTGTAATCGTGCAAAACACTCAGTTTGGCGGCCCGGTGGGTGTTGCTGGAGATCTCTTCGAGCGCCGTGAGGATGTGGAGGATGAAAGCATTTGGCGGAACGCCGGCAGCGAGGATGAAAACAGTCAGCGCGTGGAGCGCAGCAAAATGGCGCTTTTGTGCGATCACATTGTGCCAGGACATGGTCCGATGTTTCCGTTGAACGCGAAAATGCGCCTAAAGTTAAAACAAGACGCGCAATTACAGTAAGTAAATAATAAATAAATAATAATTTCCCTAGTAGGGAAATTCTTCAAAACAATAGGCAATTTGTTATTTTGACACCACCCTCTCTAGCTAATGCACCTTGCAATTATAGTGCATCTATAAAATATCGATAGTGTCATCGATGGTTTTGAAGCTTTACTGACCCATCACTATTTAAAGTGATTTGCATTAAATTTAGATTTAAAAGTTTGTTTAACAAGCCAAAACAAACACAAATTGCCCACTACTCGTGCACATCGCGCAATGGATCCTTCCTCAAGTCTGGCCGACAAACTGGCCTCTAAAACGGCCAGCAGCAACTCACTGGACAGCAGTTCCAAGTCGAGTTCCCTCGGCTCAAAACACGGCGGCGGCGAAAATGGTGGACTGAGGGACACACCCTTCTCCTACTTGGACGGCGAAGAGGATCAGGATCAGAAAAACGATGTCACATACGTTTGCCCCTACCGCGGACCCGTCTTCGGAGCCTTGACCATTACGAACTATCGCCTGTACTTCCGGTCGCTGCCTCTGAGGGATCAAGAGCCGCCCGTAGTGGTCGATGTACCGTTGGGCGTGATTGCGCGCGTGGAGAAGATCGGCGGTGCCACGTCGCGCGGCGAAAACTCGTACGGCATTGAGATCTTCTGCAAAGATATGAGGAATCTGCGTTTCGCACACAAGCAGCAGAATCATTCGCGCCGAACGGTGTTCGAGAAGCTGCAGACGAATGCGTTTCCGCTCTCCTACAGCGGCCGCCTCTTCGCCTTTGCCCATGCCGCCGCCAACGCTGTGAACGGCAGCGGCGGCTGGGACGGCTGGGCAGTGTACGAACCGCTGGCGGAGCTGCGACGCCTGGGCGTGCCCAACGACATGTGGAGGGTCACCAAGATAAACGAAGCCTATGCCGTTTGCGATAGCTATCCGGCTGTTTGGGCGGTGCCCAAAGCTGCATCCGATGACTTTCTGCGTCGCGTGGCGCAATTCCGTTCCCGCTGTCGTCTGCCAGTGCTGTCGTGGATGAACCCCAAGACCCAGGCGAGCATAACACGCTGCTCCCAGCCCCTGGTGGGCGTCAGTGGCAAAAGGAATGCGGACGATGAGACCTACCTGAGCTACATCATGGAGGCCAACGCTCAGTCGGACAAATTGACGATTATGGACGCGCGACCCAGCGCCAATGCCATTGCCAATAAGGCCAAGGGAGGCGGCTATGAGTCGGAGGATGCGTACAAGAATGTGGAGATCAATTTCCTGGACATCCACAACATTCACGTGATGCGAGAGAGCCTGCGCAAGGTGAAGGAGGCCTGTTTCCCCACCACAGACGACTCCAAATGGCAATCGGCCATCGACAACACGCTCTGGCTGAAGCACATCAGATGCGTCCTGGCCGGCGCTGTCCGGATAGTCGACAAGGTGGAGACCATGAGCACTTCGGTGGTGGTGCACTGCTCCGATGGCTGGGATCGCACGGCGCAGCTGACTGCCCTCTCGATGCTGCTGCTGGATCCTCACTATCGCACTGTGCGCGGCTTTGAGGTGCTCATCGAGAAGGAGTGGCTGTCCTTCGGGCACAAGTTCCAGCAGCGCGTTGGCCATGGCGACAACAAGCATTCCGATGCGGATCGCTCGCCGGTTTTCCTGCAGTTCATTGACAGCGTGTGGCAGGTGGGCCAGCAGTTCAACAACGCCTTCGAGTTCAATGAGCATTTCCTCATAACCATTGTGGATCATCTGTACTCGTGTCGATTCGGCACCTTCCTGTGCAACACCGAAGCCGAGCGTGTGGCCGAGGGTAAGTGCCCTTTAAACTTATTTTTTATACCCATATGGAGAGCAAACTTCTTGCAGATCTTAAGCACAAGACTACATCCCTTTGGACGCACATTAACTCCTCGTTGGATCAGTATTTAAATCCGCTATTCCCCTCGTTCACGCACGGCGCGGAGCTTGTGTTGCGGCCCATTGCCAGTGTGCGCGCCGTGCGGCTGTGGAAGGGTCTGTACTGCCGCTGGAATCCGGGTCTGTGTGCACCCCAGCACGGATGCCAGCGCACACGCGAACTGCTCTCGAAGCAGGATCTGCTGTTCAAGCATGTGAATGAGCTGCGGCTCAAGTCGAATACTCGCAGCAACAACATGCAGACAACAACGCGACTGGCATCGCCAATGCATTAATACCCGTAGTATTTCCCTTTAATTATTCCTTTATAAATATTAATCGTATAAATATACATACAATATTCAATGTGACCTACGTGGACTGTTCCAAATATAATCAAAATAAGTTTAAACTTTAAAGTAATCTCCACAGGCAGCTGCTGCTGCTGCTGCTGCTGCTGCTGCTATCCCATCTAATGGTGACTCCCCCTCCAACTGTTGCATGCAGCCAGCCTGCTTTCATTCATAAAATCAGTGACCAGCAGGCGCCTGCGCCTTGGACTACGCACAGGCCCTCCCTATCGCCCCACCAGTTCGGCTGGTACGTAGCCTTTTGCGCCAAAATTAAAATCACATTGCTTCAGTACGTTTTCGCACGTTCATTAATGCAGTCGTGCCCGGATGCCAACGGATGCTGCCATTGAGCGCTGTTCCGATTAGTCGCTTTAAAAATGTGAATTATAATATGTACGCGTCTAATTACCGAGTCGAAAACAATGCCTAGTTGGCGCTGGCACCGTGTGCTGGTGGTGGTGGTGTGGCTTTGGTGTCTTTTAAGCTGTTGCCATGGCTGGACAGAGGCTGCGAGTGCGACTGAGGTGCTTGTGGTCATTGCCTGTCCGCCGCTGCCCCGTCGCTTGCTGGATGAATGTTTTGCGTTGTCGGACAGTTTGCGGGAGCAGCAGCAACAACTGGCGGGGCTCATCCCCGGGGATTATGTCCTCAGGTTCCACATAATGCATGAGCTATTCAATTATTGGACATTGCTGGACGCATTGCCAGGCGAGACACGTTTGCTAACTGCGCGCACGGAATGGATTATTTGGTGTCAACACAACACGCATGTGGCCTCGCTGCGTGGCCTCCTGCAGCAGCTACACAGCCAGGACCCAACGGAGGTGAGTAGCTGTCCTTCCGAATGGACTTAAACTATTCTGAATATTAACTTTCAGGCTGCCTACTACGGCCATGCCTTGTACGACACGGAGGCCACGATTGTGCATCATTTTGCACACTACAAGAATCCCAGATGGTTCCCGTATCCCCTGCTCAGTGCCGGCGTTGTTTTCACAGGTGTTCTGCTGCGCAGGTAATTCCCTCGAGTGGAAGGGGGGCGGCGGGGCACTGGCCATCATCCATAACTCATAATGAAACATCCATTAACAGGCTGGCGGAACTTGTTGCTCTTAATGCCCAGAATGGCAACCGGCACAGTGAGTTCGCCATAGACGCCTCCCATGAGCTGGCCCGCTTTATATTCGACAACTTCACACCTGACACACCCAAGCCAGGACCGAAGAGCGACCCCGTAGATGGCGAAACCTTGGAGCGGAAAATCATTTTGAAAAGTGCTGCCTACATTTGTCCCACTGCAGCAGGGCCGTTGCATTCCCCCGAGACGGGAATGGGCACGGGCACGGGCACAAGGAAGCCTGTGCCTTGTATGCTTTATGCAAAGCCAGAGATGTTTGCTGTCCTGCCATCGACTTTGGGGAATCGGAATCGGGTGCAAGGGGTAAGTTTATTTATGCTGCCTGTAGTGCGCTTCCTGTTTCCCTCCCCCCCATCGCCGTGAGTGTGTTTGTGTGTAGATTTAACACAACATTTCTAAAGGGAACTTTGATTAAGATTAAGCCTCCGATTCTGACTGGGTATTTTGTCCAAATTTCGATTCCCTTTTATTTGTTTTTGGCACCTCTGCACTCAACAGAAACGAGCAGCAGCAGCCCATTTTGTGCTTTGTTTTCGAAATTCTTGGACGCACTCACTTGGGTGCGACGACAAGCCCCCAAGCAATCAACATCCACTTGATTCTCCGATTCTCTCTGCACACACACAGCAGGTGGAGGTGCAGCAGGTGCAGGTGCAAACAACAGGATCGCACATCTATTTTGCAATCAAGACCTGTGCAAAATTCCATAAGGAACGTATACCAATCATCGAACGCACCTGGGCGACCGACGCCCGGCACCGTAGATACTACAGCGATGTGGCAGGTAAGCGGCCGTCCCAACCCAACCCAACCCATCCCATCCCGCTCCGTTCCGTTCCATTCCCCCCGTTGACAATGAGAGGGCAATTAAAGCAAATGAGGGTGATGCCGGAAGAGCAAATGGCAGCCATCGTTGCACAAACCAATACGTACGTACGAATATTTTCCCATGTGTGGCAATGCATGTATGTACATGCGTGCATGCATGGGGCATATGTGTGTGCGTGGGGCATTAACAAAAACACGATGAGGCGGAGTGACAGGCAAACAAAACATACACACACACACATCCGCACATCCTTGCAGGATCCGTGTGCTTTTCGGTCCTCATCTGCTTGTATCCCCCCCACATCACATCACCCTTCAACGAGCAGTCGAACTTATTGAATATTCATTGATTTGACTTTGTGTGTTCCCTCCTGTCTTGTGTCTCTTGTCTACTGGATTCCAACTGCCACCCCACGCCGTGCCGCCTGCTCTAAACCGCAACAGACGTCGGCATACCGACAATCAGCACTGGGATACCCAATGTTCAGACTGGACATTGTGCCAAAACATTGGCAATTTTACAATTATCCCTCAAGGATATCAGCGCACAAAAGGAGACACACATACGCTGGCTCATGCTCGTCGATGATGATACGCTGCTTAGGTAAGTCACTCTGCGGCAACTGCACCTGCTGGGAGGTGGGATTATGTATGCGAATGTCTATTAGCAGCAATGGCTTTTGATTGATGGCTGATCTGCTAGCAATCGAAGGCAGGAGGCAGGAGGCTCTTCTGATTATGGAAACTCCATTTACTGAGATGTAAAAATGCTTCCTTAAATTCATTTAGATTACTTTAAATGCGTTCTTTCACTTTGATTTAAATGCTGCGCACCACCCAGTCGATCCTCCTGCACCTTGCCGCTCAGCTGAGATATTTTTATTTTCCGGCTTAATCGCATGACGGCGCATTCAATTAAAAATATTTGTATTGATAAATCCGCACTCATCCTTGCAACTGCAATTCCCTTTGGTCTCTGCCTGCAGCGTGCCACGAGTGAGCGCCCTGCTGAATGGCTACAATCACACGGAGCACATCTATCTGGGGGAACGCTACGGGTATCGTTTGTACGCCTCAGATGGCTTCAACTACCACACGGGAGGAGCCGGAATTGTGCTCAGCCTGACCCTGGTGCGGCTCGTCCTCGAGCACTGCAGTTGTCCGAGTGCCAACGCCCCGGACGACATGATACTGGGCTACTGCCTGCAGGCGCTCGGAGTGGTGGCCTTGCCAGCCGCCGGGCTGCATCAGGCCAGGCCTCAGGACTACGCCAGCGAGCTGCTGCACCTTCAGCCGCCCATTTCCTTTCACAAGTATTGGAACACGCAGCCCGAGCACACGTATCGCAGATGGCTGGGCGGCTCCAGCGGCGGCAATCAGACTGTGCCGCAGGCCACTGGCAAAGAACGTGCGACAGTGGCTGCTGCTGCTGCTGCTGCTGCACCACTGCCCCTGCTTGGAGGACGACTGCAGCTGCCAGGTCTTCCCACTGGCCTGGCAACGGCAGAGAAGCATTTGGATCTCTAGTCTGCTGCTGCTGCTGCTGCTGCTGAGGTGAGTACTAATTATAATAAAAAACAAATTCACTCCGGATGGGGTTTGGTTTGCGCTGCCGCTGACAGTTGAACAAAAGTTGCCACCGCATTCCCCAAAAACCAATCTACGGCCAGCCATCAAGCGGCTGCCAAGCACACGAATTTTCATTTTCTATAGACCAAAAGACATTTGCGCCAAAAAAAAAAAACAAACATAGACAACTTGTCAGGTGTCGCGTTAGGAAGGGGCCGTGTACTGCTGTTTGTGTTGCGGCTTTCGTGTCAGTTTAATTAGTGAAAATACTCAAATGTGGTTGGGATTTGCCACGACGAGGCTTGGGGTTGACAGTTGGCTGGCTGCTCCTCTGATTAGGGAGACTTGTGCCTGATTTTATGTAGCTATAAGTTGGGGACATATATTCTTAAATGGGCTTTGCAAAGAGAACTCTTGTTTAATGGAATAAATATCCGTTTATATAATTTCCTTACCTTTTCCTTTCTTACGAACTTTTAATGGACTGCTCCATTAGATAGCACCCATATCAATATGCCAAATCCATATAAATCCCATCATTCTGCACTTGCATATAATTTGCATTCAATTTCAATTGGGGGCGACACTTGAAAATGCCAAAGCTCTTGGCTGGGCTTCCGCTTAGCTTGGAGATTTGTCACACCTTCGATGGACTTAAACCTCATTAAATGTAAATTTTGAGCGAGCCAGAGGAGCGAATCGGTTCTCTGAATGGCGCTCGCTCGCATTCAGGGGCATCAACAGTTTCCGCTTGAGTGCACTTTTCGAATGGTTAGCTTAGCCCTTGGGCGGATATTCCTTTCCCCCACTTCCACTTCCTTCCACGATTGAGGCACGGAGTATGTATCTTTTGAGATAAAACAAACAAAGCGCTCCATTTAACCTGGCAGACAGACAATCCAGGAGACCAGCAGCCCAGCAGCCCAGAAGCCCAGTAGCTTCGCTTCGTTTCGCTGTGGCCATGCAGCAGCCCTCCGCAAGCAACCACTCTATAATGCACATTGTGCATCTATTATTCAGGCACTAATCAATAGTTTTCGCAAGTCTCAAATGTGGGCGACAAGCGGACACGCCCACACCATTTCGGGGGGCCAATTCCAAATAGGTGAAAACAATGTGACAGTTTTGTTTGGAGAGCCCGTTGACAGAAGTAATTGTCCTGTGGTCCCTGAATTATTTAGCGACTGAGTGAAAGTTGTTGTCAGGTGTGCAGGCAACCGGCAAAAAACCTCAACACAAATTCGATTTGGCCAGATAATGGTGTTTAGTCCGAATAGCCTAAATCTTTAAAGAGTTTCTCCACTGCAGTCATTCAATATTTAGGGGACATTTAAATGATTAAATGATTGCACGTACGTTGACCGGAACGGAACGGAACGGAGCTGTGTGCAAAACAGATCTTATCCGTTTATCATTAATCCTTGAAGAGCTTCCCGTTCCCTTGACCGGAACAAGTTTGTGAACAAATCAGATAACACTCGGGGATATATGTATATGTTTAATACCAAAAGAGCTTTGCTCCATGTCAGAGAGTAAGTATACTCAACCAGAAAAGCTTTACGAGGGATGTGCTCTTTCAGCAAAGGAAATTTAATGGAATGCAATTCTGTTAATTTGTTCATGTGTCTGCCTGTCTGTCTGGCTGTTTATTTGCTCTGTTGCCCCCCGGCATCGCCGCAAGTTGGTTTTATCTCCTGCCTGCCAGCCAGCAAAGGCAGCAGGCACGGTACGGTACGGCACGGCACGGCACGGACTCTTGTCGCCGTGTCATCTACGTCTACGTGCTTGCACCTCCTTGCATCGCTTACTCCGTGCGTCCTAATTAGTTGTGGATTTTTCAATGAATACCAAGCCAGACCCCAGACCAGACCCATGCCCAGACCCAGAAACGAGCTCAAAGCCACCGCCAGCCACATGGCCAAGCCACTGCGACAAGTTGAATTTAAAACAAAATTTAATTAACAGCTTGCAGTTAAATAAATGCTGCATGCACACGAGAATACGGAGGATATCTGTCCCATATCAGCGCCACCAATCCTCATAGTCGTCGTATTCCCCGTCGGCTTCCTCCTCCTCTGAGGAACCCGCCTGTCTGGGTCCCACAAAGCTGACAACTTTCTGAGGTAGAAGTTGCACTTTGGCTAGATTTCTTTGCTTCTGGTGACTGTAGATGCGGGACAGCATAGATGGCACTGGATCACTGTCACTCCAGGCTAGGCAAAGGTGTGTGGTCATCGAGAGAACTAACAAAGAGACAGAGAAAGATAGCAGGGAAATGTTTGAATAAGTCTGGAATGAATGTATAAAACGTAGGGACTTACCAAGCCATCCAAAAAGTACTCCCAACTGCATGATGCCCCAAATCCAACTGTTGACAGTTTCCTCTAATTCGCTGGGTTTTATACCTAGAAATATTTGTTGGAAGGAGAAGAGACTTTTACGATTGATTTCATTTTATGTATTGTTTTACAAGGCAATAACTTTCCCTTTTTATGTCCGCTAATCGTGGAAAAACTTGGGTCTATTGTGTTCTTGTCAATGCATGGAAATGGTAGAATAAAGCTACTATAAGCTATATATGTTTCATGTTCCTAATAACGATCTAAGGGTGATCTTCATGTCTGTCTTTATGGTGTACAACGTTACATTTCAAAACAATTTACATAGTTTTTGTATATAATATTAAAATTATTTTCATCATTTAATAGTTGAAAAAAGAAATTAATCTAATTTTAAGGTACCTTATGGTCGAAAGAGCTTCTTTTTTTTTGTATGTATTCTTTAAATTTGATTGGTTTTCTCTTTTTATTAATCAGCAGTTGTTGAACTCACAATTTTATAGTTTGGTTTGACTATCGTTAATTTAATGAATCTTTATGTCTATGAGTCTGATATCTTTGTGTCTTTGAACAAGTTGTGTAATCTTTGAAATTCTAGTTTTTGCTTTCTCTTGAGGGTTTTGAATATATTTCTTGCTTTATATTTTTTAATTCTAACAACAACAAAAATGGCCAAAAAAAGTGGTTCTCCCATTATCTTGAGTGGGAAAAGCTGCCATGCAGCATTTTCTTTTGCATAAAATTACAGTTTGTCCTTTCGCACACACACACATACACACTTAACATGGGTGTGTTGTGTTGCTTGTGGCTACTCGAAAGTAGATTATGCTGAACAATGTCACATCACAGACAGAGAGAAGGTCCAACCGGGGGCGCAGGGTAAGCTCTGTTAATCTGGCTTGAAACATCAAAAGTTGAACCATAAGAAAATTTAAGCAACCGCCCTCAAGCAGGGCAGTGGCTGAAAACAGAAAAAAAAAAATAGAGAACGAACCCACACAGAAAGAAATCAAGCATGAGATGAAATTGTTTAAAAAGATTTCTTTACACAACGTGCATCAAGTCCTGTGAGATTTGCGAAGCAGCTTGTGTCCGGATCGAGGTCGGGGGGTGCCCCGTGCCCTGTGGGGTGGGCTTCATGGCTTCATTGTGGACTTTTCGTGTTTGTTTCCTTTTGGTTGGGTGCAACTTTTGGCGTCCAGCTCCCCAGTTGGGATTAGACAATTGTTTTAGTTTTATGCTTGTATTTTGCATTTCTACGCTCGCTTCACGATGCGATGAAATCAATATGGAGGGAAGGTTTAAGATTATGAAATATGCATTTAAAATATCTACACTAAAGCGCAGAAGGAATTCGGCAGCAGTGGCATCCTAGTCCTGTAAGTCTACCAAGTTTTGCCTTGGTTTGTCAACCACTTAAACTTTCAGTGAATCCTTTTTCCTATCCCCTGGATTCATCAATCAGAACTTGGCAAATTCACTCAACTGCCTTAAGCCATTTGCCAGCCACAACTTACAGGCAGACAGTCAGACAGACAGAACTTGGCTCCCATCTAGATCAAGTTACAACGCCTCAAAGTAGGCAACTCCATTCAAACAAAACGCAGGACACACAATCCTTTGGCCCGCTCTGTCTCTCTTTCTACCTCTTGATGTCTCAGTTAACGTGCAATAAATTTTTGTCCCTGTCTAAACTAAAGTTGAACTGGAGGAAAAAGCATTTTGTGTCTATCAGGGCGTCTAATCTGCAGTCCAACCCATCTAACCAACTTACCACGTGCAATAAATTTCTAAGGCGCAACGTCTGCACTATTTTCCCCCTAGCCTGGAGACTTTTTTCCATGGTAGCCACACTGGAGCAGTAGCAGGACCTGGCAAACGGATTTCTTCTCACTGCTAAGCCACGCGCCCGTACGTGATCTGATAGGAAATGAACGGCAACCGCAAACACAGACAGGCACAGGGACGGCTAAGACGTCGACATGTGTGCAAACTTTGGGCCAAGTCGAGTTGCCACATTTGTTTGGCCTAAAGAACACGCACCTGTGTCCTATACCAAGTAAGCCCACCCACCCACACCCATTGTGGTCTTCCACCCGCACAATTCGACAAGCATTTGGCATTGCGCTAATTTACTTTAAATTGGTTTTTTTGACATTGGTGTGCCTTCCACTTCCTTATACGAATTATCAATGATAAATGACTTGGGCTTGGTGTTGGTCGCGGTCTGCTGTCCTGGTGCTCTTTGCCTGGGGGTGTCTGGTTCGTTGGTGTGGAGGTTGGTTCGGGCTCATTTTTGGTTTAAGATTCAAAGGTTTAATGTCAGAAGAAGTACTTAGAAAGCAAGTGTTTTCGAGCATTCAACTTAAATTAATCCAATGATATTTTAATTATTTTTATTGAAACTACATACATTTCGATAATAAATAATACATTTTCTGTACCTTAAATTGCAGACATCCTTCGAGCCCCATGATGAGATCCAGTCTGAAGACTGAAGCAAAAGATGAATAAAATTAATCTTTCGGATCGAGTCCCTTCAGCAATGCCCACAGCGGCAATTATAATAATATTATTTTTAGAACATAATGAATTGAATGTAATCCTATCTGCAATTAAAATTTAAGAAATACAAGAAAATTCACACATCCTTTTTATTGAATTTGTATGGATATACCGTAAGGGGATTAAGGACATTTTTCCAATCACAGGAAACCATCAAACGCCCAGATGGGTCCTTAAATAGAGAAGAAAATTAAATTTTTGTAACTGGTGAAATTATCCTTGATCCTTGACAAGGAATCCATCCGGAGATGTTGCCAAAGCCAATCCAAAATTCTGACCCTTGGTATCCTTTGTCCTTGCCAAGGACTCTATAAAATCAAGAATGCTCCTCCGATCACACAAAGCCATCGCACGTCCCGATCGATAGTTCTATCAGTGACCGTCGCTTACAACTTTGCAAATTAATTTTTTTGTTCCTCAGTGGCGCCCCCAAAAGCGCTGATGGCCACTGCTGGAACTAACTTTTTGAAAATGCTTCGCTCAAATGGCCGAAAACTAGAAAATTTTCAAACCGAGTACCAGGCGAACAGAAATCAGCAGAAGGTAGCTGGTTTTTCTTTTTTACATCAGGTCAAAAGCTGGCCGATACGAACCTGGCATCAATTTATTACGTTTTTAAAAATGCGTATAACTCTGCCATTTCCTGTCCGATCTGGGCCTGCCACGCCTTCTCGTGATCGGGTTAAAGTCCTCTATCGTTTGACATCAAGGACAATAAGGATATTGCCTTGGAACCGCTAAAAATCCTTTATTGATTCGCCATTTTTAGTTTGATCAGGGCGGGCCACGCCTCCATCTGATCGGGGAAAAACTATAGCCGAAGGACAGAATGGATCCTAAGGATTCTGGAAAGGTAAGTCCTGCCCCGATCAGAGCTCAATTGGCCGAGATATAGCGTCCCAAAGTTTTGGCTGCCAAATATTTAAAATACTGGTTTTTTTTAATCAAGCTATATCTCGGCCAAATAGGGGCAGATCTGGGCGTGGCATGTCTTTTTGTAATCAGGAGAGTCCTTTCCATCGAATGGCATCCAAAAAAAGGACATTCGGCAAATACTGGTTTTCGAAAAAATGATGATGGTTACATCATGCTTTTTGCGAAAACCAGTATTCCTCGGATGTCCTTTTTTTGGATGGGCATCGGCAGTCTGGATCCTCAGGATCACGAAAAAGTAGGTCCTTCGAGGATCTGCCCCTATTTGGCCGAGATATAGCGTCAGAAAGTAAAAACCAGTATTTTTGTTGTGACGCTATATCTCGGCTATTAGTCGACCGATTGGGACGGGCCACACCTTTTCCTTATCAGGATAGTCCCCCCAATCGTTTGCAATCAGTTTCGCAACAAGGACATCAAGGACTGAGGATTAAATTTGTATAACTTCGCCATTTCTCAACCGATCCAGACGTTACGCGTGTCTTCGTCAGCGGAAGGGTCTCCCCTAATTTTTGAAACCATCAAGGACTTCAGGGCTGAAAGGATTCGCCTGTTACATGCAATTTTGTAATATATTCGTCGAATAGACCAGCCTAAAAGCATGCACTACTTTTTAATAATGACAACCCCAAAAGCATGCAGTGGTTTTTTATATATATCTGGATTTAAAAATGCGCGGGCATCGCTGCTGCCAGTTCGCTGCTTCGATAAAAAACCATAATTTGTCGTCCGATCACACTCTCTCGTGATCGGGAGAGTATCGTCGATAGCTTACAGCCAGTTTGACATCAAGGACAAAAAGGATATTGCCTTTCGTGACGTTATAAACTTATAGCCAAGTGGCTATTTCTTGTCTGATTTCTACATTTCTAGGTTCCCCTGGTTTTTTGCGACCAGACTTACATGTCCAGAGCAAGGACCTTAGCTCGGAACTTTTGATAAATTTCTCCAACTCCGTCATTTCTCGTCCGATCCAGACGTGATACATGTCCTCGTGGGTGGAAGGGTCTCCTTTATACTTTGAATCCATCAAGAACCTCGAGGAATGCAATTTTAATAAGCCAACTCAAAAAGTATGCCATGGTTTTTACATTTATTTTAATTTATTTTTAATGCCATTTCTCGTCCGATGTGAGCGTGCCACACCGCTCTGATCGTTTGGCATCAAGAATAATATTCATATTGCCGTCTTCACATTCATTTTAACTTCAAGGATATTTTCCCGTCCTTCATACCTACTACTACATACTTACGCTCCAGAGTATCCCATCCCCGTTGCACCGCCTTTACTTAGTTTCTCATGTTCCTGGTATTTTATATGGCGCTCAGCTACTTTTTTCCGCCCAAAATGTCCCCATTTATCGCTAATGGGATCTCTCTGGCTTACTGTGGTGGTTAATAAATCGGTAAATAAAAATTATTGCAGCAGAAATTACAAATAACCAATTGAACCCAATTTCGGCGAGACGAACCTCTTGACGAATTTTCTTTTGACGCAATTTATTTTGCTATTTTTTTTGTTGTTGCCTTCCATAATTAATGAGTAAAGTTTTCGAACCTTTTGTGTCAAGTTTTTGCAACTGCCCCCAAGCGGTGGGCCGAGTACGAGTCCTGGCCAAGTCCAGGGTTCTATTGTCGACATGATTGGCTGCTTATCGGCGCAACGCCATCGGAGTGGGCGTGGCATGTCAGCGATACTAATGAGAGGGAAAGCGCGACCAGACTAAAAGTTTTCTTACCATATTTCGATTCGTTTTTTTTTTTTGTGTATTTTGCCTCTCTGCAAAGACATAATTAATGGAAATATCGTTAACGGAAAGTGTTTACCCGATTAATCATGAGGCCATAGTGGTTCTGGGTGTGTGAGGAATGCTTTCCTCTCCTCTCCCATTGCAAAGAAAATATAGCCATTGGTTTGGTTTGGGTCACGTTTCAGTAGCAAACATTTTTGAATACATTTTTGGTTAATTTCTGTTTTGACCATAATGACCAACAACAAAAAGGAACCAAAACTCTTGATACCCTTGAAGATCCATCATTCCTATGGAAGATTTATAAATCACAATTTATATAAATTATTATAGATACAAAATTTACATACAGTTGTTTTGTTTTCCAAGACTTTCCAATCTGCCTTGCAAACATGTGATCAGAATTATAATACCCTCTGCAGGAAGGAGCATCAAAACTGAAAAGCGGGAGAGTTCAGTGCAATGCGTTTATGGTTGGTGTGGTTGGGTTCCGAATGGGTCACAGTTGGTTGTTTGGATACACTGACGGTATATTTTAAGCTATTATGTACATGTTTGGGCATCCCTACTAAGCATTTGCAAATATTTTCGTATCAATAGCATAAACTACCTGCCACCAACCAGTGGGATATTACCTAATGAGGTATTCAGGACATAAGTGGGGGACTCCAATTTGTTGTGCCACAATTTTTAGGGGTTTTGTTTTTTTGGGGGGCAGGAATCATGGCAATTGTTATGGCAAAATAAATTAGTTGCACGTGACGCCTTAAATGGTCACACAGCAAATGGAGTTTTCTAGAATTCCCTCGACCCCAAAAAAAAAAAGAAATGAAAAATAAACGAAATAACGTTTTGTGAACCTCAATGAGAATGAAAATTGCACAAGCATTTGTTGATTCGCTTGGGGTCGGAGTGTGGCTTTAGCTGTGGCTGTGGCTGCCACACAAATTGCGTGCCACAAATGGACGCACATAAATCATGCGTGCGACAAAAATCGCTTGGGAAGTTTTCACGCACAATTGGCCAAAATCAAAAACCTGGAACTGGACAAGTTGAAGTCTCCAAAATCACATGACTGTGGCACAGGTATTGGTATCGGCATTGGAGTCGGAGCTCCTAGTTCAGTTGGAATTTAAGAAAAATAAAGATAGAGTGTGAGTGCGAGAAGCTCTCAAGAATGAACACCATGCACCCACAAGTTGACTTTTACCTGAAATGAATATATTTCATAATTTGCATTAACTCATCCACTCCCTCCCCCCCACAGCTACGCGTCAGTCAGCTAAGCGAACATTTTTAATGAATTTCCCCGACTTGCAACATTTTTACAGAAATCAAAACAAACCTCTCTCCCCTATACACACCTACACCTATACACCTCAACACTCAGACACACTTGCTGAAAAGAAATGCTGGCACTTTTTAGCGCTTGAAGCCTCATAAATATACTCTCGTACTTTTTCTCCAGCTTAGGGGTGGTGGCACGACCCCACGACCCACGCTGTTGCCACAACATGCACTAATTAGTCAAGGATTTGGCATTAAGGAAACAAATTCTCGACCCTCAATGGAAAGAATATGGAGCACGTGCCGCGCTTTTAAATGTACAATTTTTGTTTTACTCCTTTTTTTTTTGCATAAGCAGACTTAATAAAGTATGAACAAATTTTTAAAATTATGTGCACGTACAACAAAAAAAGTTAAAAAACTTTGCATTTGTTATGGTTTTCAGTTAATGCTGCGAGCGTGCAGGATTTTAATGCGGTTTTGTGTATAAATTTAAACCTTAACCAAATCCAAATATGTATTAATAAAAGTATATTCAGGACGATACATACAGATATCCGTCTGCTGTCTCTGCTACAAAACAACCTGCTTGACTAATTATCAACTGGTTCTTTAGGCTACATTTTCAAAGCAATTGGATTCATGCACTTAAAGCTCATCTGCAAAATTGTTGATCAAATTAACTGGCCTTTTAGCACAGCGTTTGCACATTTAATTACACTTGAGACTTGCTATACAAAATCAAACCGCATTCAAATTGCATTATTCAATCAGCTTCTTGTTACCCCAATGGGTGGGTGGCATTTGCCATGTGGTGCCTGCCATGGGTCATAATTCTACAAAAACAATGTCAATCTGTGCTGCAATTAAGGTCACTTTGTTATAGGATTTTGATTAACGAATTACGTTTGCCCATTCTCTTCTTTGAGGCTGAGATTTCTGTGTAGGAAATCAATGAAACATTGTGAATTCAACTGAAGACAATAAAAATGCAGCAGCCTTCAATTAATTAGCATCTATTCGCTGGACACAGGGACTGTGTACAGTGTACAACAAACGTGCCTGGCAAACTTCCGCCTTTCAGCATGCGGCAACGGCGGCCGTTAAATAAACGCAGGCTGCGGTCAGTGGGAGGCGGCGGGTTGTGGCTAGGGAGCAGTTTTTGTTTTCGGACCATTTGACGGGTACATCCCCCCGCACACACACAGGGCCTGGGATTGCAGTAGGACACAACCAGAAAGAGAAAGAAGGAGAGCGAGCTCGCTGGCAGTACAAAATCGTCCGAAAACTAAAATACGTGCAAAGTTTACAAAAACATTTGGTTTTGGCTCGACTGATGCCGCATCCTGCTTCTAATTCAGCTCCTGCTTTTCCCACAATGCATGTTGTTTAATTATTTGCCGTTTGGCGTAGTGCACACACATGCATACGGTCCATTTTGGCCTAAATGAAAGTGGAAAATGCTTGGATTGCACAATTTTATATGGCTTTCTGCGATTTAACTAATTGTTTTTTCTGTGAGAAGCAACAGAAGAGTGAATTTCTAGATGAAATTAGTTAATTCTTGAAATAAATAAAATAAACTAATTTCAAACATATTTTCAAATTTAAAATAACCGACCAACAGAGCTGCCAACCTGCGCGATAAATTAAAGTTACGTGTATCGCACTAAGACATCGATATTTCCAGCATCTCCAATATCGATATATTCATATATTTACATTTAACTTCCCATCGCCATTGGCTCGAAACGTGTTTATTTAATTCTAACAAAAACTAAGCAATAATGGAGGGAATCGAGGGATACACAGGTAAAAGCACACACACAAACACTGCCGCGACTAGTGCTAATCGTAAATACCTGACTTCTAGTTGTTCCTCTGCGAATGAGCCGCGACGCACAGCACTGCCACAGCGTTTACATGCGGGAGCACTTCATCCGGCTGATGGATCCGAATAAACCCAAGGGTCGCACGTTGTTCCTGCTCAATATACCGCCCTATGTGACGGAGGACGGCCTGAAGGGTTTCTTCAAGCGGGCCGGCAACGTGGAGAGCGTACAATTTGCAGCGAAGCCTGGAAAGGATGAGACAATCAAATGGTATGAGGGCACAAACGAGCCCTTCGCCAATGTGCGCCCGCCATTCATATTCAAAGTGGCTTACGTGGTGTTCCAGAAGAGCAGCAGCCTGGCCAAGGCCTTGGCCGTGCCGAGCATTGACCTGTTCGACAGCGGCAGCGGCGAGTCCACCATCAAAACGGGCATGGATCTGTGGCACGAAGAGTACGAAAATCATTACTTGCTGGATGCGGAGAAGACAAAGGCACAGATCAGCGAATATATGGCCGACTATGACCGGAGAGAGCGAGCGGCCGCACTGGCAGCCAAGAATAGCGAAGCCGACGCCGATGGCTGGGTCACTGTGGGCAAAGAGGGTCGCAATGCTGGCTTCGAGCAGAAGGAGTCCGTCATCGGACGCCTCGAGAAGAAGCGGGCAAACGACACAAAAACGAAGGAGCTGAAAAACTTTTACACCTTCCAGATACGCGAAAGTAAAATGCAGAATATCGTCGAGATGCGCAAAAAGTTCGAGGAGGATAAGCGAAAAATTGAACTGCTGAAGCAGTCGCGACGCTTCAAACCGTTTTAGTCCCGTAAGCACGCATAGGTTAAGAGTTGAATAAAAGCCTCTTTATGGGGCAGGACACACTGTAAGACCGTGACATGACCGCTGGGGCTGGTAAATCCTCATAAATTTCATGTTTTGCCCATTGACACTTTTGCCGCGACCAAATCCAATGGCCAATGCCATAATTTCGCAGCAATGCCATAACTTATAAGCGAACGCAGTCAGAGGCGGGCCATAAAAGCTTATAAAAAGCGAACAACAAAAAAAGAGAGGCAGAGGCAGAGTGTTTGTTGCCTGTTGTGGCCACAACAGCCGCTGAGCTTATTGTGTGATAATCGCATATGGTTTATGTTAATTTGAGAAATGATAAAAATATTTCGCTTATCAATTTTAATCATCATAATCGTCGCTGTGCCGTCGTCGCGACTCGCGACGCACATTGAAACCAGGCAATACCCCACCCAATCCCCACACACACTCACACAGCACGCGATCGAGGAATGCATTTTGGGACACGCTCAGGCTCAGGGGCGGACTATATTCGAAGACACCCCAGAAGAATCTCTGTAACTCTGTTTTCCCACACATTTAAGGCCTTGGTCCGCTCCTGGACTCCCTCGTTTTGTGTTGGCGCGCGTAAATTTCGAGAGCCTCTCCCGCGACCAAAAGGTAACCCGAGAGGAGTCTCTGGAGGCTTGGGGAGTGAAATACAAACGAGGTACGCGTCGGATAACGCATGCTGACGATCATCGCTGTGGCTTGTGGTCGTTGGCGTCGTCGTCCGGTTGCCTGTGGCTATGTGGCTGTGTGGCTGTAGCTGTTGCTGTTGTTATTGCTGGCCTACTGTGGAGACCAAAGACAGCAACACATTCATAATTTCTTCCGATTTGTATCGTTTTAAACATTTTAAATTGATTAAAATGCGATAAATCATAATCGACGATGTCTGCGCCAGAGACTCGGGGAACGGGGAACGACAACGGGAACGGGAACCCATCGACAGAAACCCTCTCCCGATACTCATGCTCGGGACCATGTCTGGGTGATGGAACGATTTATGAGCCTTGAACATAATAAAGTGTTAACGGAACGAGTTATTAAGGTAATCTGAATGCGCATAAGTTAATAAAGGCGAAGACGATTTGCATGGGCAGCAGCTCAGCCTCTCAGCCTCTGCGTAGCTGCAGCGCACCAGAGTCTAAGGTTGCATCTAGGAGGCAAGGCAAATCCCAGGCCCAGGTCCAGTTCAGAGCTCAGCGTTCAGCCCGTTCGTCGGACACACAAGATGTCGAAAAATATAACATAAAACGACCACACGTACGTCTCCCATGCCGCACAGCAGGACTCCAGGCTCAGGCCCAACGAGAAACGAGTAAAAAAATATCAGAAACGCCGTGTCTTGTGAGCAGAACAATCAATAAATTTGAACACGTGAGCGGACGCGGACGCGAATGTGTACGGCACACAACAGGAGAACGAACGATCGCTCGGTCCACACAGCCACCAAAAGCAGCAAAAGCAGGGCGATAAGTGATCAATGCCCCGTGTCGACTGATTGGGCAGAATCAGAAAACTCCGCGCGAGTGTTGCTGGCGGTTGGTTGTTGGGGTGGTGTGGGATGAATGGGCAAGGGAAAGTGAGTGCTTTTGGTCTGGGTTTACTCAAAATTATACAAATCATTAAAATATGGCAGTAAAAGTGGGTCCTAATCGATGGAACATGATTGTATATTAGCAGGGTATTATTTCAAGAGAATATGAGCACAGAAAAAAGATACGATTAAGCATTTATGTGTTCAGTTTTACAAGATATATGTAACTAGGAATAACTTACTATATGTGCTTAGATGGCTACTTTTTCGTGGGTGTTCCTCTTATGCGAGGTGTTTATTTAAATAATCGCTTCAAGGTACAAGATCTGATTCGTACATCCCCTCTAGACGCGTCACGCAAGGTGGTAAGAATATCAGCAGATTGATTATTATAATCATAATTATGTGAGAAATGTGTTCAAAAGATTCTTCAGACAAACATAAATATTGATGACTATCAAGTATCCATCAGCATAATTCCAACAATGATTATGTGTATTGTTAAGACTTTATTGGAAGTAAAACTCTGTGGAACTAACATCATGAGTGTGTCCTTCAGAGCGAGAGAGACTATTGAGATACTCAATTTACTCCATAGGTCATTGGAATCTAAATTTCCAGTTAAAAATTTTGTGCAGAAAAATCTAAATCATAAGATTTTGTGACAAATGTGTTCAAAATTTTAACACAAATGATTCTTTAGACAGACTTACATATAGATGACTGGATGGAAATTCCAACAATGATTATGTGTGTGGTAAAAACTCTGTTCGAAGAAAAAATTTCTGAAACTGAAAGCATGGGTGTGCTTCAGATGGACTTGCCTATCATTAAAATTTATGTATTAGGTATTAAAATCCTTTATAGTTCATTGATTTCCGAATACCCAATGCTAAAAAATGAAGGACATCTAAATGAAACTATTTTTAAGCTTATTAGACTATAGTACATTTTGCCTCAGCGTAAGGCTACTTATGTTTATGTTTGATATTCCACGGAATCTTTAGAATTAATATCCTTTTATAAGTAGCTTCTCCTGCTTACATATGCTTCAATCAACTCGAAACCTAATAGCAATCGCCGAAATCAAACCAAGATGTGGTATCCACATCGTCCATGATAATGGGCTCCCTGCGTGCCGTCGACGGGCCGTAGAGATTGTAGCGCCTGGAGTTGGCAAGCACCTCACGGTATCGCCTTATGGGTGCCCGAGCCATATGCAGTTCCATCATGTCCCAATCGTTGACGTCCCGAAAGACGGAGCGTATCATGTGCATGCGTCCCAGCAGTTCAGTTTCGCGCAATCCCTCGTAGCTTCTGCCAGTGCGGGCCTTGAAGGTTTTGTACACCTCACTGTGCTGCTTTGTCTCCGTGGCTGTCTGCAGCTCCTTGCGGTAGAGCGCTCGAATGCCACGTCCCAGATGACGAATGTGCTCGAAGTTGCGCACATTCAGAGCCACCAGAGAGATGGCATCCAGATTGAGCAACTTGTGCCCATCGATGTGGTTCTCTTTGAAGGTTTGCTATAACAAATAATGTATATCCTTTCAGGCTGCGTCGCTGGCGAGCACCCCTCCACCCTCCACTCACTTCGTATTCGGGATAACCGAAGTCGCGCAGCCAATCGGCCACATCATTGATGCTCCACTTGAAGACCTCCGTGCGGCCCTGGGCATCCACAACAGCAGCACAAAGATTGAAAAGCGAGTCCGGCGTGGCCTTAAATGGCAGTGGTATATCGTCCTTGTCGTAGTCCACATCGGGGAACATATAACTCGGATAGCGAAAGCTAAACTCCTGCTCCTCCTCCGGCTCATCCTGCGGTGGGTCACAAAGGTTCAGGCTCTCCATGGGCGATGGCAACGAGAACATCGAGGACAATGATGACAACGCGAACGACTCCATCCAAGCGGATGGCACGTACTGTTCCTGGCCTAACCCAAATTGAGTTGCCTCAGAGCTCTTTTGATTGCGGTTTACCCAACGACCAGGAGGCAGGAGCAGTATGCCCCACTCGTACTCGTACTCGGTGTTCGTGTCTGTTTACTTTGTTTGTATGTTTGCTTTTCCATTTATTATATTCCCTGCCCGTATGCAGGGTATGCTAAATGAGCGATGGGTGTGGTGTGGGCAGAAGATACTTCAGAATTTTATGGATATGGGAATCAACTTGGGTTTGATTTAAGGATGTGTCTAGTATTTTTTATCTGATTTAAATTTTGCTCTGTATTTTCCCTGCCTCTATTAACTTTCCCCTCGAAGGGCATTGGCAATGTCACCGTAATCCATCCTCTAGCTTAGCTCCCGTTTTCATTTACATTTTCCCCACTTTTGTTCCCCATGGATTGCATTTGCATATCCGTTTTTTCGGGGTCAATTTGTGGGCTGGGCTGGGCTGGGCTGGGCTGGTACTAGGGTGTGATGGCGCACCATTTGTACACCCACTGGATGTGGGTAGTGGATTCAACGCTTGAAAGTATGCTAAGTTACGTAGTCACGAAAGGGCGAGAGAGGAGAGAGAACTTGCCATTAATAACACGATTTCCGCTTTGCAATTTTCTTTTCACTTTATTTTTTATTGCGCAGCAAGCGGATTTGCCGAATCGACTGTTTACTTGCGATAATTTAATGGCACACACACCACAAAATACAAAAAAAAAGTTATATGGAGCCGTGCATTCTGCACTCTGACGATTTGTTTATGTTCTCTGAGGTTTTTCCTTTTCGGGAATGCGGTTGGATTTATGACCTGCACAGGGGCAACCGCCGGCACCGCCGGCACATGGCACCGTTACCCACTTTATTAACAACGGAACAAGCCCCAGACAGCATGGAGCTCACAGAGTTCACAGAGATCGCTCAATCCGCAGGCCAATTAGGCATGCCGCATTCCTCGTGCGAGCAACAGAGACGCAGCAGCACAGCATAGCTGGCAGCAGCAGCTCTCTGGCTCCGCCCACTGGCAGCGATCGATCGATCGTATTGGCTCGTTGCTGCCAAGCCATGGCCTCTCCACGAGTTGTGGGCGCGCAAAGGGAACCGGAATCAACAGCCGAACATCTCGGATATCGAATGGGTATGGGTATGTGTGCGCATGCGGTGTGTGTTGTGTGTGTGTGGGTAACATATGGAGAAATCGGGTAAACAAATCTGAACAGCGATCGGGGAAACAATCTCCGACTGAGCTAATGACACAGCGGCGGGGTGTTTGTGTGTAAACAGCCCCCGCGACTCTCATACATGTGTGGGCTACAGTGGTACAAAAGTGATTGAATAATGTAAGGCATAGAAGTTTTATGGGAGAATAGGAATAGGATTGCGATTTAATAATTTAAATTACAACGAAATATCTGGAGTTTGAGTATCAAGTGAAGAACCCTATGAATTTTGCTTCTATTTTACGCCTTTTGGATATCTAAAGAGGATCTGCTTGTTTCTTAGCTATAGATATTTCTTGCTTAAATCGAAATAGAAGTTAAATAACTCACCTCATTGCTATTAGACTTTGTTGGAAGGAATTATCTAGTAGGCAGTTAGTCTTGGGTATTCTCCCTGAAAGATCATTCCTCTTCCTCTTCTATCAAAAATAAACGCCACAGAACTTACCCACTCTGATCATTTTTCCGCGGATATCATTCCACTGTAAACACCGCACAGCACACACACAATCTCAGCGCGGAGATTTACCTAAACGCCAGGCCCGGCCAGGCCAGGCCAGGCCAGAGACAATACCCATCCATGTACCATGTCTCGTGTGCGCCAACGGCAATCGATCGCTGGTTGGGTATGCTCCCGGCCGGTTTCGTTTCGTTCGATTCAGTTCTGTGTGGGTTGTCTTCTGATACAAAACGGTTTAAGCGGTTGCTGTGCAGCGCCTCCTTTAGCACATTTTCGCGATCGTTTCGAGCGACGGTGTTTGATCGATCGGTGATCTGGAAGAAGGATCTGTGGTTAGGATCGATACACAGTGGTTAAGCTCTAAGAATCAAACTGATTTCACTATTCATAATCAAGCAATGTTACTACAACACGAAAGTGCCGCCGCCAGCAGCATGGAGCAGAGTATGCCCGAGAATCTCAGCACTCATCATGTTTACGGCGGCGAGTGTGAAGTGAAGCAGCTGCCATCGCCGACCACGCACGATCCCACGGATAGTGATCGTGATCGGTGCGATCTGTCGCCTAAGGTGTCCACCCATAGCCCTGAGACAAGTGTAACCAGTTCAACGCCTCCCATTACCCATACCACCACCAGCACCACCACCACCACAACCAAAGTGAAACTCAGTTTCAGTGTTGATCGATTGCTCGGCTCTGAGCCAAGCGAATCATCCCTGACAAACTCGTCATCCTCCTCCACCTCCTCGCGGTCCTGCTGCGATGGCAGTGTCTACTCCTGCTGCACATTTCCACACTGTTACAGTCAATCGAATGCAGCAGAGGCTGCCAAAATGGGACACATCGCTTTACCACAAACGACCAGCCATCATTATGCCTATGCGGGATTGGATAAGCTGTACCCGAACCTTTATATGGATTACAAATCTGTGCTGAGGCCAACGCCCATTCGAGCAAATGAACATGGTAAGACGCAGTTTCTCCAACTACTATTTGTACAAAAGGGGTTTATCAGAAGGGAAAGATCGGCTCAAAATGAAGCTTAATAGGGGGTATAGACTCCCATTGTTCCCAAGCTATAGCTGGAGTTAGCCAGGAGGGTCCATCAGGAGAACTTTTTATTTATTTTAATAGATCTCAAGAGGGAGATACAGATATACACATTTCCGACCTCTAAATATACCTCAGGATTGACTCTTATATTTTATGCATCTTCCTACCACCGTAAAATGCTATCTATATAGAAATCGGAAGTGGAATTGATGCCTAGGATGTTGTTTATATTCCTGTATATGTGCCAAACCCTTTGCCAAAATTTCATAGATAGATTCTTCAATCTAAACGCGGTGAAGTTTTCTTCACATGTTAGCTGAAATTAATATAAATCAATAAACGAATACATATTCCGATCAAAGAAAGAATTAGAGATTGATCTCTAGGAAAGCATTTCTCTCTAAGACATTTCTCTCCTTGGTAGATTTTGATCTATCTTTATCTGACAGCTTAAGAGCGTTTCAAAGGTTAAAACGATTCTTTCGATTTCTGAACAATTAAATTGATCCATAGAAAAGCGTTTATATTTCTCTCTAAAATATATGCCTCAATTAATACGATTTTTGACGATTGATCAAAGCAAAATCATTGCAACATTTCCAATCATATTTCCCGATATGCCAATCACTCGGCATTCCACTCGCAGCAATCTTCAGGATATCAGACGAGTGCGAGCAGAAACGATCAAAAGATCTGATCTGATCTGATCTGATGGAGGAAGTTTCCCCATTTGCCAATCAAAAGATCTCCAGCTCATTACGTGCTATACACTGCAATTACGTGCCCGAATGGCTACACTTACAAAGGAAATTCAAAGGAGAGAAAACGTAGAAAATGTAAATTCCGGGAAAAGCACAGAACAGGGGGAAACAAAACGAAACGCAACGCCTGGCCCATAAATCGTTTGTTTTTATTGGAATTATTAGTTGATCTGTGGCCATATTGTGCAATATTGTGCTGGGCCAACTGTTCGGAACTCTTGACGAAAACAATCCATTTGTTGAACGAAACAAACCAGCGAAGAGGCAACAAGCCGAACCGCACAATATCTCGATATATTTCGAGTATTTACGTTACTTCCTGCTGGGTTTTTGTATACCGAATACGAATACTAATCTAATCTGGGGACGACGACTCCTCTGCTCATGGACTGCCTGCCAGGCCATGCACTTTGATCTTGTTTATATGAAAAATAGTGAGAAATATATACGACGACGAGTATTTTGTATATTGCGGGAAGAAGGCATTTCAAATAGAAATTGTTCATTGTTCATTGCTGGAGCAGGCTGCAACCAGTTGGGTTTTGTTTTATATACAATACTTATCAAGTGGGTGCTAAAGAGCTGCTGAGGACTTTCAATCGATTTGGAAAGGAAGTTCGAGGCAGGAAGCGTGCCAACATATTGTCGAAGATTGTGAAAGGAAGGCAGTGCCAAGCACAAGCCATAACTTTTGGAATGAAATGTGGTTTATGGTGAGGGCAGAGCAGCTACATTTGTTTCAGATACTATATTTTAGATACCTATTGCTCAAAGGTTCCCTGCACTACATTGGCCCGCCCTTTTGCTCAATCTTCAACTACATATAGCCATGATATCATTTTATTTTGTATAATTTCTCATTGTGCCTAGCAGCAAAAAAAAAAAAAGAAAGAAAATCTTTTGTTTTGAAACAAATTAGCGGCACATTCGAAATAAATCGAAATCTGCCCACTTCAATGGGCAAGGAACATTTATGAAAATTATCATCAATATTAAACGATTTTCAAACACATTCCGCGCCAGGTGAAAATGGAAGGGCAATTAGTAAGTAGAATTAAATTCGACATTTCCTCAATCAACAAAGCGGTTCGGTTCGAGGTAAAGAAACAAACGATCGTTGAAAGTGTTTCATCAATCCTGTGGGAACATTAAATAAATTAAATTCAAAAGAACAGAACAGAACAGCACAGAGCAGAACACAGCCGAAAATTAACAGCAATTTATGAACAAATTAGGAATCAGACTTTAAAAATAAACTTCAAGCTACCAAAGCGCAGAACGCGTGAAAAGCGATTGGTTGGATGGGGTGCGGTGGGGTTGGGTTGGGGAATAGGTGAAAAATTTGTTTATTTGCTTGAGCAATTGGCCCGTCATTCATGGGCAGATACAGATAGCTATCCATCTAATTGCCTTCCTATAATGAATTGTTCCGCCTGCCACAGAGGTAGGTGGTAGGAGGTAGGAGACAGCTAAGTGGAGAGGTTGGAGTAGGAGAAGAACTTTGGCCCCGCAAGGAGACGACTGCGATATGTGAGCCCTGATAGATGGGGCGCCATTGGGCCCAACTACTGTGACTCAACGATGCTGATGCTGCTGCTGCTGCCGTTTAGGCTAATGACAGCACAGCGCATGACCGACCGACTGATTGAATGAGTGAATGACTAACTGAATGATGGAATAACTGAAGCTGAAGCTATGCTATGCGATGCAGGTATTTTTAGGGGCCAGGCCAGAGGCCAACTATTTACACAGCCACCCACTGTGGAGCGATTGGCCATGGCTACCTGCAGAGTCCAACCTGCTCCAACCAACTCTTCTTCCTCTTCCTCTTCCTCTCTGCGGATTCATTTCTTGATGGATTGATCGCATCGCATCGCACATCATAAAAACTTTGGGGCCAGAGCCAGAGCCAGAGAAGAATATCTCTTTGGGATGGGATATCTCCCTCGATACTTTGACTATTTGTTGCTGTTTGCCTGCCTCGCCTGGTGTTGAGTAGTTTGTTTGATTGTTTTTACTTGGGTTTGGGCTTTTTGGGAGGCTGGCGATCGATCGATCGATCGAATCCCATCCCCCCCTTAGCATTAATGCTGGAGAGCTGAAAAACGTTTGTCTGTTATGGAAATGCTGATGTCTGAGCGATAATCTGGCGCCGTTTGCCTAATTAATTTACAATTTATATGTTAATCCAATTGCTGGCTGCAGCTACATGGAGTTTCCAGCGATCATCAATGGACATGAGAGACATACAGAAAGAGAGAGAGAAAGAGGGGAATTGGTAGCTGTGGAATCAAAGAGATTATGCCAAAGAGTTCCCAGCAGCAGGGGAGGATTACTTTTAATGATGGGGATTAACTAGATTTCGATTGTTTTTACTGTAAATAAGTGTGCATTGAATGATGGAGTGATCTGGCATTGTTGTCTATGGTCTACTCTATGAATTATTGCTTAATCAGATTTTCTATATGATTTATATAACTTTTCTTTTGGATATCAGAACATGATTCAATTTTGATCACTTGCATTCCATATGGAGCATGCAAATCGTTTATTATCATCACCAGAATGAATATTCATCATCTTGTTCCTGATCTACATGCTAAATTTATACAATTTTTGATCACCATATGAATATGCCTATGATTCTGATGGAAGATAACTAATTTATTCAGTTTTGCAATTCATTTGCAAACTCATTTGAGCACGTTATCAACATATATTTATCTAAGTAATAGAATATCCACGGAAACACCGAACCAATTTAAGAATTCTTTCTATAGAAACGAACCATCGTTATCGACTGAGAGAATATTGACATATTTAATATTAAATTAAATATTAAATAGGTAAATATTCGTTTGGTAAATACAAAAATGAAGAAATTAAAAGGAATTTACTTTGATTTAAATATAAATGTATTAAAAAGTCATTTTATTGCGGATCATATTTAATATATATTATTATAATATATTTAAATATATAATATTAAATTTATAGGAAATATATTTAATTTAAGCATGAAATAAATTTAATATAAATATAAAATATATATTTTTTATTATTGAAATTTAAGTGTAACTATGCGGTTCGCAGGGCTTTTTTTCTGGGTGTAGGGACAACAATAAATTTAAATTGATTTTAGGTCTCCTCTCCAATGCATTAGCAATTATTTCAGCAAATTCCTATTTTGTCTATGGCCTTGCACAAATTCAGTAAATTCCTAATCCTAATTTACAGTGTCAGAAAACTCATAAAGTAATCACGTAACCTGCTCGTCAGTTGATGGACCAGGGTTATACATCGTCCGTACATCCCCAACCCCTTGCACATGGCCCACCAACGGCGTAACAGCGTCCGCATCTAATGAGTTGTGGGGTGGTGTTTCGGTCAGTGTCGAAAAGTACATTCGCAGTTTACGCCGAAAAAAGAGAGCACAGCCACAGCCACAACACTGACAAAGAAAATATTCGCCAAGCCATAAATATGGAATACCCCGGGGAATGGCAGGTCAAATAAATCGGTAGAAATGGAAATGGAAATGCGGGCAACGTAAATTCAACACAACGGCACACAAACAGATCTCAGATCAGATCCTCCCGGGTGCGAATGCATCCGCATCCATGCAGGGAGCAAGACTGGGGGCTGGAGTGATTTAGCATCACGCCTCGAAATTATCACAACTCATTAAGATATTTACCCTGGAAGCATGGGCATGGGGTATTGGGGCGCTCGATATTTACAAATGTATCTGAATAGTCGGCAATTAAAGAGCTCGCGCTGTGCCAAGGCAGAGCCCCCAACCCCCGAAGAACCCGAAGACCCCGAAGGTGTTGAAAATCGATGGAAACTCATTATAACAAACCGTCGACGGGTTGACACAAACCAAATGCCAAAAAAGGCTAATTAACGCAGATGCAGACACAGAGATACAGATGCAGATACAGATACAATTGTATCTGCTGCAAGTGCAGCCAGGAGCAGCGCATTTCCGCTGCAATGTAAATAGCCACGAAACACCAAGAACCACACCACACGTCGAGTGTTTTTCTAGAGTAAATAAAATGGCTCGCCATGAAAATAATTAGACGCATGCCGCGAGAGCACACAAACAAAGCCAAAAAATTGGAATCTTCTGCCACTAAAGTTTATGAAAAAAGCCAATAAAAAGATGCATAAACTAGTTTAGGCAAAGAGAAGAATAAGAAGCATCTCTTTGAGATATTTAAAAAACATTTAAACGTACAAAAAGGCATTTAATTTTGGGCTCTCGGCCTCCACACACAACACCCACATACACACATCACACACACACACACACATCTCTCGTGTGCCCCATGTCGTGTTCCATTACCCCAAATAATTCTTTGCTCTACCCCCGAAAAGATACAATAATTGTTGTTCTTCGGATTCTCGTTTCGTATTGGGTTGGGGATAAACAAATTGTTCAGTTCACACCGCCGCCAACAATGCCTCCTCAATGATTATTTCCAATTAAGTGGAAAATTTTATTATAAACAAACTCATTTAAATATTTTCAACGTGCGTTTTTCATTGAACAAAATAATTTACTCAGCCAAAACAATTTCCAATTTCTGAATTTTAATATTTTGCAAGCGGTACGAAACGGAAAGGAATAATATTATCTTTATGTTTTTCCTGGATACGGAAATGCGTAAATTATCGGGGGATTTTAGCTAAAAAATACTAATATACAATATATATTGTTTCCCCCGGATATGGGCAATAATTAATGATGGCAGGATATAGCGAGGCTGGGTTTAAAAAATAAATATAGTTCAGTAAAATATGGCATGGAAATTGTGAAAAACTGAAGGGAAATGAAAGTTCTAGATTTTGTAGATAGTAGTACCTCAATGGCATCGGGTTAATATTTTTTTAAATTCTATTTTAACAACTTTACATAAAGAATTTAAAACATTATTGGGGGCTTCAGGTCATAATGGTTCTCATATATTTTTAATTCATTATTTTTATGAGATTTATTTAATAATTTTGGGGGATCATCAATTAAAAAGAAGGAAATACTATCGCTTTCCACTCCTGTGGTAGTTTTACCTCTTACAGCGAGCGAAAGTCGACCTATGGCAAGCCTGTTGTTCCTTTCTAATAATTAACCTTTTCCCCTCTTTCTTTCAGCAACCACCTATCCCACTCTGGCAACCAACGCTCTTCTCCGCTTCCATCAGCAGCACCACCACCAGCAGCAGCAACACCCACAGCAGCACCATCAGCCACACCTGCATCAGCAGAAACCTGCCAGCAATGCAGCTTCCACAGCTGCAGCGCTGCTGGCGCCTCTTCATGGCCTCAAATCGCTGCAGTTGGCGCAGCAGCAGCGATTTCTGGGCAAGTCGCAGCAGCAGCTACTGGACAACATTCCCACATCGCAGGCGGCAGCTGCCACATTACAAAATGGCAGCCAAAATGGGGGCGGCAACAGCAGCAGCAGCAACAGTGGCAACAGCAACGGGAAACGGAAACGCTCCTGGTCACGGGCTGTCTTTACGAATCTACAAAGAAAGGGCCTGGAAATACAGTTCCAGCAACAGAAGTACATCACAAAGCCAGATCGGCGCAAGCTGGCGGCACGCTTGAATCTGACAGATGCTCAGGTGGGTTTGGGCACAGAGAACTTGGTAGAATTAAGAGATACTAATGGATATGTATTCCCTGTGGCATAGGTCAAAGTATGGTTCCAGAATCGCCGCATGAAATGGCGGCATACACGCGAGAATCTAAAGAGTGGCCAGGAGAAGCAGCCGCATCCACAGCAGCCCCCGAATGCGGCCGCCACAAAGCCCACCATCCTAACAGTGGCCGGGAATCATGCACAGGAGCAGCAGCTGGACTACAGCTCCGACAGCTGCTCCAGTGTGGAGCTCAGCGAACAGGCCGACGATGATATAGAAATCGATGTCGTGGAATAGCTACCAATTCTACATACATATCTACATGCATGTCGCATGCTTGTTACTTGTGTAAAATACAATGTCAAGTAGATTTTTTGTGGCAATTGTTATGCCACAATTAAGCCATGTAGAATACATCTATCAAAATGTGAATTTAAATTATTAAAAATATCGAAATTAAGCTTAATTTATAATATTTAAAATATTTATATAATTTTTAACTATGAAATAAATGTTAAAGTGCCCACAGAGTGCAGAGCCACAGCTGGAATTAGTTGGGTAAATATGGGTGGGCAAATATCTATCTGTTTACTTGGAGCAACCAAGACATTTACTCTCTCATAATTCCTATGAAAATACGAGTATAATACGCAATGCCATATGCCATAGGCCAAGCTACAACCAGCTACAAAAACAGCTACAGAAAATTTAATTAAGGAAATACCGCTGCGATCAGCACAAAATATGAAACGCTTTTGAGACCTTCTCTAATCAAGAGAACGATAAAACCGATACGAAACTGAATGAAAACCCCCACCCATCCGTAATCCAGCAACGGCAGTTGGTCAAGCGCGGGTGCGAGGGGTGAGGAGAGTGTCTCGGAGAGCAGTAATTAGACAAACAGTGAGAGTAAATTGTGGATGCACGACATTGAAATATTACTCATGCTCATACTCAGCTTATGGGTTTCAATGATACACTGGAAGAGAGTTACGCGATGTGGTGAGGGAGTTTGTCGATCTTATAGGGGTACTCAAGATATCTATAGCAGATATATGTATATATTAGCCGATAAAGGGAGGAGTATTTTGGGTACCAACCAAAGCAAATGTGGGCTACACATTACTAGAATTAGTTCTACTAGAACTTTACTAGTTTCCCAGTTATTCAAACCCAATGTAGCCCTGAGGAAGAAGCTCCAATCCAACGCATAAATATTATTTGTTGAGCAACGTAGCTGGAGGTCATAGTCCTAGTGCTAGTGGATTGTAAGTGGCTATTCTTCGACGAAGTAAAGCATAAAAAGTGGTGTAAAAAGAGCATTCACTCATCGGTTTAATTACAAATTTAAACCCACTGCCATTCAGCTCTTTTCCTCCTATGCTCTGCCCATGCCTTTCGCTCACGTTCAGTTCTCTGAGGCAAAGCGCAGCGAGCGGTTGAATTTCAGATCGAGTGTTGAGTGCTGCTGAGTCTTGTGGCCATGTGACGGCTTAATTAAAGAATAATAATAGAATTTTTATATCATACGCGGGGCATTACACAAGCCAACAAACATGGGCAATGTGCAGCCGCGTCCACTTGAGCCGCGCAATGTGGCAAACCGGCGAAGCAGTAAGTGGACACAATCAGAGGGCCCCCACGGAGCTTGAAGATCTTTTGCAACTCCTTCGCAGGTATCCTTTGGAACTTTCGGTACTCGAATGCGGCACGCCGGCGGGAGGATCTCGCGGTGATTGTGCACAACTCCAGGATGAGCATCGCCGAGTGGTTGGATCTCTTGGAGCTGCAGCAGTACGAAGGTTTGGGCTGTCTCTGACCTGCCCTAACCAGCATTTATGTACATGGTGTCTCTGCTCTCGCTAGGTAACTTGCAGGCCTACAGCACTGTGGATGATGTGGTGGACATTACGGATAAGGAACTGAAACGCTGCGGCATTCGCAGTGCCCATCGCCAGCTGATGATCAACAGTCTGCTGGGTGTGCGGGCCAAGCGACGGCAATCCATGAACTTGGAGGGTAAGTCCCCCAAAGTCAATTATTATGCATGGATTATGTATATTCTTAGCTTTCATTTGCCAACAGCCAGCAGAAGTGTGCCGCGTGCCGTGCTGCGCCGCAAGAATTCCTGTCCATTGGTTTATCTGGAGGAAAGTTCCAGCGATATCGCGGGAAGTGCCGATAGCGGACGGGGCTTGATTATCACCAAAAGTGGCAAGGTTCTTAAGCAACTTGCTTTCGATGATACAAATACCATGTGAGTGAGGGGAAAGGGGGCTTAAAAAATATACATATATAAATATAGGTATTTTTTGTTACCTTTTTGTCTATCTTCAATTTATCTTTTTGCGTTGAATTTCAAACTCAAATCAACATCCACAATATAATACGTTACGTCCCTCGTTATATCCACCCTGCCGAGCCCGCATTTCCCCTTTGCTTTCTGAGACGAGCATCTCTCTGTGCATTACACTCGTATATTTTCAATAACAAAAACTCTGCGCATGCTCCAAGAAATTTCCCATCGAAAAAAACAACTCGAAACCTGCCTTGAAAGCGGCAAAAAGGAGTCTTAAAACAAAACCCAAAACAAACCGAAACAACCCTCGCAAGGACATCCGAGTACGAATCCGAACGGGGAGGACATGGACATGGACATGGCCGTAACATTTTCAGAGCAATTGCAAACGGCGCAGAGTTCAGACGGATTACCCGACGGTTAAGGCAAACGCAAAAAAAATATAGAAATAGGACTTTTTTTTTCTTGCTATTGAATAGCTTCTGCTGCTGTGATGTAAAATTTAGGCAAACTTCTGAATGGAAAAAGGTGCTTAAAAGTTGCTTAAACTTAAATAAAAGTCTGCTTTGCTGCCAAATAGTTTTTGGGGCGTGTCCCGTTCCCACAATTTGATTTGATTAGAAAGCTTGGTATAGCCAAAATGGGCGTAGCAGGTGAGTGATAAGAAATATAGAGAGAAATATATGGGAAATATATTAAGAAATTGCATGCCTAAAAGTACATTTCTGTACATTTATTTTTGCAATGAAGAAAGAAAGGCAGCCATGCCGGTGGCTGGCTGACTGGCCTTACAACAGTTTTTTACTACAATTCGATTTGTATTTTTTTTGCACTTGAACTTCAGACAAAAAGTTGTACATATACCAAGGACCAAAATATCCTTGTGCGAGCAAAATTTCCCCCGGAGTGGCGTGCCGCACATGAGGGGAATGGCCGTTTAGCCGTCAGAAATTACCCAAAATAAGGGAAATTCACTCACTCACCCCCCAATCTCTTTGTACCCTCCTGCATTTACAGCTACGAGGAACTGAGACCGCGCTCCAAGTGCAACAGTCCCCATTGGGCCATTGACAGCGAGATGGAGCTGACTAGCGGCAGCAATGCCTCCACACCGATTGCCATCAACTCGCCGAATCCCACGGAGCAACAGGAGGCCATTGCCCTGAAGAAGGCACTCGAATGGGAGCTGAGTCTGGATGCCAGGGAGCTGCGTTCGCATGCCTGGTACCACGGACCCTTGCCCCGCCAACGGGCCGAGGAGATTGTGCAGCGCGAGGGCGACTTTCTGGTGCGGGACTGCGCCTCACAGCCGGATAATTATGTGCTCAGTTGTCGCTGCAAGCTGGCAGTGCTGCACTTTGTGCTCAATAAGGTGGGTGCGGAGAGATCCCCTGAAAGTGTTCCTCTAACCATAATCCTCTGATTCTTGCAGTTGGTGCTACAACCGGAGACTGTGTACGAACGGGTCCAGTATCAGTTTGAGGAAGATGCCTTTGACACGGTGCCTGATCTAATCACGTTCTATGTGGGCTCTGGCAAGCCCATTTCAGCCGCCTCGGGCGCTCTCATTCAGTATCCGTGCAACAGGCGGTATCCACTGTCCTTCTATGGCCACAAGATTGTGGGTAATCAACTGCACAGCCAAATGCTGGCCGGGCTACGTGGCCTGAGTCCGTTGAACTCTCCGATCGGCAGCAATGGCGCAGGATCTGCAGTCTTTCGCTTTGATCCACAGCAACAGCAGCAGCAGCAACAGCAGCAGCAACAGCAACAGCAGCAACAGCAGCAGCAACAAGAGCAGCAGCAGTCGGTGGCATCTCCGGGCAGTCCACACTGCTCGCCACCACGAGCACGTCGCGAAGTTCCTCCGCCGCCTCGGCTGCCCTGCAAGAAGCAGCAGCAGCGATCCCAGAGCCTGACGCCCGCCCAGGCCATGGTCGTGAGCAACATCAACAAGCTGCAGGAGCAGCACCAGCAGCAGCTGCAGGAGGCAAATGGAAATGGCAATGGCAATGGCAATGGAATGGCACGTTTCCAGACCATAGCCAGATGCAATCCCACCAGCGATCTGCAGCAGCATTTGGAGAACAAATTCACCACCCACTCGCTGCCAAGGCCGAGTACTTCCGCCGCACAGGCACTGCGCCAGCAGGCAGCGGCTAGGATGTCCAGTTTGGCCAGAAACTGCAGCCTGGACACACCGTCGGATTCGAGTCGGCCACCCAGTCCGCCGCCCAAGCCGCGCAAGGAGCCGATGGCCGCCGTGCTGGCTTACCAGGCGAGTGGCTCCGACTCGGGCAACGGCTCGGGCGACTCTGCGCTGGGGGATGGCAGCGAGGTGAGCATACAGCGTGGCGTGATCATCAAGAATCCAAGATTCATGAGCAGCTCCGTGTCCAATGGCACACTGAAGAGCTTCACCGAGTTCGATGCCATGGCGGCCGAGGAGAATCTCTTCACATTGGCCATTGAGGAGGTGCGCGTGGTGAGTGAGAGAGCAGGGGGAGTCCCCTGGAGAAGTTTAATCCTCATGCAATCCTCTCCTCCTCCTCCTCTTTCAGGGCAGCAAATTTGACTTTGAGAACTTCAGCACATTGCTGCTGCCGTCGGTGGAGAACAAGCCGCTGGATGGGGATGCCCTGAACACCTTCAAGATGATGCTCCTGGAAACGGGTCCCAAGCTGCTGGCGGAGCACATAACCCGCATCGATATCGGTCTGTTTCTGGAGCAGCCCGACGATGAGTTGGACTACTTTCTGAGCTGTTCGGGCCTGGAGCTGCTGACACTGCCGCATGGCAAACTCTTTCGCGAGGATATCATTGAGCGGACGCAGTGCATCAAGCTGATGGTGGCCGTCACCATACTCACCTGCCAGACGGATCTGGATCGGGCACAGCTGCTCAGCAAGTGGATACAGATTGCCGTGGAGACGAAGACGGCGTTGGGGAATCTATTTGGCTTCTGTGCCATTATGTTGGGGCTGTGCATGCCACAGGTGAGTCCCCGCACACACTTTATAGCACAGAAAGATAACGATTTGCCCTCTCCCTTTGGTTTAGATCCAAAAACTCGATCAGGCCTGGCACATTCTAAGGCAAAAGTACACGGACAGCGCGTTCACGTTCGAGGCCAAGCTGCGTCCCACTTTGAGCAGCATGAACGAGGCCTCCAATCCGCAGGCGCCCAACACCACAGTGCCGCATGTGCTGCTCTATGCCCTGCTCATCGATCGTCCGGTCATGGATATTATCAATCATTCGAATATGGACGATCGTCCGGCACTATATCACACCTGCATTGCGCCCTGGGAATCGAAGGCGGATGACTTTGGCATGTCCATCAATTTCCAGCATTTGGATGCCTCGCGCGGCTTCCTCAAGAGCCTCGATCTGTACCGCAAGAATGCCAAAATGATGCTCGAAGATGCCAGCACGAGGCTGGATGAGCTGCTATCGGATGCTTTTCGGTATACATCCTCTGCCTCTGCCCCCATAAAAAGTTTTTTCCCGCTAATTTGCTTTGCCTTTACAGAACTGAATTCCATGTGAAGTTTCTATGGGGCAGCTGTGGGGCCACGGCCAAGCCCGAGGATCGGCATGGCAAGCTGGAAAAGGTGCTAACACTAATGGCCGACAAGTTCTGCATGATGGCCGAGAAGTAAAGTGAAAAAAAAAAAAAATAAAACACAAACGCAACGATATGATATGGACTCTAGTTTCTAGTTGATAATAATTACTAATTACTAATCAAAATGATCGTCATCCCACACACTTCCAAAACTCTACTATACACTACACCACTCTATCAATCAATCAATCAATCAATCAATCAATCTACTATCTATGTATCTCCAATTGTCTACAGACCCTCCGCAAATTTGAATTTCGTGCTGTTCTCTACCTCAGCCTGGGTACATTCTGTATTTATATATATATAATTTAAGCCAGAAACCACACACAGAAGCACTTTATGTTACAGTTCAAAAAAATATTTATGTATTAATCCTTAGTTAAGCCAAAACTAAAACAAAAAAAACCAAAAACTCTAGTTATACGACAACGGAATGGAGGAAAGGGAAGGAATCAAAATAGAAACCTACTACAGTATATACGAGATATTTATTTATCCACGCAACTCTCTCCAAGAGGGCACACAACAATCTTCTAACTCTGAACACTCTGAACTACCAAAGTCTAGTACTTAAATTATATTCAACTAAATAACTTATTAAACTATAGAGCGGACAATATACATTAATCAAAGGCAGCATATTTATAGTACACACATATACATACATATGTACACTCCCACACACACATATGTAACAGCGGTATATAGGCATAGGCCCCCCACTAAGAATGCATAATTCTTTTGCAATTTTGATAAGTGATAGTGCAGTAAATAAAATGCAAATACAAATACAGAAAATATTATAAAAATCTTAAGGGAAAAATAATAATTATTATCGGTGGCACGCCGACCCTTGATCTTATATTTTTACAGCGTGGGATAGTGTGGGCAACCGGATGAAAGAATAAATACGGAATACGGCACTTTATAGAAGGTTTGAAAGGGAAACGATTATGGTCCTTTTTTATACAATTTTTATATAATTGGAGCTATGGTCCAAATGAAAACCCTTCGGAAATATAGTTGCATAAACTGGTAATCATTTTGTATAGTTTTCGAGACCATTTTCAATGCAAATCAAACACAAAAAAATTAAAATATTAGGGCACCAACTACATATATAAATTATTAATTGCCATACAAACAAATATCAAAAAGTTCCTCAAGTCTTAGAGCTCTTACCCAAACGATAAGTAATACCCCACTAAAAACCAAATTAAACCAATTTAAGCAATCAGTAAAATATTCCATAAAAGAAAAACAGTATAGATTACCCTGCAGCATTAGCCAGATTCCAAACGGAAAAAAACAATTTGTAGATTAATTTGGAGCATTAACCAGATTCGATAGGATACTTTTATAGACCGCACACACTTGAGAGAGCAACCACTTGGACGCTAGAGGTTGTTATTACGACGAGGAAACTTAAATTACGATTACTCGCAAATGTGCAGCATTATCAGAGCCTCAAGTGGCGAACACCCAACAACAGGCTTTATTATCTCAACGCCTACATATGTATGTATATGGAGGAAGGGTGCGCTGCGTCCAAAGTGCCATACGGGCATGCAAAAGCCCATTGGCTCTGCCCGACACTTTGCTTGACATTGTGCCCTGGTCAGAGCTGGAGACCGGTCGTTAATTGCTTCAGTGCCCAAAAAAAAAAAGAGCGCCAACTTTTGTGAGCTTTAAGCTTGCGCTGATCTAGTCTTGTTTTTGTTTCGATTGAGAGCCATGAGCTGTCGTTGCACTCGAAAGCTGACTCTGGCCATGAGCGGCTGTCTGATTATTTTGGTGATCGCCCTCACCGTCGGCCTTTGTGTGGGCCTGGGCGGAGGCGAGAGCGGGGCAGTGCGCGAGGTAAGAAAAAATACATCAAAATATTGGCTGCCTGTACTGGGTGAAACTCAAACTGGGCTTTGTTTTTAGGATCCGCCCATATTTACAATCGATCATGCGGGCAACACTTTCGTGCTGAATGGTGAACCCTTCCGATATGTTGCTGGATCGTTTCATTACTTCCGTGCAGTGCCCGAGGCCTGGAGGAGTCGTTTGCGCACGATGAGAGCATCGGGCCTGAATGCAGTGGATACGTGAGTACTCGTTCATTGCCACCAAAAGACTTTAGGCATAAGTAGCTTAAACTTTCAGTATGGAAATTTATAGAAATTTATTTCGCAATATTTTGCCTCAATGCATTGGAGACGTTCGTGCTCAAAAATAATCCACTTTGTGCTCATGGATATCTCTTCTATATCCCCCCAGCTATGTGGAATGGTCGCTACACAATCCCCACGATGGCGTCTACAACTGGGAAGGCATTGCCGATGTGGTGAAATTTCTAGAGATTGCCCAAGAGGAAGACTTTTATATAATACTGCGCCCGGGTCCCTATATCTGTGCAGAGCGCGATAATGTAAGTCAACTTGAGAGTAAAACGTCAAAGCGGACAGTAATTAATTCCCTGTTGATTTCTCTTCTAGGGTGGCCTGCCCCATTGGCTCTTCAGGAAATATCCCAGCATTAAGATGCGAACCAGTGACAGTAATTACCTGGAAGAAGTGGGTAAATGGTATGCAGTGCTGATGCCACGCCTGCAGCACCTGCTGATCGGCAATGGGGGCAAGATCATCATGGTGCAGGTGGAGAACGAGTACGGGGACTATGAGTGCGACAAAGTCTACCTAAATTGGCTGCGCGACGAGACGGAGAAGTATGTGGCTGGCAAGGCGCTGCTCTTCACGACGGACATACCCAACGAACGCATGAGCTGCGGCAAGATCGATAATGTGTTTGCCACCACGGACTTTGGCATTGATCGAAGTGAGTTATCCCACCCCACGAAAACCAGGTTGAACCTCACTCGAATCTCTATTCAAAACAGTTCACGAGATCGACGATATTTGGGCAATGCTACGCAAACAGCAGCCCACGGGACCGCTGGTCAATTCGGAGTTCTATCCAGGCTGGTTGACCCATTGGCAGGAGCTGAATCAACGACGCGATGGTCAGGCGGTGGCCGATGCCTTAAAGTGGGTGATGCTAGCTGCTCTTAGGCAAGCTAATCCAACTAATTTCGGATCCATTTCAGGACCATTCTGAGCTACAATGCCAGCGTCAATCTGTACATGTTCTTTGGCGGCACCAACTTTGGATTCACGGCCGGAGCCAACTACAATCTGGATGGTGGCATTGGCTATGCGGCGGACATCACCAGCTATGACTACGATGCAGTGATGGACGAGGCTGGCGGCGTGACCAACAAATATAACCTGGTTAAGCAGGTGATTGGCGAGGTTCTACCCCTGCCCGAGATTTCGCTCAATCCCGCCAAGCGTTTGGCCTACGGCAAAGTGGAGGTGACGCCCTCACTCGCCCTACTGTCGGCCGAGGGACGTGCAGCCCTGGCCAAGGGCAATCCCGTGGATGCGACGAAGCCAAAATCCTTTGAGGAACTCGATCTGTACTCGGGGCTGGTGCTGTACGAAACGGAACTGCCCAGCATGGACCTCGATCCGGCTCTCCTGAAGGTGGATCAGATCAACGATCGTGCCCATGTCTTTGTGGATCAGCAGCTGGTGGGCACACTGTCCAGGGAGGCGCAAATATATTCGCTGCCATTGAGCAAAGGATGGGGCAGCACGCTGCAGCTGTTGGTGGAGAATCAGGGACGCGTCAACTTTTACATCGCCAACGACACAAAGGGCATCATCGGTGAGGTGAGTCTACAGCTGCATAACGGCGGCTACCTGCCGCTGGAGAACTGGAAGAGCACTGCATTCCCCCTCGAAGCAGTGGACGTGGAAAACTGGCGGAAACAGAGCGGAGAGCGGGCACTGGATGCCTTCCTGGCCAGGCAGCGCATCCTGCGCAACGGACCCATCCTCTATACGGGCAGCCTCAACGTGGAGGAGATCGGCGACACCTACCTAAACATGGCTGGCTGGGGCAAGGGCGTGGCTTATGTGAATGGCTTTAATCTGGGCCGATATTGGCCCGTGGCTGGTCCCCAGGTCACACTCTATGTCCCCAATGAGATTTTGAAGGTGGGGGATAACTCGTTGGTGATTCTGGAGTATCAACGGACGAACAAGACAGCAAATGGTGAGGATCTACCCGCTGTGCAGTTTGATGCAGTTGCTCAACTGGACGGACAGTCTGGAGATGTGCCACTCAAGTGACATTTCTTCAAGGAAGATAACCAATTATAACTATTTTACTAATAGATTTAGGTACTGCATCTGAATAAATGGTTTTTAAAGCCTCAGGCAATGCGGTGCCTAAATTATTTTCATAATTTAAGGAAGGATTATATCGAAGTTGCTTAAAACCCTGTTGTGGATTTAAAATGATATTATATCAATCAAATCCAATTGATCCAACAGGTTCACTTATGGTATAAAATAATAAAGAGAAACGTCCGCGTTATGTTTACTTCACAAAATCAAAAATATATATCTACTCCATAGAAGGTCTGGTTTTGATTGATCTTTTGCGTCAACAACCTTTGTTAAGCTTTATTATATTTGCTAATTTTCTTATTATTATAAATTTATAATTGATAAATTCTATATTTAAATAAATGGTTTTTTATTAATGTGCTTGACTGACTTGCATTTTAGTTTCAGCTCGTTTTCAATTGACTGTTTCCTTTACCATTATTATCCTATTTTAATTTTAATCTTTTTTTTGTTTTTTTTTTAATTTTTTAATGTATACTTTGATACTTTTTGTGCTTAAATTTTGATAGATTCCTAATTTTTAATGGGCTTTATCATTGGCAAGTGGGGAGATTCTCAGATTCAGAGTTCTCTATGCAAAATTGAGCATTAAATCAATTAATGTCTTGGGATTTCTTTAGATAATTGGGAGAGTCTTAAAGAAAGAAGATCCATTCCGAAACTTTGAGATTATTTTATTCAACATCATGTAAGGTAACAAGGCTGGTTTCTATGGCAGTCATTTTTTATAGGGTTTGCATTTTTATACCCGTACTCAAAAAGAGTTAAGGGGTATATTGTATTTGTGGTAAAAGTGGATGTGTGCAACGCATGTCTGTCTGTCCGTACGACTGTCTTTCTGTCCGTCTGTCTGTCCGTCCGTCCGTCCGTCTTGATGAGCGCCTAGATCTCATAGACTATAAGAGTTAGAGGAACCAAATTTTGTTTCCAGACTCATGTGATACGACACTGCTATAAGTGTATTTAAAAATTTCACGCCATGTAAAATTTAAAATTCTAAATAGATTATAAGCTCAACAATTTATATACTGACTGAATACGGGTATAAAAGTAGAGTCGCGTCCCCAGAAGCGACTCACACGTTCCTTCTCGTTAATTAAATATTTGGCAAAATACCCTTTAATACAAAATACCTTTAATACAGATATTTTGAATGTTTTTGAACAAATCAGGAATGGATCTTCAGTGGGTAATTAATACATAGTTATTCAGTTGTTGTTCAGTTGTTGTTGAGGGCAGTGTTCAGGAAATACTTGTGTAGGACAAAGCCTTGGCTAAATGAACTCCTATCTAATGAAAATATATATATATATGTAGGTATAGTTCAGAATCAGTGTCTGTAATTAATATCAAGGTAAATAAGAACACAACTCGTGTAGTAAATCTTCATTCAAGGTACAAGAACGAATGCATTTAGTGCTCTTCTTTAAGAGTTTTAGCGTACAAAAGTTAAGAGTGCGCGTCTTCATAAATAAACCACAAACTGAACTCAAGGTAAATTACGAGAGCGTAGTTTTACATCAAGTTTCAGTTTGAGTTTTTTTTTTGCAAAAATATACATATAGCTTACTTTTTGTTTGTTTTTAGTTTTCTTTTCTGTTTCTGTTAATTTTAAGCTCTTTTTGAAATGAGAAAAGCAAGCTACATGGTATGCGTTTTTCTTTGTTTTTCTTATAATATTTCTATCTGTGCGTTTTTTTTTTATAAAAATAATTATTATAGTGTTTGCATTCATGATAGATATTTTGTTGTTTTGTGCTAGGTTGTAGCTTTTGTTTTCAGTTTAGGAATGAGTTTCGTTTTATATTTGTTTTTTTTTTTTTTTGCCTTTTTTGTTGTTTGGAAAATTGTTGCATTTAATTTCTGTTGTTTTTTTTCTCACTATCTCTCTCCTCTCTTTCTATACATTCATTAAAAATATATCACAGCTGCATTTCGAGTAAAAAATGTCTTCCCTCTTCGTTTACTTTCATTTGTAAAAATGTATAGAAAATGTCTTCAAAATGTTTTGCTTTGAGTTTTGTTTTCATTTTGTTTCACCATTTTTGGTTGATTTTGGGCAAAGAGAAAGCCGACGTAAAAACAGCAAAAAATTTGGCAACCTAGTTAATGTGTTTTTAGTTAGTCAATGTCCCCACACACGAAGACGGAATGCGTTTGCGTTTTAGTTAGACACGTACATAGCCAGCTACAGTATAGGTATACTCGTGTATACGAGTACAGACACATATGGGTAGTAGATAGTATAAGGTATTTATAGTATAGTTAACTAACCGAAGCGTAGATGAGTATTTGTAGTGATTTTCCTCCTCGTATTCCTTCTCCTTTCATTTGTCTCTAAAGTGCTGTGGGTGCAGCGAGGGCCATTTGTCAGTGCCATTTCGATTTTTGCGTATAAATGTCGGCACGCAAATTCTGTGCAAAACAAATGCCCAAAATCTACAAGGGAATTTAAATATTAGTTGATTATTCAATGGAAAAGATTAAAGCTAAACAAAACAAAAGAACAGAACAAGTAATTAAAATCAAATCAAAACCTGGAAAAACATGACCGCAATGACAGCCGTGGAAATTATAATCAAATTATGCTCCATCCACTCTTCGCCAGCCTGAACGCAGCCCTTTTCATAGATGATTTTGGACAGCTCCAAGCCCTGGCAATGAATCAAATGGAAATCAAATAAAATATGGAATATAATAATTCATAAATAGATTTAACTAAAACAAAGAATAGGGTATCACAGAGTATTCTGTTTGTTCAGCACCTGCAGCATCAGCAGGCCAACGCAGGCTGCTGCCACACTTATTAGATGTGCCTCCAGCCAATCTTCGCCAGCGCGCAAACAGCCACGCTCATGTATATTCCTATCCACAGGCTGCTTGCACAGATTATTTATGGATGATTACACGATACATTATGAGTAAACCTAAACCTAAAACCACTTACGTATCCCTCTTTTCGCACATCATATCCGCATTGCTTGTTTTTGATAAGCTCTTGGGGACGGCGACGGCAACACGAGAAGGGCACCCCGCAGGCCTCACGGCTGCCAATGGCAATGGACGAGCAATTGAAATAGTTGTTGCTGTCCCAGTCCTTGGGGCCATCAATGCCGCAGCACTGCAGCCAGTCCTCCTGTATCCAATCGATGAGATTCTGCTGATCGGCATCCTCACGATAATGCCGTATGAAGGCCTTGAGCCCCTCAGTGGCTTGGTCTTTGATCTGTAGTGGGCAAACCATTAAAATGAGTATATCTTGATTATGGAGAGACTTACCCAGCCCTTGTCCTTGAGCACAAACGCCAAAGCACAGAAGCCAATCTCAGCTATCAGCAATATGCTCAGAAAAATGGCATACTAAAGAGAGGTAATATTTCACATTAAATGGGTTTAAATGGAAACCATTTTCATACCCACCGCCGCCAAAAGACAAGTATTCTCCCGCAATGCGCCCACGCTGCCCATGAAGCCGAGAAGAAAGGTAATGCCTCCCAATATAATCAACACAAAAGCCGGATCCAAGGCTATGAAATTAAGCTTGGCAAAGTTGCGAAACATATCTTTCTCGCTCCAAGCCCAGATTCCCACGGATAGCACCATGAGAGCAGCCATCCATATAAAAACATTGCCCATGAAGAGCATGTATTTCAGGCAGCAACTGATTTCGCTTGTCTCGCGTCGATATTTACGCACTGCAGGCATCTCCGGAATGATTTAAACTTGATTTGTACACTAATTATAATAACTATGACTAAAACATAAACCAAAACGCTATTTTCACTTATTTTTACTGAAATCGGATCTATCGATAAAACATACCGTCGACCCTCAATAATATACCCAAATATACCTTCTCATTTTCATAATATACCATGCATATACCGAGGAAAATCATATTTCTCAATTTTGATATTCGATTTAATTTAACAAGGTATGTAGAACGCTCACCACTAAACATATAATTTTATCATATAGATGAACTAGTTTTCTACAATCGAGCTTATTTTACGGACTCCCAATTATTTTATTGTTTATAAAATAGTAAAGAATTTTTTCCGTATTCATGCACTTGATTAGATTCCTCACATATGTTATGTTAACCCACTAAAAGACTTGGAAAATAATTGGCCTATTTCAGTGGACATGACTAGAACAGAAAGGTTGGCAATAAGAATAATGCAAGAAGGTAAGGTAAGAATAAGAAAACGTACATCGTGTATCTATGATCTGCATCTATTCAGCCTTTGTGCCATACCATAGGTCAACCATTGTATATTACGCACGAATACTAGGAAACTTCAGGAACTTTTGAGCAGTTCAGGGGAAAGAAAGCTAAAGCAAAGAGAAGGCTCTACAAGGAAAATATAAAAACCGTAATCGATACTCTGTTTAAATGCAGATGACCGCCTAACTAAATTTAGTATTACGGTAGTTTTCGGTTTTTTTTTGTACTTCTATAATTTTATCAACAATGAATCTACAAACAAATGTATCCCGTTAGATACATTTGATTTGTATTGAACAATTTAAGCAACATGGAACGAGCAACACTCTACATATCTTGGGGAAATTGATATTATAGATTTGAGGTTGTCAGGATCCAATAAGTGCAGAAACTACTCAGTTATAAAACTATCGGGACCGAGATATACTATATACGGAAAACAAAGCAGCTTGGAAAACATATTCCACATTGATTACAGGAAACAGGGTATACAAATGTCCCTACTGAAAGCAGATACCTGGTTGATCAGGCACAATGACGTCACATTCCGTGCACACTTACTTTTGATGCTTTGACTTGTTTTGTTTAAACCCTATTTTGTAAACAGACCCATAAAAAGGAGTCCTTCAAATTAACCAATTTCGTGGAAAATTGATTCATCAATCGGATAAAATTATATGTTCAGCGTTGAAAGTCATAGTTAGCTAGTAATATTAAGCAGAATATTAAAACCGAGAAATATGATTTCCGATCTTGGACAGACAACGATTAACCCATGGCCGACAAGTGGGTATTTCGATTTGCGCAGGAATAATTTAAAACCTGAAACACTTTTTATGCATATCAGGAGAAATATTTTTCAGGACATGTAAAGAGGAAGGAATGGGGGTACAAGGAGCGTATAAAAAATTATTATTTACCGCGGTTTACGTCAAGTTGTTCACCTGGTTACATAGAGCGGGGTTTTTCCTCGGTATATTTACGGTATATTACGAAATGAGAAGGTGTATTTCGGTATATTGTCTTCATGCGGTATCGATACACCCGCGGTCACACTGGTCAGCAGGAGGAAAAAACGCAGACAAAACGCAGGAGGAATTAACAAAATAAATACATATTTAATCAAGTTTGCAAGTGCTGTGCTCGGTGGTTTTGTGAAACATTTAGTTCGTTTTTCCAAGCGTGCGCGGTTTTGCTACCTATGACGACAGTGAGTTTTTCCCCAGCCTGTGCAAGTGTATGAGTGTGTGCGTGCGTGAGTTTTTGAGATTTACTGATGGCTGAAAATGTTTAATTAGCAACGAAAATCGAGGAAAATGCATATACTAACTTGAAATAGCCGATATACATGAAGGAAATTCAGCGAAAAATGTAAGAAAAGTTGATATTATAAGCCCTGTAATGGCCCTTAGGGCGAACAACCCCCCGCATTTAATCAAAGAAAAATGTTTGTATGTGTGTGCTCTCCCGTGCTGGCAGCGCAGTTGACGGCCGAAAAAATTTGTAATAAAAAGTGAAAATTCTTCTAATAATAACAACGGTACGATTCTGCCAGGTTGCAAAGAACAAAATCAGATGCGTGGCGGACAGTGTAAAAGTCAAGCGAGCAAAATTATGTGAATCGCGTATCTGGCGCATGAATTACATACATATGTACATACGCTAGCAGCAGCAGCGCGACAGCGCTGTAAAGTGCGTTGCGTCGCTGCCGTGGTCGCCATCATAGCAAAAAAAAAAATGAAAAAAGGAACTAAAATATTGTGATCCCACACGGTTGGAAAATCAAAATAATGCCGCTAATTGTACGGAGAATATACACACAGATATTTGTCGAGTAACTAATGTAATGGGGAGAAGTAAACTTTTGTGAAAAGTACAGTGCTGCATTTACTTTTGAACAAAACGAAACGAAACGAACCAACTCAACTCTCTTCTTTCCTTCTGCCTCTAATGTGCAATATGGCAGAGCAAATGCGTAAAAATCACAACGTCAACGATTGTTGTTACTGTTTTTGGTGTTGGTGTTGGCAACACGCTCTCTTGAGCTGCAATTAATTATTGAGCGAGTGTAAGAGCCCGTGCGTGCGGGTGTGTGCATTGGAAAAAGTAACAAGATTTTTAGAGCTAATTTCGATATAAAAAAAAACTAAAAAAATCATACATATTTATGTATAGAGAAAACGCAACGGTGTGTGTATATAATTGTATACCTGTATATATCCACATGCGGATTTCTGTGTGCTTGTCTATGCCTGTGTAAGCTGAGTGCGTGCATGTGTGTGTGTGCTGTGAGGCTGAAAATGGAAATTATATAAAAGAAGCTTTCGGCTTAGGCTTTACTTTACAACCAATCCACACGATCAATAAACCAGAAAAAAACAGATTCGACTTGCGGCCAACTGTTTGTGTGAAATTCTAGAGGTTCGGGCCCAAAAGCCCGTTAATTAATATTCTCCGATATTAATTAAATGTATTTTCGAATAGGGGGAAACATTATCCCCCAGCAACAAAAACAAAACGCAGCATGCGACGTCGCTGCTGACGTCTCAGTCGCTGCCAATGTACTTTGCTCACTTGATACACAAAAAACGGTACTCGCCGCTCATCTCATCTCTCTAGGAGAGTGTATGAGAGGGAGAGGCAGACGTCTCTTCCTGATCGACTCTGCTCCCCCACCCACTTTTACTCCCTTTTTTCGCATGTTCTGCTGACTGGGTAGTGCGGTGGGATGACAAGCGCCCCCCACATTTGTGTGTGTGCCTCTGTGTTTGTGTGTTACAACAACCACCAAAGCACCAAAGGCAAAGCTCATTGACGACTGGAAGCGGCTTCCTTTTGTCTACCTAATAAAATAAAACAAAAAAAATTAAAAACTGCAAACCCTAACCGGAACTTGAAAGACAAGCAAGCTGACGTTTGTCAATATGGCTTCATTTCCGTTTTAGAATTTCGTCAGAGCCATTTCAAATTTCGCCAAGATTTACTTTCACCTAGCGAAAAGCATACATATGTATATACAAATACAAGTGTGTGTATGTATGTAGTCTCTATTAATGTATGTCCTGACGGGGTGTATGATTAATACATTACATTTACATCCACATGTATGTACATTTACATGTGAAAGCATATTGAATTTGTAAGTTTATCGGTCGCTCTGTTATACATACTCACATGTCCTCCTCCCCTGTGCCCGTGTCGTGTTTGTGTTGGGGGGTGCTGGTGCTCCACTTTTGTATGCAACAAATTCAGTATTTTGCTGTTGCATACTCCCCTCCCCGCCCCTTACTGTTAAAACCACAGAGTTTGGCGAGGGATGGAGATAGGTAACAACAAAATGAAGCCTGTCATCGAACGTCAGAGCGTCTCACCCTTCCAATTTACCTATCCTATTCTTCGATCATGCTAACATGTGGCAACACTGGCTCGGATTTTACGACTAGCGTTAGAGGGAGAGTACTTAATAACGGTGCTACAACGAATATGCACTTGCCCTGTCTCGTCCGTAAATATTTGTTTACCTGCCTCTGTCGCTGTCGCTGTCAGGGCGAGGGTTCAGTACATGACATACTATATATGTGCCTATGTAACTCTGACTGTGTGTGTGTTTGTGTATAGTTTGATGTACATACAGTGGGTCACAGGTTATATTGGCAGATTTTTAGATCAATACAAAGACAAAGGTGTAATTGAATAGTGTTTTCTTTAATATTAAAAAAAAAAACAGAAAATGCAAAATTAAAACCACTGCCTGTGTGTGTGTATCTCTGACAAAATCTCTGTACGTGTGAGTGTGTGTAAAATAATTGTAAATGAAAGGAAAAAAAAAAACAGTTGAAAAGACACAGCCACAGAGTTGCCATATCAATCAAACGCAGCGGGGAAAGGAAACTTTGTTCAACCCCAGAATAAAATATAGAGGAAAAAAAGATATAACAGCCGAAACTAGAATCGTTTCAGCATTTAAAACGAACAAGCCTTAACTACAACTACAGCAATTGCTTATTCGTTAACTTGATTTTTTTCAGAGCCGAACGCAATATTTTTAAACTGAAATCAGATTAAAGCGATGTCCGCCAAAACCGAGGCGGACAATACAACCGCCGCCAGCTCCGGCGGCGGTGGCAACAGTAGCAGCAGTGGTGGCGGCGGCGGGGGAACGGGCAACACATCCTCCTCGAATGGAACCGCCACACCGGCGCGTCGTCTACGCACACGCAACTCCACGGGCAATGGTCCGGCGAGCGGAAGTGAGTCCGGCAAGAAATCCAATCCAAACGATGAACCCTCAACACCAGCTGCAGCTTCGGCCGCCAGTGGCCATGGCCCGTCGCCGGCTGCGGGCACGGAGCGTCCCATGCCGAGCGTTCCCATGAACCATGCCAGCAGCAGTGTGTCGGCGAGCAGAAAGTACCACAACAGCTGTCCCCATCCCACGCCCACAGTGCACAAGAAGACGGTGCACACGCAGCCGCACAGCAGCAATAAGTTTGATCAGGGCAAGAACGAGGAGTTCCACTTTGATACGCCGCCCGAGTGCCCCGTGTTTCGGCCGACGGCAGAGGAATTTAAGAATCCG